AATTTGACAAGACATCTAGGTTCACTTGGAGAACTTACTCCAGGAAAACACGTTTCCATCAAAGGTTTGAACCAGCTCTGTCAGGCCTATTATTCAGAACGTAGGGCTGAAACACTGCTATCACAAAAAGTGTGGCTGTTAGTTACTAGGCAGAAGAAGCCACGTGAGCTACATAAACCCAAACAAGCAAAAAGAAAATAAAACAAGACCCCTCATCCAGCAGTTCAGTGCAGTCACAATCATTGCCCTGCAGGGAGCTTCCAGCCACTGGATCAGAGGAATAGAGAGCATGCTGGTCAAGCAGCTATGCTGTGCTCAACAGCCTAATGTGCTAGGTTGCTTCTCAGAGGAATAACCACTGATTGCAATCCCCAAACTTAGCGGCTTTAATTTGTGACCATCTGCTTAGGGATTGACTACAGCCTCTGATGCTTTAGGAAGAAGCCATTACTGTGTTATGCTTCAGACACAGACCATGCACAATCTAGCTACTGTTTCCCACTTCACCATGTGAGGCATGGAGTCCATTAGACTTGGCCTTCTTAAAGGTCCCGGTATTTTGGGTCAGAAACACCGGCCTTCTATAAACTCCTGGCAACTACAAAAGCAAGTCAGATTGGCATCAACAGAAGAAAACACACTTCCCCTTAGGACACTGCTCCCAAATGCTCCCACCAAAAACCTTTTCATTCTAAAGGCGTCTTCTTGGGATGAAACAAGTCCAGTGCTTTGTCCCCTGTAAGCTGGCATTTACAGAAGGATCAGAGGAGCTCATATGAGGAGTTCTTTGATTACAGGAGAACAGTTACATTGTTGTCAGTGCAGCACATGTGACTTCGCATGTGTCTGAGTAAAAAGGGAGCAACAGATGTGAAGCAGAGATCACTGCAACAGGGCAAGGATACTGTTTCTAGTTTGAATGCACAGAAGGTGTCACAGTGCAGCTTGCCCTCTGTCTCAGCAGTCCTTGATTTTGCTTTCTAACATCACAGGCTAAATCAATTTCCCCCTTCTGGATCAAACTGGAATAAAACCTTAAGTAAAATGTCTTTGTCATAAAGGATATTATTCCCCTGCAGTGCCAGATGGGTCCAGAGACATGCAATTTATCCAATATCAGGAGGTGAATATGGGGTTAGAAAAAACATTTTCTCAGTAGTCTCTTAAGCCTTTTTTCCTTTTGCTATTCCAGGCTAAGGTTCATCATTTCAGGTTTTTCCCCTACTGCAAGAATTAAAATACCAAGCAAGTACGGGAAGGAAGGCATGACATATGCTGAAGAATATTAACCTGAATTAGCTTTTGAAATAGAATCATTAAACAGATTCCTTACAAACACTCTCAAAAGTAATGTATTAATTTATTTGTGAAGGGATCTCACTCCCATTACAGTCGCTTTAATTCTGAGTAAGTGATTAACTAGATTGCATGAGCTGAACAGCTCACGACTAGCAACAGTCAAGCTGGTGAAAAGACATCCAGAGGAAGTGAGGGAAGCTTGTCTGCGCACAGGGAAGGCAGCTTTCTTAGGACATGGTATGGATCCACATGCAAGGGGTCTGTACTATGCAGAACCTGACAGAGGACCTTGAGAGCTCTAGGATCACGGCCATAAGCATCTAGAGAGAACAGAGCAGATGATGACTGTTCACTGTCCCCTAACACTCCAGTAGCCGGTGACACAGGCTGAAAGTGAGAGTAGGCACCATTTCATCCAGGTGTGGGAATAGCAAAAGATAAAAATACAACAAAAAGCCAGTGGATTAAGACAAACAGCATTACAGATTTGTGACCTAGTCTTCATGGCACAAAAATTGGCTGCACCCTCTGCTTTGGGCATTTTAGAAAGAGAGAGGGAGTTTGCAGAACTTCGTAACAGTTAGGAATTAATAATTTAAGCCCAGATCTCTGATTAAGTGTGACCCATCCTTAGCTGGACAATTTTCTCTCTGTTGATACAGTAGGTGCAATTCCTTTGGTGGTGTTTGTTCTGTCACTTTCAAGGTCTTTATTTTCCAGAACTTGCAGAAACAGCATGCACATACACATGAGGAAGTGTGAACTCTCAGCAGTATCAAAGGAAATAGCCTGTGCTGTCACCTGCACACTGGAAGAAACTGCTCTGTATATTTAAGGATATCAAGAACTAACTAGAGAAGAGAATTTCCAAAGACTCCTACTACTGTAACAGGAATGAATTGTCCATACTGCTGCTGTCCCAGCTCACCTTTCTGGCTCCTGAAGGCTGAGCACCTTTCCCAGGCAGAAAGGTAATGGTATTTGTTGCTTAGAGTCTAAGAAAAAAAATAAGGTGAATATGTAAAATAAGGTGAATAAGTAAAACTCTTCTTTTGTTTGAGGACTGCCACACCTAAGGGAACCTACAAGCAGCCACAGAGATACTGTGGGAAGACACTGCTGGGTCAGGCTTGGATTCTGCCCACACCTGGAAGGTGTTTGCACATATCTAAGGAGCAGATTTGTGCGGCTGTTAGAAAAAAACACACAAGCTATGCAATAAATAAATAGCACCCATCCCAATAAACTTCCTCGTCAGCAGACAAAATGCTTTTACCCCAGTTACATTTACATTTTATTCCAGTGATTTTGGAAGACCAGTAAAGATTTCATTCACATCCATTTTAAAACACATTGCTCACAAGCAGTCACAAGAACAACAGAAGTCTCCTGACTAACTCAGTCCAGTTTTGCCCAGCCATCACAGACCACTAATTAAATGCAGGGCCACATGCCACCCCACTCCACTCACAAACAAATATACAGTTCACATACACTAACATCGTAAGGGGGAGGGACAGCAGAAAGGAAATAGCAAGGAGCAAGCTATCCCAGCTATAGAACCCCTTTTGCCTACAGATCTCTTCCAAGTTATCCTGGGAAACTGGCCAGATTAATTACACTGGTAGACCACACACAGCCCATGGGTAAGCAGCCTTTGCCTTGAAGAACCAACTTTGCTTTGTGAAACTTTCCCTTGAAAGCATTGTCAAAGGTGCCAGCCTTGGAGAAATAATGCTGCACAACCCTACCTTTGTTCAGCTGCTGTGTTTAGAGTTGTACTAGTTTAGAATTCAGTCTATCGCACCATGTTAGCAGATTGCTGTTGGAAGGGGACGGCAGGGCGAAGGAGGAGAATTACAAAACTAACCAGATCCTAGCCTGCTGGCTGGATGAATTCCAGAACACAAAGTCTGTTTTAATCACAGACACATGTACACATTTCCCACCATCTTTCAAATCTCCCTGCCAGATCCACTTCTTATGAATGAGCAAGGTATTGAAACCAGCAGGAATTCTGCTTTCACAAGGTCCAGAAATGCAAGATTCTCATGAATCTCAAATCCTGCTGGGTAAGAGAAACCAAGGGACCACACAGTGCACGCTAGATGGGGCCTGAGATTACTGCTAACTCAACAGGTTGCTGTAGAGCCAGGATTTTGTCAGTCACACATTTCAGTGCTCGTTTCTGGAAGCATCCTTTGAATAACATGCAGAAAGGACTAGAACTGGACTGCAATGCAGAGTCATGTTTTCTTTGGGTACCCAAAAGACTAGATGACCTTGCAAGTACCAGAAGCAGCACAGCATACTACCAGTGGCTCCCAGATGCCTTTCTGCAGCAGTGATCCTGTTTCTCTACAACCATACAGACTCCAGGCACCATCTGATTTGCTGTGGGTGATCTAAGGTGGATCTGACTGTTCCAACCCTCTGTCCTGACAGCATAGGCCACAAACCGACATGTACATCCCTGTCTGAAACACTCTGACATGAATTAGCTTGATCTAAAAGAGGATATCCTCTAAGGTGCTGGACTGTGAAACAGAGGTTGCGTTCTCTTACACCAGCTCTGCTCTGGAAAGTAACCTCTTTCAGAAGGGCAGTGGCAAACCACCTCAGCAGCAAAAGCCAGAGCACTTAGCCTTGTGCGAGTGAATGGCAACTGGACTCCTGACTCAGTTGTGGGCACATCCGCCTGCAGAAAGAAGACTAAATCCAACAACTCTGAGAAAGAGAAGAATTAAGAAAGTCTGCTGTTAAAAGGGCTAAGTATCTTCCAAAGTTGCTTTCTTAGACATGCAAGACGTTTACTGTGGGGGACCTTTGGACCACTTCCTGTCTTGGTTTTCTACACCTTTCTGGAGTGCTTTTCCCCTGCTTACTTGAATTCATTTCATGGAGTAGTTGCCAGCCTGGCAGAAGCCCGATATACTTAGCTTAGTTATTGCTAATTACATAACACCTCAGCAACTGATAGTACACCAGTCAAACCCAGCAAGATGTTATCTCAATAAGCAACTGTTTGCAGCAAAACAATTAGGAAAACTAAAATCAGCACTTATAATACTTCTGTCACTGCTGGTAAAATTGCAGGCAGCATCTTTGTTAGGACTAGCTTGTTACAAACCAAGCAAAATCCACTGCCAGGAAAGAGACTCAAAAGTGGGTGGAAGAAGGAACGTGGCAGATGAGAAAGGCAATACTGGTCTTCTGTCTGCCTTCTCTGAGGGGGCAGCAGGTGGTTCAGTGGCACAAATACCACCTTCCTAAAAAAATAAGTTTAGTCTTCTTAAAAAAAAAAAAAAAAAATCTCATGCCAAAAACATCCTCCAAGAAAGACTTCCATAATAAAACTGAAAGCGCAGTGAAAGCCCCTGCTGACTTCCTGACAGGGCAATAAAACTCCTGTGTCATCCAGGAGAATCACCAGAAAACTGACCACAGTGACTCTCAAGTGTCAAGACTTGAGTAAAAAGTGTGACCTTCAATCTCAAATCTTGAGTCAAGGTTGTCAAATGCTGAACAAAAAGCTCAATAAATTCAGACCCTCTCTGGAGTAAAAGGAGGAAAAACAAGAAAATGCAATAAATGAAGCTAAAAATCACCAAGCCAAGATTACAACACAGGCTAAGCTAATCAAAATGGCTCAACTTCAACCCCAACAACAGCCAGATACAATCACTAATAACACTACACACCTTGAACAATGATTGAAACATTTGGCATCAACCCACCACTCATGGAATCCACTTTCACTGATCTTCAGTGGAAGATCTGGAAACAATGAAAACATGGGATTCTTTAATATCCAGCCACAGACAATATGAAAAAAGTCAGTAAAAGCACAAATGAATAAAACAGTTCTAAATTAAGCTAAAGGGATGGGATTACATGATTTGTTGTTGTTAAATATCCTTTTAAGGATGTAGCAAATCCTGATATTCAGAAGTCACCATGAAGTAAAAGCCATTTTTATTTAATGTATACACACAATATATATATATATGCTTATATAGGAAAGTATTTCTTGGATGCAGGATAATTTGAAATACTGAGGTCAGAATCAGAAGTATGCAAGAAATTCTACCAGAAAAATGGATCATAGAATGGTTAAGAAATACACAAAATATGGAGCTGACTGTGCAACATAAAACTCTAAAGTTTCTTGGAGAGCTCTGCATGAGCACAGCCACCAACTTCTCCACATCACATTGCGGGATTAAGGCCTATTTTAAAGTCTCTAAACAAAACAGCCTGGAGCTTAATTCAGTCAGAACTAAGCTGAAACCAAGTTTAGGTCTGAATATTCCAAATACTTTTATAAGCAAGAAAAAAATAAATAAAAAATAAAAATAAGAGACAAGGCACGGTTACTCATTCAGACATGAGTATCACGTATTAATGACAGAATGAAGTGAAAGCATGGTGGGTATCACTTTGAGTTCTAGGATTGTAATTTCACTGTTAACATCAGAATCCACATTCACAGTTTGAAACCACCTCCAATTGCACTGCTTATAGGGGTTAAAGCCATTTCAGCTAGTTTCAGAAACAGGCACCAGCAGTGAGAAAAAAAAAAAAGTTCCCTAGACTGCTTAGCTAATCTCCATTTCTTTCCCTTTTTCTTACCTTCATTTTCTCAGTTCATTTGTGCCCTCTGAAGCCCATCCAGATTTCAAAGAAAGTCATTACAACAGTAGCATCAAAAAGTATTGTTGCACAACTGAAAAGGGATGTTTATGCTTTATTGCTACAAGAAACACTAGATAGAAAAATACCTGTCAGGTAATCTAGTCTTTCCATCCCATTCAGAATTACTTTCCACCACAAAGTATTTTTCTAACAGAATATTATAGAATACCTGGGAAAAAAAAAAAAAAAAAGAGAGAGAGAGAAAAAGAGATGAAGGTGTTTATGAAATACTGCAGATCCAGATGGTGTTTCCAAACAGAATACTGTATGCATTTCTAAATAAGTTACCATGTTTTATAGCACTCAGTATGTAGCATTTCAGAGGGACAATTTCAAACATGCAAGAGAAGATGGACCAGCATTTATTTATATTGCTAGTTACTAAGCTCAATTCCAGGCATGTATGGGTTGAAAAGTTAAAATAAATTAATAAATTTAAAAAAAAAAAAAAGTAAGCAAGCAAGAAAGAAAAAAATAAAAAAGAATACATCACAAAAGCTCTAGAGTTGCTTCCCTCTGCTTGGGTACTCTGCCTGAGAAGGTTTTTAAAACTCAGGTAATACCCAGTAACAGAGGGAGACTGTTTCCTCAACCAATATTTAAGTGCACTAGTGCCACTTCACCCTTTTGTTCAACTTCACAAAAAGAACTTGCTTTTATGTCTACTGTAAATATTTAGATAAGATGCATATTCTGCAGCCAACAGAAACCAAGAAAGATAATTCTGTAATATGCAACTCACTGAGGCTGCATGCATTTTCAAAGCAAGGTTCAGAGAATGCAGAGTTTTTGACAGAGTTAAAGAAAGCAACAGCCACACAGCCATTTACAACTTAGAAGGGAAAATAAATGCAAATAAAAAGCAAATTACTTACCAATACTACAGACTGCTTCTGCCTTAAAAATGAATGACCTTTAGGACCCAGGAAGGGTATGGGGCACATTCTGGCACATATCCATTGCCCTGACAGACTAAGAATTCACAGCACTTAGCCATCCAGATCAAAAGATGAATGTTTCTTCCAAAGGTAAAGCCCACCATTTAAACAAACTACAGTTATGGTTTAGGTAACAGTACTGCTGCTGCTATTTCTGCTGTGAGTATTCAATCAGCCACTTATGTTCATAAGGAGTCCATAAGGTGATAGTGTCAATGCTCTCCCAAACATGTAATTAGATGGACTAACATCAGGGCTTTACTAAGTCACAAATGCAGGTTGTAGAGAATAGCGAGTGAGAGTGTGTGTGTGAGAGAGAGAGCTAGGGAAAGGGGAGAGGGAGAGTAGAATTATAAATGGATCTAATTTGGATATAATACAAGCTGCACATGTGGACTGAGAAGAGTCTCTGGCCCATAGTGTGTAAGCTGTCACCAAATTGTATTTTGTTAATAATTCATATCTGTAGCCATTGAATTAAGCCAGCCAAAGTGCCACCTACCCAGGTATCTAAATACAGTCAGCATAGCTATCATTTAAACAGCTACAGCTTGGTTTTGCTTAATATGGTTTCTCCTAAAATTCTGACAGCTGCTTGAATGCTCTGGTAGCTTTTAGCCAAATTATTGCAAGATCTCCATTTCCATTTTAAACCCTGAAAATAGGTGTATATTTTACTAATAACCAACCAGTGCTTTCAAGGTCAACAGAGGAAAAGGATTAAAAAACTGTACAAATCAAAAATACTATATATAAAGTCTTACACAGATACCCATTCTAAATTATTTCACATTTATGCTCAACACTATCAGTCAAACAACAGCTGTTTTGCTTTCATTTCTGTCATTCATTTTGATATCCCAAAGTACTGTCACCAGGAGGAGATAAACATTAATTGTGATGAAACACTGCTTTCTGGAAATTCTTAATTTCTCCAAATGTCCTCACTACATATTTGGGTGTGCAGAGGTAGAGATGTACCTTAACCAGCCAGAAACCTCAGATGAACATCAGCTGTTCTACATGTGCAATTTTAATGTCAAATCCTACAATCTGATAACCAGAGGACAAAATATTTAAGAATATCTGGCTGTGATTATTTTGCTTTCAAACAAAGTATTATGGCAGTAAGCATTATTTACTCACATAAAGATTGCTAGACCCGCAACGACCTAGAAACTCAAGGATTTTATTAAGAGTAGATTACATCCCTCCAGAACTTGACACAGCATGGTTCTTTCTGCTGCAAACGCACAGGAGCTATCACTTTGGTTAAAGGTAGATGCTCCCTTTACGTCCAACGTACATAAGTGGTATAAGATTCCATGTCACAGATGACAGCAGTATTTCCACACTGGTCAGCTTGTAGGTCATATTGCTGTCTAAACATAACTACACACACACCATGCCACCCCCCAAAAGAGCTTTGCTATCTGCATTCATCCTATGCAGTTAAACAGTCTAGTTGTTGTACTATGGAAAAAAAAATTGAATATCTACAAATGTTCATAAGCACAACTGCTAATTAATAACCACTCTACTTGCACCTGATATTTGTCTGTAGCTGGATATGGTTCCCAGGCATCTGGATCTGTAGTGGCAGCTTTGAGATTAGGAACTAAACATTGCCAGATTTGTAGTTAAAATTTTCTTTCATGAAATAGTTTAATTATATAGTGCATCAAACTCATTGTAGAAGAAGTAAACTAAAGTAAGGTATTTACAATACCTGAATCCAATCCTCGATCACCTATTTTATTATTCACTATATACATTCTACCTACATAAAAATGTACATGTATAAGTGTATGTATACAAGTGTATCTATCATCAACGTGGAAGTAAGAACTACATATTTTCCTTAACACTGTTAACAATTATTAAATACCAGTTGCACACAGCACTTTTATATATTCCAGTAGGGAACACAGAATAAGGCAGCACGTGATAGCTGCAAGCTCTAGGGAGACAAGCTTAATCCACTAATAAATCCACCTGGACCTCAACAGATGCCATCTCCTGTCAAAGCCATTAGAAAACACTCGATCATTTGTTCCTGTTTTGACTGCCATGTAAAGCATAATCAAGATCATCACTTCTCAAGAAACATCTATCTTTGGACCCTACAATTTATTTTTTATTTTTTACCTCTTTGCAGAACACCAACAGCATCCCCATTTAAAGGCCACAGACACGGCAAGGGATAGTTAAATTCTTCCAGCGTGGCATTAGCAGAGCCAACTAATTGTGCTCCTGGGTCCCATCTAGCTATTGTGTGTTTGTTGGTCATGCTGCTTTCCAGGCTTTGCACAGTCCCTGTCTCCAGATAGCCGTGAAGTATCCACCTGCGTGCATACAGGCTCACATGACACATATCTGTGTCACAGCTGTATAACAAAACAGACAAAAAACTAGTGGGTGAGCTGTCAAAGGGCAAGGAAAAAGCAGATCTGCTTAAGAACAAATAAGGTAATTCATGTGTTTGGAGCAAACCTAACAAGTGGCAGGTGCTGATAGTACAAACCCTAGAAAGCACAATGGAAGTAGAAGAGTCAAGAACAATAGGACTTTTGTGTTCTCCTCCAAGTCATCACAAATCTTCAATGAAAAAAAAGCTTCCCTATTTATGAAAGGGAAAAGTGCATTAGTTACCAAAATATTAACCATCCACTATTGCTTTACCTGCCTTAATGCAGTGCTGGGAGCAGAGATTTTAAAGACGTGTGGCAAAACCACTCAGCAAAGACCTGCCTGAAGATCTGAACACACATTTTGCCTGAACACCAACTGAACAGAAATTGCAGCTACGGCATTCAGCCAGACATGAGTCATGCCCATCACAATGAGAGCTTGCTGAGTCTAAAAAGAACAGATTGGTGTAACCAGTTGACACCAACAAGTCCTGCTTTCTAACAAAGCGTTTTGATTTCTGTATGTGTCATCTCAGGAGTCATCACTCTGTCCCTATTGTCACATTTTTAATTGCGTCATACACTGCAATCCCAATGCTCATTGGACTAGTACCTTGACCTTGTAAATCACCGGTATTGTCATGCAATAAGATCATGAGGAAACATCACAAACCACAGCTAAACATTATCCACAGTACACCTATCAGACAAAGATCTTTCTTTTTTTTAAGAAGCAAAAACAAATTTATTGAGGGAAGTAAAAGGAAACTGCAGAACTTCACTTCCATCATTTGCAGTTATCTCATTCTTTCCTATATGACTGCACACACAACTGTCTATACACATTAACAGCAAGCACATGACAATGACCGGGTGGTCAGGAACCACCTTCTTCACTGCCACCAAAAGATTTTAAAATACCCCTTTTTCCTTAGTTTTGCATAATCTGTGTGGACATAAATCATCTGAAAATAGCTGTAGCCTTTAAACAATAAAAATTTAAGAAAAGGATAAGACCTCATTTAACTAGGTTTCAGACCAACATACATTAATGCCAGCAAACATTACAAAGAGGGCAGATGATGCAGTCAGCCACATTAATGGGCTTTAGGGAATTGTACGACATAAGGAAAGCACAAGTGCTTTACAATCAACAGTTTGCACCTAACCACAAACACCTGGATGAGAGTCCCTCAATCCTGGGAGAGGGGAAAAATAAAACAAATAACAGAGCAGCTGTTCTACATATGCATTAGACTCAGCTCGACTTATCACAAGACACCAGGCAAAGGTAGCATCAAGAATGCGTAAAAACAGCCAGAAACAGAACAAGGTGCTCGGCCTGTGTTGCACACATACACAAGATGACACACACCAGCTATGAAGGATTAAAAAAAAAAAAAGTACAGGACATTTTGAAAGTGCATGCAGCTCACTGATGATACATTATGGGCACCCACATCACTGCAAAAATCATCACTGGGTTCTAGCAGGTACCATTTCAGATTGACACAGCCAGCCGTAAACCTCTCAGTTATATCTATCTTTCATTTCTCAACTCCAGTACAAATAACAGGTTACAATGTTTGCTATCACTATGACTGATGTGGATTTCACACAGGTACAGTGCTCTCCAAGATGGAACAAAGTGGGGGATAGTTGTATCACTTTACGAATACTTTGCATAGTTCCATTCGATTGTTTGAGATGGACAGCTTTCTGTAGGTAAGATCAAAGAGTGGTGGAGGAGGAATCTGACAGGAAAGAAAAGCTACAACCTAGATAGGGATCATCCCAGCAAATTCCAACTACAATAGACAGGCTATTACCAATGAAGAAGCAATCTGTCTTCAGCCAGAATTGTGACATTGCTCCTTTTCCAAAGTTTAAAATAAAAAAAATAATAATTAAAAAAAAAAGATCTGAGACAAATAAACAATCATACCAAAACATTGGTCTGTTAAAGGAAGGAATGAGCTAGGCCAACTAGCACACACTTTCAGAGCACGCAGACAGTGGCCAATCTAATCTGCAAGATCTAGAGTCACCTGGCACCACAACAAAAGGTGAAAGATGCAAAAAACCCACAGAGACCCTTCCTTTGGTTAGCTTGTGTGCTATTTACCTTTGGGTGGAGAAATAAATGAGTTTTCAGTTTTCCATGGATGAATCACTTGGCTTACCCAATGGGGAACAAGTGCTCTGGCAACAGACAGCAATGTACCTAGGCAGATGGTAAAAGTGGTCTTTGATACAATGCAAGAGTATATTAGCAGTACAGACAGCATCATAATTGTGCATTACCAGGCATGTGCGAGACCCAGAGGCAATCCAATCAAGCAGAGCAGTCAGCCAGAGCCAGATAACATGGCTTAGAAATACTGCCATTGTCTTCACTAAGGCTAGACTGCACAAGCCAGGCCAACCCACAGAATGTCCCACAAACTGGTCAGGAACCAAACCATGGTTCCAGGCACCAACCTGAATCCTTGCATCTCTCTCCATACCAGCTGGCATGGAAAGGGGAGAGCAACATTTGTACCATTTCTTACACATTTCCAAGAAGATAAAAGAAGCATACAGGTATATTAACTGTCCTCTTCCCTACCTGCCTGCCTTCCACAGGGAAAAACACTTTATGTAAGGACCACTTCATACCTCCTCTGGCACAGAAGCAACATGATGACTGTTATTGGACCAACAGTATCAGTCAAACATGTCCTAGAGATCTTTAGAGTGCTTCTTAATGCAGCAAAGACTGACACTCCCCAGGACAGTCAAGGGTTTGGCCAGTTTTATTTGTATGCAAGCTTGTATAATACTAATTTTCATAAAATGAAGCGTTCTTTTTCCTCCCAAAATATACATGAAATTCTATTGGAATATGCTTCCTTATGTACCTCCCTTACCATGCTCTCTGCTTCTGGGCACATGGCCAGAACAGTTCTGCTCTCCAGATGCCAATCTTGTTTTTCTCTGGACTGATATTGGAATGAGCACATCAACAAAGGACAGCAGTGGAACCCTCTTTAGTACAAAAGAATGTCAAAACATTATGTGGCAGCAAGATTTCTCCTCTGCCAGCAGCAACAGAAACAGTGACATGTTCTGCATAGGTAATGATTGCAGCTTATATTCACATACTCAAATTTCCAAATACTGTCCTGGTAATATGGTGCAGGTCCTCTCAATGAACTATGTTCAGAGAAGACAACTTTCAAAACATCTGGAGTAATGCTGTTTTCCCAGTCTTCTGGCAGGCTGTAAAATAAAAGACTTACTGACAGCCAAAAACACAATAAATAAATAAATAAACAAACAAACAAACAAACAACTCTGTTGTGGTACTACACAACAGAGCCATCTTACAAACCACTCCTATCCCTATGTTGCAAAGAGATTTTCATGCTGTCACCTTAATAATGCAATAAAAGGCAGAAGAGAGCTTTAGTTATAAGTATCAAAATATAAAATTCTACCCAGAGAGTGCTGAGAAGATAAAGTCTCTTCTCACATACTAGAAGTGACAGTTTTGCATTAGAAAGCAGCAGTACAGATTTAAAAGCTCCAGGAAAACCTGTACTAAAGGCACCGAAAAATCAAAGTGCAGCTGCTCTTTTTACTGCTTAAATCATTATATATTAGCAACAAATCTTGTTGTTGGCCAACAGTCAGAAATGGCATACGGCCAATAAAAGGTTCAGTGGAGTTTTCCATCTGTCACTGAAATCAGCTATGGCTCCAACTCATACATAGTAAGTATAGTGTCATAATTATTTGTGTACTAGACATCAACCATTCATTCTAACATAATCATTTGACTACACAATTTGCTAAATATACTGCCCAAGCAAAGCACTACATAACCATGTATCCCATGCATTTCAGTTACATTTATAGTACATAGTACTAGCACTAGCGAGAGGTAAGCATGTGAATAGAGGGTGGGGTCTTGAAATAATAGGTTATACAAATAGAAACACACTGAAGTATCCTCTCAGTATGTAACAAAGACATTAAGAGGCAACCATGATCTTATTAAAAATCAAAACGCACAGGATAGTAAGTTTGTGAGTGGCCACCACTTCTAATTTGCCCCTGCTTGCTCATTCCAAATACCAGGCATATGGATTTACCTTGCTGTCTTTACTGTCCTGCCAGCACTAGAAGGCTGACAGACAAAACTTTCTTGTTTCACTGTAGCTTCAGCAAATACCTTAATAAAAACATTGTTTGATTTTTTTTTCCCATTCATTTTTAGCACTCTCAAGCAACGATATTTTCCTCCCTCTCCCACAGCACTCCAGCGCTACAAATCCTGCACTGATAGGTCTTTAGGGCTGCATTTCGATCTTGATTTTCCAGACAACAGAATTTATATTTCAATCAGCCAAGAGTCACAGACTTCTTGGCCCCAAATTCCAGCACAGGCACATGCGTACTGCAATTTTCTATTTAAGTCAGGAAAAACTTGTAACATTCATAAATACAGTTCTTTAACAATGGTAGGGGAAGGAAAAATAAATAAATATGTTCCAAGTCATTCTGGAAGTCAAACCCAAAACATTTGTTTATGCAAGTTTGCAACAGTCCTTTCTCTTCCTTAAGCTTCACTGCTCCACATCTTCTACAAAAGAACTAACAAAGAAGTTTAGAGCTACCGGATCTGACCTGTGACTGCCTCTTAACTTTTAGAATTGGGGATGCTGAGAGCATGGTAAAGAGAGATGCAGGAATTCACTGAAACTTTTTGTAATATTTAATAACTCTTTTGCGGTTTGGTCAGAGCTGGCACAACTTCACAGCAATAAGCTGATTTGCACAGAAGTGAGTGCATGGCTCCAACAGATGATAGCAGTTCACAGGGACAGTTTTTTGCCCTAAATAAGGTTCTATGCATAATGCTGCTTGGCTCTTCAGAAAAGGAAGATGAGTAGAAGCAGATGGCTTTATTTTTTAAAATATAAATTATAAAAACTGACAAGGGGTAAAGTGCTCAACTCGTATATCTAAATATTACTTACCTTGATACGTACTGGGCCTGCAGAGTACTCAGGACATTCACATGAGGCTAGCAGGACCCATTCCAGAGCAGCAGATGGAAAGCAGGTAGGATAGCCTCAAATACCCAAAGGTCAAACACCTACAATTACAGAACAGAATTGGAGCCTAATACATTCAAACTCTTGCACAGAGGATATCCCATTAGGCAGATCCAATATTCAATAACTCAAAGCAACCAAACTGAGCATTTTAAAAGTTGGTTTAAATCTGCACAATTTTCTTTATTGCTTCTGTAAAATTGAAAGAAATATTCAAATCAGAAAACAGATCAAAACAAAGCATTTCCAAGCAGGGCTTTTAAAGCCCTGTTTTAAAATATTTGCAATCATTTGTCCTGTCTTGAAAGCTGGAAATTTGTGCAAGCTCTCTTACCAGGAGCATCAACTCACTGGACGGAAAGGAAATACAAACAGAACAAAAGTTAAAAGAAGTGGCTTAAGAGGAGGCAGTTTTACACAGACCCCAGTGAGGAACTGAAGAATGTGCAGTGCATGCTGTGAAAAGTCTCCCTCACCTTGAATTAGAAGGCTCTTCAAAACTAGGAACTGTTAAACTGAGAAGAATCAAAAGTAGGCACACTCAAAGGTCAATTCAAGAGAAAAAGGGAAATGAACAAACAGACCAAACACTTGGTTTGTGTGCACTGCATGTCCCAGAATCAGAACAGGCACAGAAGGTAAAGAAGAAAGAGGCAGCATTTTCCACTACCTGAAAAACAACAAGTTCTGGGACAGATGAATATCACCAAAAATTCTTCTACATTTGATTCATCAACAAAAGTAGGGTCGGGCAAGATCCATGGGAGCACAGATGCACACATTCAACTCTTCTCTAGAAGACACTGTTTCCTCCCTCAGACTGAGCAGAGGACTGCATTTGGTGTCTCAGTTTTCAATAGGAAAACATAAGACCCTCTCCTTGATTCTCAGAGATTTTGTATTGGCTTCAGTGGGCATAAACTCCAGAAAAGCATGATGAGAGGCTATACGCTGTCCTAGCCCAGCAGCCCAAACTCTTAAACATTACCAAATAAAAACGCATTTCCAGCTAATGGAAGTGATATAATTGGGGAAAGTGTGTAGGAAGATCACAAAGCTGAAGCTGTTCACAACTGCTTCCTCCTCAGCAGGAAATGATGGTGAAAAAAAATCCATCCATTTAACTACACATTTCTCAATGTCGCAGATGAAATTCAGCAACAAAACACTGAAGAAAGGAAAAATCAAAGCTTTATATTTACAATATAAAATACTCCAAACCACCTATTCTCACTCAAGGAAGAAGTACTGAACATACAAAGGTAATGCAGTGAAAGCATCAACTGAATGCCCAGTAGCACTGGAAAGGGAAAAACAAAAACAAACAAACAAAAAAAAAAGCAAACAAATATTAGGAATTATAAGAAAAATAACAGAAGATATCTTTATGCCATTCTATAACTCAACAGAATAGCTACATCTTGAATATCATGTTCAATACTGAGCTCCCTTTCACAAAGGGAGAGATAGAAAAGGTACAAAGGCCAATAAGGATAACTAAAGGAACAAAATTATTTCTGCACACAGCACAGTTACACGCACTCTGGAAAACAGATGGCTGAGGGGGGAAATAAAACAGAAGCTGCATGTTGTGGAAAAGGATAGCAAGGAAAAACTGTTCAGTGTCTACTCTAATGCAAGGAGAGAGGAAACAACTGCTTGGATGATGAGAAAGCAGGTTGAAAACTAACAAAGAAAGGTGTTGCTTCATGCTGCTTGTAGTCAGCCTGTGGAACTCATTGCCTCAGGGTGCTACAGATAATAACTGCTTCACATGTTCAAAAGTGAATACGCCAGTTGACACAAGGAAAAAAGCCTATCAAGAAAGCCTGCCAAACACAAATACACAAATCCTGGGCTGCGGCTGAAGTTGAAGAGAGCAGACTGGTAACGTATCCAAACACGTCTGCCCTCACCTTACACTGTTAGAACAGCACTATTACCATTGCCAGAAACAGGACCGGACTAAACTGAGCAGTGACATGATCCACTAAGTCTGTTCTTATGTTAACAATATGTCTGATATGTGAGATTCTGAGACAAGGCTGTTGCATACAGACTCACCAAACAATACCAGCTGCTGCACAAGACCGACTGCTCTCTAGCTCTGTGACTCTACCAAGCACTTGGACCACAGAAGAAAGCAAGCTCAGTGCTTGCTCCAAAACAGCTTTCTTAGCTTGTCATGGTAAGCAGAACCAGCAGCAGCAGTGAAGGGACAGGAGGAGTAGAAATTTGTCATTTTTTTCTTCCCCCACCAGAAGGCTTTGTCTCTGCTAGCACTGAGAAATTGAAGACTTGCTCTAGCTGAGAAACCTTCTGCAATTGACAGAACCTTTAATATTGATTCAGAAAAAAAAGTAAACTGAAAATTGTTTATAAAAACATATATCAGCAAACCAGTCAGCACTGAAAGAGCCTTCTTGTAAAGCAGGAGCAGGACAGCAGCTGGAGACCTGGCTGCCATTTCAGTCATCTACTTACAAAGAGAACAGAGCATGGAAGAAGTCGTGTAAATTTGTACATACTATGTACATTGTCTTCGTGATTGCTGATTATGTTTATCAGTGATGACTGATCACTAAGAAATTATGCTTCCAGTGGTGGGGAGACAAACACGTAAGCTAGCAGCATTTAAAATGGATGAGAAAACTCTTAAATTATAAGGAATTTAGAATATCTGAGAATATGAGGAACAGCATGGAGCAACATAAAGATATAACAATTGTTCTATGCTGAGGGAAAAAGTTTCAGCCCTATCACATCTGTCTCTTTGTAGCTACAATATGCTTCTTGTGAAAGATACAGTATTATCTATACATTTTATGCTAGAAATTAAGCTATCAATATACTTATTATTTAAGGTATAATAAAAACTCATAATTTGTCTTAAAAAATTAAAATATGTGTCATACATAATTAAAATATCTGTCTGCATATTAAGCAATTCCCAGAAAATATGTAAAGTTTTAAATAACCTTCATTTCACGGTGGAGCTTTTTAAAGTTAGCATTGTGAAGGGATAATCAGTAGTGACTCACCATCAGTTTATGTGAGCTTGGAAGAAACTAAGTCCTCGTACAAAAATACAAAACTGCATTTATGTTGATGAGATCTCTCATGAGAAAGCAGTGGAGGGACTGCACCAAAGCTCTCTAAAGAGACATTCTCAGAGTTTGCAAGAATTTTATGCTTCAGTTGTCTGTGCTGCTCAGTTTGAACAGTAATAGTTCTGTCATCTCCTTGACAGAAGCACAGAATTGATTTTGTTCCTTCATTTCATGCAGAGCTTACAGTGTTTCCAGAGGAAAGACAGGCGTCTGCACACATAACTTGTGTATTAGTCTGGATATAATTTACATGAGCTCTACCCAAAGTGTAAACTGGGAGAACCAAGGAGTTCCAGCTGAATTTCAGCCAGCGTTTGTAAATTCCAGGTTCACAGAGCTATCTATTCAGACCATCTTTTTGGCGTACTGCCACTTAGATATATATTACCAGAGTTATCTGCTCTTCAATTCGTTGCTCTCCCTCTTCATTGCAGAAGAGGCAACAGTCTTATGCTTCACTGTCTAGCCAGGCTGCCACAGAGGCCCCTCCTCCAGCTCCCTGGGGGGTGTTCTCTGCTCCCCCCTTTTTCACTTGAGCGAAAAGCACACCCATGGAGCAAGCAAGCAAACTGCTCGCCCCCATCCCCCTAGCTTCACCCCTGAGGCTGCACAGGGGTGATGGGAGGAAAAGAGAATTTAAAGGAGCTTATCATAACACACAATGTTGAAGTAACAAAAGGTTAGCATCACAGATACTGCACCAAAAACCAAAGGTATTTTAAAACACAAGGACTCTCCTCTAGGCTGATGCACAGCAACATAACCCAACATAAACAAGCAGGGGTTTTTTTGTTTGTTTGTTTTAATTTTTTTTACAACACATTTGTTTACAGATCAATTTCTGAAACACAAAAACATCCTCAAATCAACACCTATTACATTGTAAATAATGCTAGTACATGCTGATGTTATCTGGTGAAACAACTTGGTAGCCTGTAAGACAGAATTAAATGTGTCCCTTCTCTGATATGTCAATAATAATTATTTTTCTAATGCTTGTTTAGTTATAGGAATACATGAAAAGAAGCAATCACATTAGAGAAAACATGATTTGATGTTGTTTGTATACAAATGCTTATGTACTGAGAGTTTGTTTCATCTCCTGAGATATCACTGAGGTTACAAACTTGCAGGCAATAACCATAATATTATAATCATAAGAATAATGATTTCCATTTTTATTTATGTAGAATGTAAATTCCTAAGTACTTACAAACTCAAGGTCAGCTGAAAGTTGCCAGAGAAGCAACAGTTTCATTAGCAATGCAACAAAAAAAATAACAACAAAGCTTCAACAAACCCAGGAGACTCACTAAAACCGCAGAGGCTGTGACACAAAGGCTTCATCACACAGTGATGAACATCTACATCTCCAAAACAGTATAAGGGAACTACACCAAAATGATGGCAGGCAGGGAATGAAGCCAAGTCTCAAGACAGCCAGAGTGCAGAGCCAAAGTAAAAAAGCCATAGAAAACATCTTAAACAAGAGGGGAAGCATATACTCCAGAGTAAGTACTAGCACAAGGTTTTCTTTAGAGTCAACAGAAAGGGCAGCAACAACAACACAGAAGGGGAAGCAAAAGTCAACCTGAGAGGGACCAGAACTCTGTGGTGTATAAAACTGGCAGTAGAAGAAGAGTTTAGAAATTGCAAGCAAGGAACCATTTTAGGTTTTTGGTTCTCCTTTGTCCAGAGAAAAAAGACCTTGCCTTTCCTATATTTCAGGGGGAAAAAAATAAAATAATAATTAAAAAAAAAGAGCTTGTGTTAAAGAAATACTTGAATACAGTATTTAACTCTCCCAGATGTTTTCTGGTGAATTTACCTGCCCCGTTGATACAACGCTGCACTAGAATAGAAGAGGAGGGCACATCTTTGGTCTATTCACAAACTGATGGAATGGTAGGTATAGAACAGAGCAGCCTCAAGTGGTCATGGTGCAAAGTTACTGTTATCCATATGTCTCCACTCATAAACCTCAACATTTTGCTCCTTTTATTTTTGGCCATCCTGCACACAAGCTCTTTATTCACATGCCTCCAGCATGCCTGATGTATTCGCAGAGCACCCACAATTCTCCATCCTTTTTAGACTATATGCAGCCTTCTGAGTTTCACAGCCTTAAGATGTTCTAAAGACTGGGTATATTTCAATATCAAACAAGAATTTATACGAAGAAGCTTCTCTACAGCATTTGATAAGACTAATTACTGGCTAGTAACAGCCCTGCTCTGGTAGCTGTTTTGCTTCTAAAAGAGGACTGCAGTACAAATAGACTTATTCTAGCCTTTGAGATAAGGTTTTCTGAAGTAATCAGTCTAGGTAGTCAACCAGCATGAGACGTCCATTTCTGTGATACCAAAAGCACTGGCATTTATGATACATTCCAGTTGTCTTAATGAGAACTTTTAACCAAAATAAAACAGTTAATGCATAGAGGAGAGTTCAAATACTACTGGAGAAGACCTTTCTGACTTATATCTTAATAATAATAATAACCTGGAAAGTTTCATTTTCAGTTTGACAGATTCCTTTGATGTCCTGAACAGATGATCAAATCATCCAGTGAGCAAACTAAGACCATGAGAAGTGGGCTATAGTTTCACGGTAGCCAAAGAGATAGCAGATTAAATGAGACAAGTAAGTCTTTGGGCCCAAAGTTGGGAGGCACAACTTTATATGATTGAGCCAATAGGAAAAGAGGAACCCCCAGGCACCAAAATGAGCAGATTCAATCTTCTCCAGCTGACAATACTACACTCTCTTTTCATCAGATATTCATCTGAGGACAAGGAAGCAAAATTACCACCAAAGAATTTCTACCTTTTTTGACATTGTGGGTAGCCTAAGTCAAGCTATGCCTTTGCCAGGCTAGGAATACAAGCCAAGCTCCAAAGCAAATGAGACCCACACGACCATCAGGAATGACTTTATTTCACAGCTAACACAAAAAATATTCCACAATTGTAAACACCCACAGAAGACAGCAGCTTCAGATGACTCCTCAACCACACCTACCTCCCCTTGACTCTGTAGCCCAAATGCTTTTCATGGTCTGTCTGAAATAACCTCGTCACTCACTCAGAGACTGCAATGTAGCTGGAAGCAGCCAAACAGCACAACAGAAAAGCTGGAAGCTTCCCACATTTAGCTCAGAGACATATTAACACTGAAGTCTAACTACGAACCACCAACAAGCATACACTGTTCACAGCTTTGCAGCTTAGAGTGAATAAAGAAATATTCATCACATGTGCAAGGCCAGAACACGAAGGCCAAGAGCTCTAGAAGAAATTTGACTCACACCAGCTTGTGTTGGCTAACACACACTATTCCTTCAAAGCTCAACCACTTTTCCTGTTCATTACAAGGGGCTGCAACTGAGTTGTATCTTCCAGGGATCTTCAGAAGTATTCACAGCAGAACATTTCACTCTTTAAGTACTTCAGGGAGCTGAGGGCCAGAAATCAAAATCCTTCCCCTTCTCATTGGCCTAAAACCATGAATTAACCCACCAACCCTTCCTCAAGTCATGAAATTAGCTTGAAAAATAATACTTTGCCATGTGTTTATTTGTCTTACAGCATTGGAAGTTGAGATTCACATTTTCAAGCTTTCTCTGCAAATATTTATTTGAGAGAAAGAAAACAAGATAGGATTCTGGTGCAGCTAACGTAAATCAGAAAGCTCATGCTTTAAGAAAAACAGCAGCCATCATGAGAGTTGGCAACTCTCAAATCACTACTTGTGGAGAATATTAAACGGCTATCATCAATCTATCTAGATCTAGGAAGTGAGCCATGAAATGCTGACAAAGGGGAATGAATATCTGGTCTGACAATGACTGTGTATTTATCTTTTAAATGAAGAATAATAGAGTTATACTGAAGAAACTTATTTTAACTCTGCAACAGTAACATATCTACCTCATCACCTTAGTGTGATATCTGAACATCCCAGGTTAGGAGAGTTTATTTTACCAGCTCTTTTAGAGACCACCATTTTACACAGATAGTTACTCTAGCTTCCAAAGAGTCATATGAGCAGCACGATCAGAAGAACAGGACTGTGGAAACCAACCTTCTGAACAGCTCTAGCACAGCCTCCCATTGCAGTAGTTGTCCAGGCAGCCAGTTACATCTTCATCCTCCACTTCTGTTCTGCCAAATAAAGATAATACTAATTTACCAAAAAAAAATGTTGGGGATTTTCCTGAGGATGAAAACATCTTCACTTAATTTGCTTCCCAGCACATTAGGCCTTACTACCAGGAACATTACTGGTGTATACTTACACAGAGCATCACATGAAAAACACAAAGCTCTATCAAGGATCACATACTGGGACATTAATTATACCACTAGGGTGCACTCCTATGAGCTCTAGGGCTGCCTGAGTGCACTCATTCAACCCCCGATTGTGCTAATTTTATACAGATATCAATCTAGGACTGAAATAGTAGCTCACAGCTTCAGTTAGAAGAAAAACAATGCATGTGCACATATAATTAAGGAAGCCAAAGAAATTCAAAATTCACTGTACAGGTATACAGAAATGCTAAAATTCTACCTCACCTGTGGAAGAAGAGCACCTGCTGCCCAGAGACAGACAAGCTGATCCCACTGTACATTTCCTTCCATCTGGCCCATCAGCCTGTCCATCAGACACTAAATAGGTCACAGGTGGAGTCAGATCTCCAGACAGCCCAACCTCCTTTTGCTTTAAGTAGTAGCAAGATAAAACAGTCCTCATTTGAATGGGGGGGCATTCAGATTTGTAACAGTTAGTTTACATCAGAATATGGACAACAGGAAAGGAACTATGGCTGCTGTAGTTTGGAGCTACCTCGCCCTCTAAGAGCTTTGTGCTTGGGCAGCCATGGGAGACTTGGCATAGCCCATAAAGTGGCAGGTCGTTAGTGTTAGCGACCTGAATAGCAAACCTCTGCCCTTCTCTCTCCTTCAGAAACTCTGAAAAAAATATTTACATATTTTTTTACTACTAAGGGCTTGGGCTTTACCTTAACAGCAGCCAAAAATGCAGCAGCACACATAAATCTGCACTTTTAGTTGACTCACCTCAGCTTTGCAGAAGGCTCTCAGACTGAAATAGCCTAGACCAGGCAGCCAGCCATGCTGAGGCCAAAACACAGCCTGGCTGTGTGTATTTTTGCACTGGGTCAAGCATGCAGATCTGTAGCACATGGTTCCTCATGCTGAAAGACTTTTTTTTTTTTTCCCTCTATTTGTTGCTCTCTCCAGGGGTGTGTTTTGCAAGGAGGGTGTGAGCACAGCAACCTCACCCACAACTTCTTGGCAAAATAAGTAGGCTTCAGTGTTCACCAAAATAAAAGCTCTTTTTTTGCTTCAGATATGCAGGGAGAGGGGGTGCCTGCAGAAAGGAATTAGAGCTTGAATGCATAGCAAAACCAGACCATAGTAAAACCTCCAAATCCTGAAATTGCACAACTAAGCTTTCCTAATTACACAGCAAGCACCATGTTGTACCAGAGAAGTCACTCCAATCAGAATGGCAGAATTGCTCTATGAGCAATTTAAAGCAGGAAAAAAAAAAAAAAAAGAGTGCGTCATCGAAAAAATTATCTAAATTGAAATGAAACAGCAGATATTAGAAACTTTGCTGAGGTTCTAAGAGTAAGTAAGTGATAAGCTCGAAGGGAAGGAGCCAGGTAATGCCAAGGAAGCTGCTTACCTTAATGATGAAACCCTTTTGGTTGACCTATCTAGGGAAATGGACATTGGTAATTTAGACAAGAAAATTCATACTGTATTATTACGGTGGAAAGTGGGATTTGAAAGAAAATCCTATCCTTAAATCTTTCAAAACCAAAATGTTTTATTTCCTCCTGTAAAACAGGAGCAGCAGCTGCCATAACTTTACTTTGGTATATGTTTCAGAAAGCATGGATAATTTGTTCTCTGAAAGGTACTTGTCACCTCTAAAAATGTTGACCATTAAAATCATTCTTACTGTGGTAAAAAAAAAAATAATAAAAAGTAAAATAAAAGATTAGGCCACAGAAGGTTCTGAAATGGGCAACAGCAGTTGTGAGTGTTCATGTTCTAATGGTGGCTTCCAGATTGTTTATTCGTTCCATTTTACTGCAGAAGAAAAATAATCATTTTATCACCTTACCTCATCTTGCGTATACTAGAGAGGCTGATCATGTGTTAGCCAAGCAACAGGGATGTAGGGAACAAGATTTTGGAAGGATTAGATGCAATGAAGCGAAACACGATTTTCAAGTTTGCCTTTGTTTTTCACAACTGTGAACATTAGCCCTGCATCTAATAAATGATTAATAGCAACATGGGCACCTCAAAATGTCATTTTGCATAACGGGATTGCAAATGTTTATGGAGACACGTCCGTAAGAGATTTATTAGAAAACTAACCCTTTTCCTTTCTGAGTAACTGGTGGCTAGGGGGAGCGGGGAGAATGGCTCTACAAAGCCATGTTGCTAAAAGACTGTATTTTACCATTTAATCCTCAATTATACACATGACTTCATTGTGGAAAGGTCACCAGACAAAGAATTTTAGTTAACCAGCTCTGAAGGGAAGGATTGTGTGATCGGTCTCAGCCTTGCTCTTGCCGACTAGTTTACCTAAACAGCACGAACATCTCTTCCACCCAAGGGGGAACAAGGCCAGTATTCGCACAGCCTGACAAGAATTTTGGTGGAATCGGTGGGAACACAGAGAAATTGGCACAAAAAAAGACACAGCTTCTGTCAGGACAGGCTGAATTAACCTTCCATCTCCTCAAATGGAGAGGAGGATGTGGAGAGGGAAGCGGTGACAGCCTGACAGCGGTACCCATCGGCTCCTGAGGGAGCCTAAGATGAAGCCCCCGGGCAGGCACTCGGAGCGGGGGGGCCGGTGAGCGGTTCGCGGCTCCGGCGGAGCGGCAGCGCCCTGAGGGAGCCCGGGGCCGGGACCCCACGAGGCGCGGGGGGAGGACCGGTCCCGGCCCTCACATGACCGTCCGGGGCCCCAACCCCGGCCGCCTCCTTTCTCCCGGCGCTCAGAGCCGCTCCGGCACCACCGAGATGCGAGCGGGAGCCGAGGGGCGATGGAGGCGGCGGGTGGCGCGGGCGCTGCTGCTGCTGCCGCTGCTGCTGGCGGCCTGGCAGCCGCCGCCGCGGGGAGCGCGGGCCCAGAGCCCGGCCGCGGACGCAGGTAGGAGCCGGGAGCTGAGCCCTCAGCGGCTGCCCCTCAGGGGCTCTGCCGCCGGTGCGAGCCTGCTCCCACCGCGGCGACTCCAGCGTTTCTCCTGAGGCTGCCCTGGAGCCTACGAGGCAGATAAACCCTTTTTGAGAGAAAGAGCCCCACCGAAGGCAGCCCGCGTGTGGAGCACACGCCGCTCTGCTGCCTGAGAGCTACGCGGCATGGGGAAGTGTAACGCCCTTGTACTCACTTTTCAGAAAACAGGACGAACTGTGTCCTCTCCTCTTCATCGGAGTTTCCTGAGGGATTTTTTACATCACAGGAGAGAAAGGATGGAGGAATCGTTATCTATTTCATAATTATACTTTACATGTTCTTGGCCGTGTCCATTGTGTGCGATGATTACTTCCTGCCTTCCCTAGAGATCATTAGTGAATGTAAGTGAACATCCTTACTTTTTCCTTTAAAATTAAGCTCTGTGTAGATCATTCTCTTCGAAAAGTGTCAAAGTTGGAGTGCTCTGGAGACCAAACTAAAGTTCTGAGTCTCCTGCACAGTTAGACTCTATCAATACAACATTTAATTCGAAGCAATATATCAACACCGTACTGAAAAATAAACTCTGATTACACTCCTCTTAAGCATTTATTTAAAATGTGCTTTCCTTATACCTGGAAGAAAATCTTAAAATTTCCTCAGGATTAATTAAAACTGACAATATAACTTTAGGTGAGTAGCTGTAAAAAAATCTATGTTACCAGTAAAGGCAAGAGGGGGAAAAGGGGAAGGAAAAAATCCCAAACCTCTCCTATATTAAATCATGGGAATTAATGTCCTTGCTGAAGTTTTGGTATTTTTTTCAAAGTACTGAACAAGTACCAGTATGAGCAACTGCTTAGATATAAAAGGCATGACACAGAAAGGAAAGAAATATAATTACAGCAGTTCTGTGAAATCTCATTAACCTGTGGTAATTTCCCTGGGTTCAGCAGACCACAGAATTAAAAAGATGGTCTTGGCTGAGAGTTCAGCTTTTCATTGCACAGAATTAAAAAATAAACAAACTAAGAAGCTAGGGAAATTCATCCCCGAACTGCAATGCATTCTCCAGATCGGACCACTTACAGGAAATTTAAGCTTAAGCACTGCTACAGAGCTAGTTTTTTTGTTTTGTTTTGCTTTACTGACAATAAATGTTAGATTGTCATTCCATAGTTAGCCATACTTGCCCATTCTTAGTGTGCACACCTTGATCAAAAAAGAGAGTTAAATTTCTGAAACAGACAACTTACCAGAACAAAAATCTTACTGCCTTCAATCAAGACAGGCTCATCCAAGCATTGGTTTGAATTTACCTAATGTTTCTGGTATGTTAAGACACAGGAGCACAGGTTCCCCTTGAAATAGACTTGACTTGAATCATGTAGCCTTATCACACTGTAGTCCAAGGAATCTCCCTGCAATTGTTATCCTTATGATAAAGTCAGATCCTACATAAGTATGCCTATTTTACATTTTAAGGTCATGCCAAAATGTCTTGTACTATCTGTGCTCCTTTTCTAGTATTTAAACTATTTTCTGTAATAAAGCTGGGAATAAGTTAGCCCAATAAATGAGCCTACACTTTCAATACATTTTGGTCATTTCTAATAAATGCATTAGCTGTATGAAAGCAAGCAAAAGTTCATTTCATTGAACTGCAGAAGCTTTTAACATCATATACTAATGCATGTAATGGGTACAGACTACTGAAGTTTTTTAATTTTAATTTTATTATTAAAGAGTATTTTTATATATTTATAAATAGAGTATTTTTATACTCTGTCCTCAGGCCTTGGCCTCTCTCAGGATGTTGCTGGAGCAACTTTTATGGCTGCTGGAAGCTCAGCTCCAGAGCTTGTCACTGCTTTTCTAGGTAAGAGATACATGCTTTGACTCCTCAAAATCCAGAATTCTTTACCTTGCCTGCTGAACTGGAACATACCCGAGTCATTTTGCTTGTAGGAGTCTTCGTGACAAAGGGAGATATTGGCATTAGCACCATCCTTGGATCAGCGATCTATAATCTTCTTGGGATTTGTGCAGCTTGTGGGCTGCTTTCTAATGTGGTATGTATCAACTTCGATAATTCCATACCTAAGAACCAAATGGTTATCCTTTCTGTTTTGCCAACAAAAGTCAAGAGAGACTTACTATGACAACTGTCAAGTTTATTATTTAGTAGCAAAACCAGCATGTAATCTGTTTTAAGATAAGTTGCTATGAAAGTTTTAAAAACACTAACTTGTTAAATATCATACTTAAGTCATTCCTAAGAATCTTAAATTTGTACATAATATAGAAACAACATATTGATGCAGCATTTACAGCACTTAGTGAAAGTATTACAGACAAATTTAAAAAAAATGTGAATGAATCTGTGATCTGCAGGTTTCAAGGCTATCCTGTTGGCCGCTGTTTAGAGACTGCCTGGCATATACAATTAGTGTAGCGGCGGTCCTTGCGATGATATCTGACAGCAGAATTTACTGGTAAGAGCATGAGTAGTGTTGAGTTCATGTTGACTGGAGATTAGTGAAACAGTGTTAAAACACAACAAAAAACTTCAAGAAGCCTGAACTGCCATTCACTAATAGAAACAAACATCCTGTTGGCTTTAAAAATATAGAAAGTTACAATGCTTGTAAAGATTATTACCTAAACATTCAAACCCTGCATATTTATAAAGTGTGATCTGCATAGGTTTCTCTGTACAAACTTCAGGATTTCTGTCATACCTGGTTTGGCATAGCAGTTAGTCTTCGGAGCTTGCTTCTTTTAGAAGCTTTCCTTTAATAGCATTACCACTAAGAAAACATGTCTCAGAAGCAAATCATGAGCTTCTGATACTAACACGCTTCAGTCAACACTGAAACTCCTGTTGTCTCAGGACAGTCAGGTCCAGTACTATATTCCTGAAGTTTCTTACTCAGAATAACACGTTCTATACCTCTCCATAACCACCATATAAGACTCAATTTTGCAAACATCAGTTGTTCAGTAAGTTCCCCTGGAAAACATGCAGCTATACAACGCACAGACAAGATTCTGCAGGAGAGTGGAATGAATCAAACTACTGAAAGACATGGAGACACAAATTTCCATGACACTGCCCATACAAGTGCAAATAGATGCTTTTGTTTTTGCCTTTCACAATTCATGCAAGTTTTTTCTCTTCTTATGCCAGCCATTTTAATGAGTTTATTTTTATATATTAATATATATTACAAGTTATGTAAAATCTTTTTTTTTTCTTTTTTTTTTTTCACTCTAGGTATGAAAGTGCTTCCTTATTATTAATATATGGGTGTTACATTCTGGTACTATGTTTTGACATTAAAATCAACCAATGCCTCATGAAAAGGTTCAGTCCCTGCTGTTCGTGTTTTACAAAAGCTATGGAAGAGAATGCTGAGCAGCAACCGTTGGCTGGGTGGGAAGAGAGTGGACCTCTAATTCGTCAACAGTCAAGAACAGATAGTGGAATTTTTCAAGATGAGATGGATTATTCTCAACGTTCAACAAGCTTGCATGGGCTTGATGAAATCTCTGAAGGTAGAAGTATTATTAAATTTAAACGCTATATGCCTGTTTGCATCAGTTCTAATAAAGAGTATGGTTTGAGATATTATTCAGATTTTGTTCACAAAAGAACTCTAGCATAGTACTTAAGTAAATCATTAATCTTCCCTAGAATATAACATTAAGTAAAATCATAGTTGTGATATTTATATTAGTTACTAGAGGAATGCTAGGGGAGTTGCTTATTTGTGTCAGTAATAGAACATCAGTTGTTGCTGTGCGTATTTGAAACTTCCCAGCAACTCAGCCTGTAAAATGCAGTATCAGCTGAAACGCATGCTGCTTCTGTACTTATATTGTATTCTTATGACAAATGGTCAGTTTGTTATCCAAAATATGCATTATAGCAGAAGTAAAGTGATAGCTCTAATGGGGCCACAGATCACTTTTCCTCTTCACTTCAGCAAATCAGCAGCTGGTACTAAATCTTGGAAAACATTTTACATAAACCTTATAGAAAAAATAATTTTTTCATCCACCTTGGTTCCCTCCTAGTGACACGGTAATAAAGAATATTTGATTTCAGAGTTTAGTCAAGTGTGTTATAGGTACTAAGAAGACAACAGTTACATCACAAAGAATTATTTTTTTTAACCTTTTTCCAGTATTCTCACAAGTAGAAGCAAATAGTATGACTGTATACTAATGATTCAAACATAATGCTACAGTTTAAAACAGTTACTTCCTCAACAGATCATCCAAGTGTCTTCACCATGCCTGAAGCAGGTATGAAGAGAATTTTGTGGGTGTTATCTCTTCCCATTATTACACTACTCTATTTGACTACACCAGATTGCAGAAGACGGTTTTGGAGAAACTGGTTCATGGTGACATTTTTAATGTCAGCAGCATGGATTTCTGCAATGACTTACGTTCTTGTATGGATGATAACAATAGCAGGTAGGTACCTTAACTACTGCTGCTGTACAGAAGCAGCCAATGAAAAATCACTGGGAAAAAAAAAAAAAAAAAAAAAAAAACAACACATTCTTCTATCTGCAAAGTTTTCTTTTTTTACAACTAACAGTTAGTTTAGCAACACATATTTGCTTAGAAAAACAAAAAACCCTAATGTTTGACGGCTTCATTTGCTTCCTTCCATCTAATGAAAACTACTTTAGAATTTAGCTGCTTCAGACTGCTTATCATCACATGAAAGGGAATTAGTTTACAAAGCTACAAAAAACAACCTGTATTTAAAAGGACAGTTTCATTAAACTGCTTCATGAAGTGAAACAATTAGATACACAGCAATAAATTCATCAAGCTGAAGTCTGACACACATGTAAGCCACCAAGACTGGAATTAAAGGTTCAGGTGTTTGTAAAAATATCCATTATTTCTATACCTATAGTTTTCTTGGACACTATAATAAGAGACTCAGCATTAAATGAACTGCCAAAAAAGATGCCCAAGTTTTTGTATTATTTTAACTATAGTGTTGTATATTCATTAAACATTCTTGGGTGTGCAGGTATGTCTGTATCTCTTAAAAATCCGCATCATAAAGTCAAGCAGTAAAAGCACTGCTTTTAAATGAGGGAAAGGGTGTGAAAGAGTGTAAAAGCAACTTTTTAAAAAATTTCTTGAAGTATTAAAAGTTTCCTCATTTCACTCTTTCTCCAGTTAGCTTAAGAAAAAGTCTTTAATTTTAAGAACAAGCAGAAAACAAACCACTAAACAAGAAAGAAATTGCACAAAGCTTGCCATTTCCGCATTGTAGCTCACCAATCCTACCTCAGTATTCTGCTAGTTCAGCATTCTAAATTGTCTTCAAATTAAATTCAATAAATGTTGACTGCAGACACAGACCTACACAAAGGTAGACCTGTGAGAAAATACTAATAGATTTCTGGGTATAACACCCAGCAGGTTCACTTCTTTGTCAAAAATTTTTCCACTTATATCTAAAAAGAAAGGTTTACTGTCTGAATGCTAGAAGACTTTGAAACAGGATCCAACGAAAGTTATTGCCATTCTTCCAGACAAAACACTAATTCATATGAAAGCAGGTACACTGGAGTTTCAAATAGTGTGTTAGTGTTAGTCCACATTGAAGTCATCACAAGCAGCTTTGGGGTCTTTGTCCCACTACTTCTAGGTCAAATATGCTCTATTTACACATTAAAACTCTAAAAATTACACATATGTATATATATATATATATATTCAAATCTAGGTTTTTCATGAAAGGTGACTCAAAAATATTCTATCATTGCATAAATGGCCTATGAGAATGTGTTTCATAGCAGGGGACTACATTTTGATGGTCAAGAACAAACCTAATTTAATACACCTTTTTGTTACTAGCAAAGAAATTTTCATTACGATAGCAAGATATTGCTACTGATACACAAAATGGAACAAAGGCTAGAAAAATAAGACCACTCTCTCTTTATGGTCAATTGCCAGAAAAAGAACAGAAAAGAAAAAAAAAAACAACCTTACATTTTAACTAGAAGATTATTCTTTAAAAAAAAAAAAAAAAAAGATTCACCTGAGTTTAGATTCTATCATAACCTTCAGAGGGCTAGACACTACTGTTGGGTGTGTAAAGCTGCTTCATTCATATTTCACCTTCATTTGCTTAGATTAGTTTACAAAAGCTGATCATGTTGGTCCCTCCATCCTACAAATCTCTTACATTAGGAGTGAAGAAAATACCAGTACAAAGTTTACAACAGGATCACATTAGTCCCTTTGAACAGAAAATAAGTTTCAAACATAAATTTACTGAGCTGATCTAAACTAAGCTGGTATGTACTAGGCAATCATTGCTGACCTAGCTTACAGCATACCACCTCTTATTTTGAGAAAACTGTTCTTATTGGCGTCAAAACATTGTAAGCAAAAATTCAGATTTCAACGGAAAAAAAAGTGTTTAGTGAACAAAAGTTTAAGAAAAACTGTAATTATGTAACGGTTTGAACAGAAGTATCAAGAACTTCAGCATGTGGATGGCTGTGAATGGTACGTAGAACTAAAGGCAACCAAAACAGTTTTGAAGACCTGAATCACTATATTTTAAGTGAGAAACTAATACTCTTTCAGCACAAATGGTACTAAAAACAGGGGTGAGAGGTAGGCTGCTGTTTTAATAACCATTTAAAACTATTCTTAATTTAAAGTGTTTACCTGAAAAAATGCTTCTAAAGAATTACTCATACTTAAGTCATGTAACAATTCTTCATTATGCTTCTTCCAAATTCAGCAAAAGAACTAAAAAACTTGACCTTTCTAATTGGAACGAAGTCATGTAGTTGAGACAGTATTACAGTAACGATCTTAATGACCCTCCTCCCTATGAAAGTCATGTGCTTTTTTCTCCCCGTTTGAAGAGTAAATGTTTTATTATAAGAGTTATTGCTTCAAAACACGTTCAAGCACTAATGATGAGATGCTCAAAACCAAAAATGTTAGGTATTCAAACTTCTGCTGTGTCTGAAAGAGCAATTCATAATTCATACCAGTTTGAACAGTGGAGACCTTCCTCTCAATTCTCTGAGAAAGTTGTAAAATCAGATGGTTACTATATCACAGTTCCTTTTTATTTGACTGAAGAACAAGAACAGGTTGACATTCCTTTGTTCTTGTTTTTAAATACTTCATGGTTCAGTCACTTCATATTTAGTCACATTAAGCTAGTGAGCAGATTCCTCTTGGAATTATTGTATGATCACTAATCTTTTCTCCAGCAAGGAAAGTCCAAAGAAAATTTTTTGGATGAAACAAGCTAAAACTATACTTGTGTTTTCTACCATTATTTACCAACTACAGGTGAAACACTGGGAATTCCAGAGTCAGTAATGGGTCTCACCTTACTTGCAGCCGGAACAAGCTTACCAGATACAGTTGCAAGTGTTCTGGTGGCTCGAAAAGGTAAAGCTTTTGGTATTCAGGCTCATTTCAATAGATATGTTTAAAGGGTACTATGGAAAAAAATTAACATTTTTGGAAATTCAAGGAGTAACTTGAAAATTTTTGCTCCAAATTCTAGATTTTAGTTTGCTACTAATAAATAAGATAGCTTACCCAAAGAAGCTGTGGTTCAGACATTTAAAAACCTCTCTGAGAAGTATTCTAGATTGGTTTGGTTTGCTGTTAAGCACGTTAGCAGTTTTACTGCAAAACACAGCTGTAGGTCTTGGTATTTTAAAGATAACTGTGGATTTTAGAATAACCTGTCTAGCTTATTTTAAGTGCAAGTTTGCAGGTGCTGTTGATTTAGGGAGACATTTTTATGTTTGTGGTACCCAAAACTATGGTATGTGGAATCGTATCTATAGTTCTTAGAACAAAAAGACTGAAAACAGTGTTTTACTCTTTGAGGTTGAGGACCAACAGTCTGTTCCTCCAAAACAGTTTGGCAATTTCACAGTGCACAACTAAGCAGGCTTATTTGGATTTATTGTTTTACAGGAAATGGAGATATGGCTATGTCTAACATCGTAGGATCCAACGTATTTGATATGCTCTGTTTGGGAATACCCTGGTTTATAAAAACTGCCTTCATAAATACAACAGGACCCATAGAAGTGAACAGCAGTGGTTTGACATACACAGCCATTTCTCTCATCTGTTCAGTTGTTTTTATTTTTCTGGCAATTCACCTGAATGGCTGGAAAATAGATAAAAAATTGGGAGCAATTTGTCTTGTACTGTACTTAGTATTTACCGTATTATCAATTTTATATGAACTTGGCATCATAGGGAACAATCCTACAAGGGTCTGTGGTAACTAGTTTTAATCAGTGATTATACTGATGAAAAAATAAAAGCAGAAGAGAAAGATCAGTTTCTTCATTTAGTCAAATTACAAAAAAAAAAAATCCAAAATTCCCATTGGGCTCTAGATCTTATTTACAGAACTAAGTCACGGCATTAAAGTAATATTAAGTAGAACAGAAACATCACAGCCTAATTGGAGCCCTTTCCTTTAGAGTCAAGAATTACAGTACGACAACAACAAGCATATAAAACCAAAACTCTGGAAAAAGGACACCTATTTTTTACATTACGATGCTGATACATGCTGGGGGGGGAAATAAAAATCAGAAAACACTAAACAAATCCCACTATGCAATCTTAACAGAGAAAATGGCTTATTTTATTAAAAACAGTATAACCATTCATTTAAACTGAATGACTAGAGACACTTGGCCTAATTTTCCAAAGGCGCTGAGCATCCAAAGTTCCCAGAGTTTAACGGGACCTGCAGGTGCTCAGTGCCTCCAAAAAAAACAACAAAAATCAGGCAAATTGTCTTTAAAAACCAAACATTGTAAGATTCAGTTAACAAGTATCACAGTATATTAAACACTATACTGTTAAAGGCTGGTGGGATTTAAAAGTTCGTTTTTACAGCTTTTGTAAGCATACAATGTTACTAAAAATGACTTACTAGGATAGAGAAGCTAAACAGACATAGGAATGTTCCTGAACACACAATTTTAAATTATGCATTGCGATCCAAGCGTACATCAATTTCTCTGCCACTGATTTTTATGCCGTTCATTATCCTACAGGCCTTTTCAGCAGATTCTGGCGAGTCAAATCTGACTGTTCCACAGCCCTTTGATTTTCCATTCTCCATTTTTATTTCTGCAAACATTACATGACCTGAATAAACAAGTTAAACAGTAGTTATTTTCCACCTTCAGTGCACTAAAAACTTAAAGAACTAATCAGAAGTGATTAAAAAACAATTCTAAATATAATCTAGAGGGACATATAATATCAGAACTATCAGATTTACAGTATATTCACTTATTCAGGGAAGGTGATAGGTCAAAACAGCAGCAAAGAATCCACACTAAGTCCCACTGTTTCAAATTGATCCTTCAGACTACCATAAAATGAAGCATGCCTGAACTGGACATCAAATTTGAAACGAAGTGACCTATAAGCTTACGGAAAAGTTTTGTGTTTCACTGGTGGAGCCACACTGCCGAAAGTATGATTAATTGTCATCCTCTAACTGAATGACAGTTCAATCCAGTCCACCACGCTCACTGCAGTACAATAATCACATTATCAACTAATCACAACAATCATATAATTTTGAAAAAAAAAAAAAAAAAAGTTGCAGAGCAAAAAACAAATAGAATGCACTACCCAATTGGTTGGAAACTCAACTCATGAGAGAACATTTCTATGTAGATGCCACAGAGTAGCAAACCTTTAAGTGCCAGCAGGAACAAGAAATTCTCCCCTAAAACACAGGACTTTTTATTTTTAAGTGGCTAGTAATAAAAGACTGGCCTTTCACTGAAATAAATTGTTTTCTTGTCAGTATCATAAGGAAATATAAAGACCATGGCTCCACAGGTTCAATCTGTTGTTTATATTTGTGCTAAACATTCTTAAAAACAATTCATTATATCTGATAGTCACTGAGATCCTGTTTATATGTTTGTAGAAAACAATGTAATCCCTAAGTGTAAGTGCAAGTATATTACTAAGAAGTTGATGATAACAGGATATCAAGAAGTATCTTCACAAAAGCACAGATGTTCCCAACATACAAGTGTGGTATCAAGTGATGTATCTGCACAAGATGTTTTACTTCTTCAAAAACTTCTTTTAAATACTTTAAAAGATTTTAGTAGAAAATTGTTCAATGGATTTGCACAAGAATCTTTATTTCATGCCTGTCCGTATTAAGGGAAAAGGTGGATGGCAAGGAAAAAAACACATAGGATAACCCCTAAAAAAAATCTGAAGCAAAATCAAAGGTGGTGGTGGTTTTACAGACTAACTTGTTATGCAGTTATGGAAACTTGATTAAAGCTTAATACTGAATTATGGGGAAGGGCTTTGTTTTGATGTTTTGTTTTGTATTTAAAAGCAGAGAGGGTTTTGGCAGTCCTTTAACTGCACGGCATCCAGCAGAAAACTAGGATATTCACCAGCAGCTTCTAGAATTATAACAGCAGCAACATAGTCCTGAAAATGCTAGAAGGGAGAACTTCACTCTGAAAACCCGGTATGATAGATCTATCTATAATTCAGCAACAAAAGCTTTGAGTCCTGGAATGTAAGCACACCTTAAGTTCCTGTAACCACTAAATGCATTTGAACACCTGAAATATTTTCATAGTTGAACTACAAGTTCTAATGTATATCCACTCTGCAAATAGCTGTATGAAGACTGTCTTTATATAAAAGTAGAATGTTTAACGTTATTTTTCCTTCCTGTCTCTGCAAAGTAAGTGAAGCCATCCATAATTCTTTTATTTCATTCTGAAATATTACATTCAGTTATATTCACCTATTCCATTCTGTGCATTTAAAAAAAAATATCACGTTTCTACATACAAGAATCAGTTTTAATTCACTTCTGTAAAAAGAAACCTTTTCTTAATTAGAGATAGTTATCGGATAGTCACAGAAATCCTGTATCTTACTTTAAAAAAGGGGGGGGTGATGACTTTATTTCTTGACAAAAGGTGAGACAGTACAGGATTGCAAATTCTTAACTCTGATTTGATATGGCACCATTACTGGAAATAATGTATAAACCTGGCCAGGCCCACATCCATGCACGCATTTATCTCAAAATAAATACTACATTATATCCCAGAGGATAACTAATACCTACCTCAAAAAAGAAAAAGTTCAAAGGGTAATTTTAATGACATGGGTTAAAGTTTATAGGAGATGAGCACTCTCAGCCAATATGTACCATAGTCTAATGTGTTATGTCACACCTAAAATTATTTATAAAACTTCCCTTATCTAAAGAACAAGACAGAATGCAAACTCAATGGAGCTAAGCAGAGGTAAGATTCACATACATACCACACTGACTGAATTTCTCCTTCAGTTTCTGCCAGGTCAAATCAAAAGGGAGCTACAATTAAAAAAAAAAAAAAGTATTTATTAATGGCAAAATATTACAAAAAGAAAAAGCATGTAGTAAAACACGCACACAACATAGGCTTATCTTTTCTATGTTTCAAATGCTTACATTTCTCACAAATATCTGGTTGCCTTTAGAGCCTAATCTCTCTCTCATTCCACTTCCCATTGGGCCAGGCACAAATCCTCGATCTATATCCATGTTCCTGTCTGGGCCTCCACCCATAGCTGGTCCCAATCGATCAAAACCAGAACTCATCCGATCCATGCCTATTCCCATTCCTCCAGCCATATTGTTCATACCACCCATTCCACCGCCTACAGAGGAAGAAAAAGGAGAATAACAAGTTTGTTGTTTTGTTTTTATTAATCAATGAATAAGTATCTTGTTAAAAAGTTTACATTCTTTTGTGTCAGGAAAAACAATGCATACATGCAAAGTGATTTATCTAGTAATATGGCTAATATTTAAAATCAGAGCATTAGAAGAAACAAAGTATCAGTTATTGTACAGAAGTAAAAAGCAAATTGCATGAAGCTGTTATTCACATCATCTAACATAAAACGTTTAACATCAGAAGTAAAACAGTTACGATTTAAAGACCGTCTAGTTTAATTAATAAGAATATGATACCCTGCACCAAAAAGAGATTAAGTAAATGACTGTGGAAATATTAAGATAAAGGTAACTGGACCAGGTACAACACGACTGTGAATGCAGGAAGCAAAACCATTTGGCTTTACTAAATGCAGCCATACCACACTTAATGACAGTCTTACAGAGAAAGCCTATTCTGCAAAGAACAGCCATTCCTGCAAGTCCCATGCAGAGCATGGACTTTCCCCGATACATGCAATGGAATATATTAAAGTATATTACATAATGAACCAAGATCAATGGCATATTCAGATATCAGATATCCTATATTCTATTATATTTTTTCTGGATTCATAATTAACAATGTAATACAAGACTAGACAAAGACTAAACAAGATCATCCATGACAGACCTTCTCTAAGCCTTATGCCTCACAAGATTGTCCCTAGCAAGATTTTACTTTCTTATCTGCTCTAGCTTGAGTAACTGAGACATTTTTGGTAATACAAACTCAGTGTTTGAGCTTTGCACAAAATTCAACTGAGTGATAATCTGAAATTCAAGACTTTTTTTTTTTTATTTCAATTATGATTACTGAAGTACCTACGTGAACTTGAAGCTGAACTTAAGTAACTAACTCTGCCTATTTATCTTTTTTCTGGAACACAAGTTTACTTGAATCACTTCTCCCTCCAAACCAAAAGTTCAAACCATTCCAAAACTACACGCTCAAAGGGAAGACTGTATTAGCAAGTTTTCCTCTGAATTTTTACCTCAACAAATCAACCTTAAAAACTATTAGACTGGGAATCCAATGCAACAGAATTCTACTTCTTCCTAGCTGACACGCACATCCTCTGAAACAATTACACGGACACCACTTCATTACATTGCCTACACATTTACATTCTATTGAAACAAATTAACCTACTCATTCCAGATCCTACTGGGCCCATTCTAGGCGCTCCCATTCCTCCTGCAAAAACACCAATCATTGCACCACCTAAACAGAAAAAAAATAATATAGTGACATACACCGAAACTGCCGGTTAGTGACAACAGCAAAGCACACAACGATAAAGTGCACTGATCTCAGTGTTACCTGGCGATTCTTTTGCTACAGAACACTCCAACCCGTGCCTTTATTATGCAAACTAGGTAGGAAATACCCTGCAAGTAACTTTAGTTCCTCCTCCTCTGTTACAAGATATAAGCTACTCTGATTCCTTTCTACCTACAGTTTTCCTCTGACAACCTGCCAGCAGCACAAACATCTGAAACTGAAGGAACCGTATCTTGTATCAGAGAACTGATAGAATTTGGCAGAAAAAAAGGGAGAGAGAAAAGCAATACTAAAGGGTACCTGACAAAACCATAAAAGCTCCAGAATAGTGTAAGAAACTGATTCTAGAGAGCAGGGTTTAATGGAACAAATAAATAAATAAAACCAGAGTTTTCCTTGAAGCACTATGTTTCAGGAAAGCAATCCCAAGGTAGCTTCCAGAATTGCAGGAACTGAAGAACGGCATTCTTGTCAATGCTGACCAGAGCAAGGGGCTCTGCAGATTCTGTAACAAGCACTTCCAATTGTTCCAGAGAACCAGCTCAAACAAATCCATTCAAATAGACCTAGTATCTACAAAAAGAGCACTCTAAAGACAGAAAAGGTAAAACAAAAGTGTTGGACTGACAAAAGACAGCTTCCTACAATACTGGGCAATATTACAGGATATAGGCAGCATAATCATCTTAGTTGTTAACCTGTATACAAGGAAGCAGGATTTTGCAGGTAATCCTGGAGCCGTCAGTTACTACATTTTTCTTGCTTGATTTTAATCCCTAAAAGAAACAGCTCAGTTTTTAGTTATGGTAAAACAGATCAACAACTGGCTCATTTTGGCTAGACACTGTTGTTTCAGTATCTAAAAAGGGTCACTGATGATACTTTCCAGACAAGCAGTCTTCCATCAACTTTATTTTCTCCATGCAGTTACAAACAGCAATAGTTGTTCCCTGCCTGTCTCTTGAGAGAAATATTTCTCTCAGACAACATGCAGAGCCATACCAAGACCCCCAAAAAAATGGACTGCCCCATTCAAGAGCCTATAGTTGTTCAACACCAGCAGAATTACACACAGTACTTCAGCCAATAGATCGCATATGATGAAGCTCTTAATACTTATTCATTATGCCAAAGACGAAATGCCAAAACCTTCAAAAGAATTGTGAGGAAAAAAAAAACTACTTTCTCAAGACTAGAAACCTTTAAGAGTTTTTGAATGTATCCCAGTTATACTCCCTCTCTTTTAAAAGGAAAACTCTCCCTATCAGCCTAGGAAGCGTTTTAAAACAAACGAAAACAAAATTGAAATATCATAGTAAGCATGTATTCAGCTGTTTCTATCCTTTGAAACACCCTCTCCTTGTACATTTTTCCCTACTGGATTTGCATCAATGAAAAATGCTAAGTTTGGAGATAGATTGTGACATAACCTTTGATTTTTTGGATACTTTAAAATTTTAGCTATTAAATCACTGCAAATCAAACATCCTCATTTTCACTAATTGATGCCATAGTCCAATCAAAGACTGTCTTATGTTGCCCTCATTGAAACTGGCATGGTATGGAAGCCAAATGCACTCACAGCATTTCCTTTTAATATATTATTAACCTAAATGCTGTAACAAGAGTACACTAGAAAATTTCCTGACTAAACATTGTATTTAACTATAATAAAACGATACTATTTGTTTCTGCTACTTAAAACTCATCTTCATTTTCTGCAGTTCCCAAATTTTAAAGGTGCGTGGCTCCAGGAGAATATTATCTCAAACCAGAACAGTATCTTAACAGCAAGATTGCTAACAGGTAGCAAGTTGAAGCTTGCTGAAATCTACTGAATAACCAATGCCCACATCAGTTTCTCACAGCAGCTATACTCACATATTTAAAGACCAGCACGTTACCAGAAGACTCAGAAGTTTTTTGCTTGTATGAACATTTATAACTGAAGCAGCTCTGGATTTTCACTCAAGAAACAGATATTTATCCTATGCTGAAGTACACATACTGAAAGCATAACACCTGCTTTTTAAGACATAAATTACAAGACCTTATGACAACTGGCATCCTTACTAAATATCTACTACTGCTACACAATTATCAGTGCTTGAAGAGCATTACATAACTGTTACTCTTAATTGTGACTTGCCCAAATTAAACACCCACCAAAGAGGAAGAATTTTTTCTTCCAAAGAGGGAAAATTAAATTTTTCCTAGACTAAATGAGCCTTATCCTAAATGAGCGTAACACTTTCACAGTAGGGAATTCGTGGTGGTAGGAGGAACAGGTAAAAACAGAAAGCCTGTCTTCCATAATGTATTCATTCAGGTAAGAATATAGTAACAAAGCCACAGAAAGCTGTTGTTAAGCACTTCCAGGCTCTCAACTTCTATCCGGACAGAAGAGTATCTCATTTGAGGGAGGGCAAAAGTAGCTAAAATGAACTCAGTCAGAAGAACACCATTTATAAACATAACAAACCTTGCTCAATTTCAGAAGAGGACAGTAAATCCTATTCCAAGCAGCAAGGGAAAAGGCAGGAAGAAAACTGAGGGAACCAAAATTCATCATTCCTATCCAATGCTGTCTGATTTGCAGTAAGAACAACTTTCCAGCATGTCTTTGCAAAAGCAGGCTCCAGGAAGTTACGAAGGCAGTACAAAGACATCTTGTTCAGGATTGCCAAAACCAGATGTTTTAATATCCAAAGAACATAATACCTGGCAAAGTTAACAGTATGAAGGAAAATACATTCCTAAAAATCACTGTGCTTGTATTGTATTTTGCTTGTATTCTGCAGATGAAAAAAAAAAAACAAAAAAAAAACATCCTAACCTCCACCTTCCGAAACAGCCATAACAAACACATATGAACACCCTTAAATAAACACCTTTACAATAACAGCTGGTGGAGAAGGGACAGAGGAAGATGACCAAATGAAACCACACCTCTTCTTGTTTTTTCTTCTAGTAAAACTCTCCCAATACTACGTTGCAATTTGCCACAGGAAATTTAACAGTTACCATACCCATTCTTCCAAAAGAATCTCCAAAACCACGGTTCAATTGCATCTCACTACGACCAAAATCTCTATCCATGTTTCCTCCCATTCCACCACGGAACATTTCTGTAGAGAATAACGCACAAAACAGACATATTCTGTCATATTCAACTAAGTTGATGCTCATACAATACTTGTTTCACAGCTTCTTGTTTAAACAGAAGTAAATTTAATCCACAAGTCAGAGGCACCTCTCCTTCCAGTTCCTATGCTTCCATGCATGCCACATTTCTTTTGAACCCATTTACATTACCCACCCTTACGTAAAGAGGACTTTTAATAAGGCTCACAGACTAGCAAACTAGTACTAGCAAACTAGTAAGTATTCACCTACCTCCCATTCGACTGACTCCAAATCCTCCCATATTAGCCATTCCTTCCATTCCACGAAATCCAGGAAGCCCTGTAAAATAAGGAAGAATGTTTTTTTCTATCCAATATTAAAAAAAATACATAAGACAAAGAATTTGACTGCACATACCGCCTCCCATTCTATTCATTCCACCAAAGCCAGGACCATCTATTCCCATACCTTTAAACCAAAAAGATCAAACACCATTTAGAAGACAGGTAAGATCCAAATATATTTCAAAAATGCAAAGACAGTGTCTCAAAAACACACAATGCAAGGCTTACTTTGACAACAGCACGCCATTCTTCTAAACACAGAAATGAAAATTGTAAACTTAAGCTCTGTAAGTTAAAAATAAAGAATATGACTTTACCTCCTGGACCCATGTTCCCCATTCCACCACCCATGTTCAATTGTGTTGCACTGATGGGCTGTCCACCTGGTCCAAGTCCCATACCAATGCCACCAAGGCCACCTTGGAAAAAGGAAAAAACAACTATTATAATAAGACTTTATGCATCATAAGGAGACCATAGTAAGCAAAAGTACTACTAAACTGTTCCAAGACACTATCAACATGTATTAAGTGCAAAGAGTTAAAAATGAAGAGCGCGTACTCACGAGGTAATTGTGGACCTTTGCTGTCTGCAACACGGAAATCTTCATGAGGGACTGATTTGTCATCCTGATAAGAAACAAGGATGCTATGCTATGATCCCTTCAATGTTTTGGCAGAGATACATAAGGTAGAAAGAAATAGAAGCAACTTACCATTTTTACATGCATGGGTCTATCAAACAGGAATTGTCCATTGAACATAGCTGAAGAAATGCTATTCAAGGACTCTAACTAAAAGAAGACAATTTAACTATTTCAAAAGAATCACTGTAAAAACTTATCTAATGTTTGTGCCACTTTTAGGAGTCTTAACTTTCCTTAACTAAACTTCAGAATGCAGTTTCAAAGATCAGAAAGAGACGATATAAGTTGTTAGGAATATAAAAGTTGTCTTCATGGGTGTCACTTTCCCTATGTATTTTAAGTCTGTTAACTTCATCAAGAACAGCCTTTTACACTCTAGCAGTAAATTCAGTCACTATTAAAAACAATAAAACGATCTGCACAGTACTACACTCTAGTCCCTTATCCTAGCTACAAGGCAAACAAGCACCATTTGCAAAACTATATGGTAAAGAGCCATTAAAAATGACTAAGCCATATTTGAGCATTTTTTTCCTTTTTTTCCAAAGCCAAGGATACATATTGCTTGAACAGCTTCAATTGCTTGTTCAAAAGTAACTGTTCCCATTCCTCGACTCTTGCCATCTTTATCCTCCTTGATGTCTGCACGCTTTACAGTTCCAGCAATGCTGAATACTTCCTTTAGTTTCTTCCAGCCAACTTTAAAGTCAAGCTTACACAGAGAAATATGTAAGTGATTTCACTGCACATTTCTGTTCTGCCATTAATTTTCAAAGCTTGTCTACACTGCAGTAAAACTTTGATTCACAAAATGCTTTATACACGTAAACAGACAATTTTGTAACATACACAGGCTGCAACCAAGTCTAACATGAATGTTACTAAAAGCAACAAGTTATAGCACATATATCTATTGTAATTTTTTAATTAACATACTAATGCTGAGAAATGGATGGGTTCTTGTAAACCAGCTGTACTCCAATGCCTGTTTCTTAAATTTGTGCAAATAAAGAACTGATGAAGTACACCCAAACATAAAAGTTTAAGTTTGTATAAAGTAACTATCAAGAAAAAAAGTATATTGTATTAAAAATAGAAGAAATGAAAAATGCAAAAAAAAATTTTATTTTTTTTTTCAAATTTGACTGTACAGTAATTAAAACTGCAAGACAGCTTTAGGAGTGGAACACATTTTTCACATCCAAAATCTGGATACGTGTCTTGTGTTTTTAGTTGAATATCCTAAATGTGAATTAACATTTCACATTTCTGCTTAATATTAAAACTGGATTATGCAGGTATTTTACAAAGATCAATTATTATTTCTTTAAAATATGTTTTAAAACTTACATTAGCAACAAAAATAGTGGAGCCAAGCCTGCCTGCCTGCAAGTTACTGATAACCTCAGGAGGAATGTTTGGATTGTTGACAATAGAAGGTGGTAAATTCATTAATCCAGGTGCCATATCAGGTCCTTGTCCTCCTGGAAACTGTCCTCCTACACGCTGTAATGCCCTGCGGGCATGTTCACCTTCAGGATCCTGCAACATGTGCAAAAATAAAGCCAACTTAATCATCAATATCAGGACTGGCAATAAATAAGTACTATTTGAAATTCTACATAAGCCCGTCAAAATTATCAACTAATATCCTTGTCCATGTCAGAGGGATTAAGAACCGAATTAGCATGGAGACCTAATTCCCTCACCTCTAGAGGTGGGTCCTTTCAGATGAGGGTTGAGGCATATTGGCAAAGCACTTGTTGAAGAAGCGTGCACTGCCACTTCACATGCTGTACCTAGCCTATGGACAAGTAGAAAAGATTTCAATCTAAAGGACTGTCAGTCTAGTACCTTCTTCCAATAACTGATTTAATTTAAATAGTTTTTTTTTGATATGTTAATAACCATTATTAAAGCTATAACAGGACATAAAGAACTGTATCAGACACTATTATATGCCACAACACTACAATAGAAACGTTGACATTAATTTCACTTTCCAAATCAGTACAAGTTCTCTGCTTCCAACACCATCCTTGCACATATGCAGTAGTCTGATACTCAGCTTGTTCTGCTCAAACTGGTATTTTATGGCAGGTAAGGAATATGAAATTTTAACAGCAGCAGATTACACAGGTAAGAATATGAAGTTAAAGATAAGGTTGTGTAAAAGAAAAATAGTATTAGATTATTTTGGCTTTAGGACACATTTTCATCAGTTCACTTGACATTGTATCAAGACCTTCTGGAAGCCAGCAGGCACTTTAGCCCGTTAAGAAAACGTTAAAAAAAAAAAAAAAATTACACAGCTAGACACTTAAAACATGGTACCCATCATTTCAGTAGTTATGTTATCTTCACAGTTTATTTAAAAAAACAGTAATAATCATACCTCTTTAATATTCAGGGGTCTTCCATTAAGATCATACTTGTTCATAGTTTCTAATGCTTTCTTAACAAATTCTTCATCTTTGAATTCAACCACACTTAGAGGGAACAAAAACATTTGGAGTGTTAAAATAAAGTTTAAAACATTAAACTTAACAGAACGTTTGGATAGCAGTGTGTTTCTACACACATAGAAAAAGAAACTTACCCACAACCCTACATCCATGATGATTTGTAATCATATGTAAAGAGAAAAAAAAAAAGTCAGTCAACACATATGCTAGAGTATTTAAGAGTCCAGTTAAAGATCGAAGCTCACTGTTAAATAACTATTTATCAAGTTATTTTCAGCTTCAAAATTCGTAATACATGCTTTTTACTAGTAGCCAAGCTGAATTTCTCCTACTTTCTAAACACACATACCATTCAAAATGCATTATATTATATTTTGTTCTCTTTGAGCCAAACCAGAATTGGACTACAGAAAAATGCCACACAGATCCATGTAAGGACAGCTGGGGGGAAGAAAGGGAAGGGGCAGAAGGAAAAAAAAACAAAAACATAACCAAAAAACAATCAAGACACTCATCGTGTCATTAAAATCTGCCCACCAACTACAGAATTCAAATCCAAATACATCAAATATACCAGTACAATGAACAAGGAGCCTGCAAACCTCTTCAGTATTACTAGCATATTTGAGAGATTACTGTGTAAGAAAATAACCTTTTTGACTGCACCAGAATCCTTCTAATAAAACAAAGAGTTTAGGATTGATCTAAGTGAATGAAAGCTGAAAGCATGTTTTAGTTTTAGCAAGCGTTGAATAAAATAATTTACAACTACTTTTACAACTTCAGTTAAGACTCAAACCTGCATTTCTCAAGTTCCCACTGCAGGTTTGAAGCTACTATTGGCCAAACTTTTGACTATTTTTAAGACAAAGGAGCTTTAGCAATCTTCACTGTTAATGCCTCATTGCTGGCACTGTTTTGGCTACCAACCATCTCCATCCATTTAGTTTTAAAAAAGCAAATACATTAATCCAGTGTTCAGAGTACCAACTGTGTAAAGCTGTCAAATCAGGCACTTCAAACAGTGTATTCTTAGCTAAGATTTTATACTTCATGTCCCCAAGAAGAGAATACTACACTAACAAAATTTAAATAAAATCAATGATTTACTGAAAGTCCTTTATACAAAACAGATTTGTACCAAAACAAAGATGTTGGCTAAAAGAAGAATTAAGTGAATGCCAAATTTATGAAGTATTTTGTCCTTTACAGCCAGCTAGCTTGTGCTGCTTGAAAGTGTCAAACTATTTCTAATACAGAAACCTCAAAGCTATCTTAATGAAAATCAATGTGGAAATGAAACTTACTTTCCAATAACTGGTACAGGTATTATACAAAAATAAAACTGCTGAGGAACTTTTAAACCTCTAGCAGATTGTTGCCCACGGCACTTACCCTTGATTTTCCTTCAGCATCCTTAAACAGCTCCACGTATGTAACCTCACCAACTACATAAGACATACAAAGGGAAAATACCAAGAGACAATGCATTTAAACACCAGTATCTTTCTTTTCTGTGCCCCTGTGCACAACTCTACAGAGAAGCTCCTATTATTCACCAACAATCAAAACCAGACCAACATACCTCCTGTCAATGGCTATATAATTTAGCTAATTTTCAGAAATATGCAACAGCCACATTCTCAGAATCTAAAAACAAACAACTATATTTAACCTAATTCATACTACAGATCATATTTTGGCCAGTATGATACAGTTGGTGAACAAATTCAGATATACACAGTCCCTTAACCTAACAAATGAAACGTCGACATTCACTGAAAAGTGTTACATTTATCATCCTACCCACAACACCTGTTTTAAGGTGACTTTCTACCTGAATGTCTTCAATCATAAGTTTGCCTTCAATAATGATCAAATTTACACATCAAATATTTCACAGCAAGCCACTCACTTACTAAAGTTGGAAGTTTCAGTAAATAAACCAATCAAATAATCATGTCACCTTACAACAGATACACCACCAGTTACAGAACTGGGGGACTGGCATTTTTCACAGCCAAAAAGCCAAGTGTGCTTTGCATTACTTTTGAAGAATCTATTTTTTCAAGAAAAACACACAGAACTAGCTTTTTACTTAAGTCATAAATTAGCATTCTTTTCCCCAAAACTGAAAATAAAAGTTTGGGGTATTAAGATTTCTCTATCAGAACTGCAACAACAGTAACAAGCATTTAATATAGGTCTCCAGACAAGCAGTCATAGCAGTAATGACAATGCAGACAAAGTTAATTCCACAGCCAGATTCCACCAAAGAAATACAAAACAACTTTTGAAAGACTTCCTTTCATATTCATATGTTAATACACTAAATGTGTTGCTTAAATACAATAGCCCTTTAAAAAAATCTACAAAGACTACAACTAGATGAATCAATCTCTTGAAGAAGTCATGAGGTCATGCATATTCTCTCTACTGTCACACTACAATGTCAGAAGATTACAAAACCTCGTTTACCAATCCTACTCTGCAATGCAATTGTCTCAGATGAAAGAGGGGGAAGGAAGATAGATGTACCAAGTAAAGGCCAAAAAATAAAAAAATAATAAAAAAGTCAAATCAAATCTGTGTGGCTCAAAGGACATATACATTACATTTTACCCCTTTTTATAGGAAGTGCATTATAAGGAATAAATTACCTTTCTCTCTCATAAGATCTTTAATAGCCTGCCATTTCATGTCATATGGGATGTTGCTAATGAAAACTCGATTACGATTAACAGCCTTCTTCTCTCCACTGCCCGCATTCTTCTCCTTTGCATAGGGGTGGAATCTATTCTTGTTTCCAAGAGAAGGGATTGCCTTTGGTTTTGCAGCAAACTTCTCTTTCACTGGTGCTTTCTCTTCTTTTGCTGTCTCATCATTCTCCCTACATTCCAAATAAATAAATGGGTCTTACTTTGGATTATAAGACTACTATATCAGCTACATATGTAGGTCTATACCTCCCATACTAACAGACCTCCGAAGATGTCAAATCCCACTTTTCAAATTAGGAAAAATAAAATAATTTTACCAGTTTAATTTCAAAATACATTGCTTTACCTAGAACAAAAATCAACATTACAAGAGATTTATTCACTATTATAAGTACAGACATCACATCTTGTTACTTCAGGTATATTCCATTTCCATTATGTCTGTCAAGATTCAGGAACACGGTGCTATGAAACTACTACTACTCTCAGAACACGACTCAGCTGAAAAATAACCTACAACATCTGAAGTACTTTAGTACCTCAATAATTTTCAAATCAAACTTGGCAAAGTTGCACGCTATTCACCACAGAAGTCAGAGTTGAAATGGTCTAATTTTTGGAACAGCTTGGTGTACTTCATTCAATGTATTAATAAATACATAAAATCAACTCTTAATAGGCAAATGACCTTTTATTCAGTACAAATCATTTTTATTCACAAATTGTGCCAGACTGATTTTAGAAAGAAATTAAATTTAGAACAAATGCTCTTTTCATTTTTAGTGCTTAACACCAGTATACTTTGAAAACATGATAAATGCATAAGAAATAGGTCTATTACAACATGCTCTGCATCTAAGACCAATTAATTCACCAGGAATTATCCATTAAAAACAACAACAAAGACTTCTGGCCTGTAGTCTTTAAAAAAAATCTATCAACAACAGCTGCTTTCCTTTTAAAAATGTTTTACTTTTAGATGAAGAATGCAGCACAACTCACTTCCTCTCCTTTAATGCAGCACATTTCTCAGCTTTGGTAAAAACTATACACTTTGAACAGAATTAAAAAAAAAAAAATCCAAACCAAAAGCCAAACCTCTACAGCACTCTTCAAAGTGTTCATACTGCAAGTAGACTTAGAATGCCAATAGCGGATCGAAGTGCCTGAATTGTTACTTAAAAAGTAGGACCGCTGAACTAATAGACTCCAGTAACAAAGCCACACAAATATGATCCACTAAACAGCTGCTATATAGATACAGAGCAACATCTAGTTCAAATCTCACTGCAGTTAACAATAACTTTAAAATCATGTGTAAAAGTACTTTTTGTAATAAAGAGCCAACACTGGTCACTCAAGTTAGAACAAAGATATGGAAGCGTCTCATAGTAGACTGTCAAAGAGATTGACCATGTATCCTCTCAAGTTAACATCACTGTCCTTTCAATTTGTACCACTTTTCAGAAGGTTTAGTTTTTAATCTCATTTTGACAGTGTAGGTGGTTTCTGGTGTAAAATTTGCCAAAACAAGTGCTTCAGTTTTACAATAGTAATCTGGCAAAATTGAAAATTTCGATTTATTGAAATTATTATTTTCAGCTCTCTTTGCATAGTTTTTAACAAAACAGTAAGTGACAGCCTTGCACTCAGAGCATGTGCAAATAGCCTTTCATGAAGTTAAATGTATTATCTACTCAAGCTTGAGCACTTCTCAGGGAGAAGTAGCTTCAAACACAAACATTTTTCTCCCACGACTTTTTCCCAAATTTTGAAGTACTCATATGATATAAATTTCACAGTCCTTGTGTTGTTTACAAGTGGATTAAAAAAGAATTAGCAACTGAGAAATGCATGGACATTACTCAGGTAAATATTCCTACTATTTAAAACATTCAGTCAACAACGCGTTATCTATTTCAAGCATTCTCCAGTTTCCTCTGTATCATTACTCCCCCACACCATCCTGTCTGCTGTGGCAATATAATTCTTGTGTGGCTGTGTAATGATGTAAAATGGGTGGAACAAGGCAGGGAACTGGCAGAAGCCAGGGGGAAGGACAGCGAGGAGGGCAATAGTAATGTCTCAGTTTTCCAGTCAGATCTGTTTTTTTCCAATCCAGTTCCATTTGTGAACACAAAACTTCTCCCAGTGATACCCTTAACAAAATCCAAGTTCTTCTTTAGGTTTTAGGATTAGACCAACAAATTCTCTTTAGCCTTTTAAGCTCTTTCCTGCTTAAAGGATTATCAAACAGCCCCTGCATGCTCAGTACAGTGCACGGGAAGAGCCAGGCCTCCAAACACAGAACCCACAGATTCTACAACACCTGGCTGTACAAACCAGTAGAGAGCAGAGAGGACACAAGTCTTGCATAAACTCTTAAGTCCGAGAAACAAGAAGACACTTCACTTAATCTGGGAACTAAAGCAAGCCTCCTGAAAATAGTTCCTCCTGAAAATAATTCCTGAGAATTAGTTTAAAAAAATAAAAATTGATCTTTCTCACAAAACTCATCTGCCAGAATCAGTAGGCCAGTGAACAATCTGGAGGCAAAGATTCTTCTTCACACATAGCCCTCTCAGGAAAAGTACCTTCAATCAAAAAATACGTTCAAAAAATATGACTTTAGCCATGCACAGAACACAGGGAAGACAGCCAAGACAGCCTCAGAAACTATTCTATCTTGCAGAATAACAGGATTTTTCATTTGCTGGCAATTACTTTTGGAGGGAAAAGAAGGAAGTTGCTGACAGGAGTGATAGAGAAAAACTACTTTGTTATTTTATGAGTAGCAACTCCAAAATACAATAAATTACTATATGCCTTAAAAGATGCAAAAAGGTTAGTCTTTTGGCCAATACTCAATAATATGTGTAGTTGGGATGCTTAGGACCAGGTTCAGAGGAAAGAAAATAGATACAAAATACCGTGTTACTGCAATGTGAAGCTTATAACTTGCAAACTATATGAATTTCCCTGGGAGTCAAATAAAGGCATGAAGTTACTCCTTTATTCTTCATTTTGATATTATGCCTCATCCCACATCTATTTTTAAGCACAACAGTATCAAACCTGGGCTGCATATAACAAATTAGAAGTTCACAGACCTCTCAACAGCCTTGATGTATTCCAGTAGAAGGCCTTCTAAAAAATGTATTTTCCCTCTAAGATGTGAATGAGACTAAGAACTGCTGAAGTTTCAATGATGCCAGGCTAAAATTTAGCTCATCTGAAGAGGGATAAACCTTGAAGCCTAACATCAAGGAGAAGAGAACCCATAAAATTTTACTGGAAAAGTTTGTGGGTTTGTTTGCCTGCTTTGTGAAGTAAACCACTGTAGGGCTCCCTTACCATTCTCACATACACAAAGACCGGCCCAAAGGCTAACAAAACATACTACAGTAAGACCTGGAAACGTGAACAAGGCCAGCACCAACCCACAGCTCTTGTAGACGCGGCTCCCCCGACCCCCCGCCAGACCAGAGCCCGTTACAGCAACGCCGGCTCCAACCGCCCGAGCCGAGCGCAGCCTCCTGCCCCTCACCCAACGGCAACGCCGCTCGGCAGCCTCCCACCGGAGCGAGCCTTCCCCCGACACCCTGGGGACCCCCTCCAGTAACGGGGCGCCGGAGCGGCCCGGGCCCGCGGCGGGGGAGGAGCCGGGCCGGGGGGTGGGGAGGAGAGGGCCGGCCGCCTGCCTCCAGCCCTCCCTGCCTCCCGCCGCGTCCCTCCCGCCGCGGCCCGCCCGGGCCCGCCGCCCCCCGCCACACACATTTTGACGCCATTTGCGCTGCCCCCGCCGCTCTCGGCTGCTGTCGCCGCTGCCTCCTCAGCCCGCGGCGGCTGCTGCGGCTGTTTTTGTGGTGGTGGTGGTGGTAGCGGCTGCTGCTGTTGTTGCTGCTGCTGCTGCTGAGGCGGCGGCTGGCTGGCGGCGGCGGCCTCCTCGGCCCCCCGCAGCGGCGCGGCAGCCGCGGCCTCCGCCCTGTCGCTCTCCGCCATTTCGCGGCCGGGCCGCGGCCCCGCTACGGCTCCTTCGAGCAGGGCCCGGAGCGCCTCGGCCTCGCCGCGCCGGCCCGGCCGAGTCTCGCGAGAACGGCGATGGCGGCGGGAGGAGGGGACGCGCCGGGAGGCTTACGGGTTGCCATGGCGACAGCGGGGGGTTGCGGGGCCCGACCCAGCCCGCCGGGCCCGCCCGTAGCCGTCCCCCACAGCCGTCGCACGGCTTGCCCCAGGCTCTGCTGACCCAGTTCCTTCCTGCACCCCATCCTTGTCCTGAGTGTTCTCACTCCTATAGGATACGTAACTCCCCACCGACGCCCACAGCCATGTGCACGTCCTCCTGGTTTGTGGCCAACTGCCTCCTGCACCACTGACCCATGAGCATGAACATTTCATGCTCTGACCCCTAAGACAGTTGCTTAGGGTGCACCTTGTCACTCCCACAGGAACCTCCCGTGGGCCCACCAGCCCTGCACAGGAGGCACAACACCATTTCTGTAAGCTTACGGGTATCTGCAAAGCCATATTGCGCCAACAATAAATATGCTGTTGCACAGTTCCAGTTCTTCACCTTTACATTTCTAATAATGCAGTTCACGCCAACAAATGGCTGCTTGACCCTTAATTTAACTGAAGCGCATCACTCCTGTTGTTCAGGAACCATCCACATTCCAAAGCCAGTCGCCACAGTCACAGCTTTCCCTCTACTTCAGAAAATAGACTGTAACTTATTATTTAAATTTTATGCTATGAATACTTAATGAATTGAGGCGATGATCTTTTAAAATGTGCCTTGAATTTTTCCTGTTTATAGGTTTCTTGTTCCTTCATATATCAGTGCAGCCAAAAGTAAAGTACTCCTCCTTTAAGATACTGTAGATTGTTTTTTTGTTTGTTTGTTTGTTTGTTTGCTTGTTGTTTTTTTTGTGTGTGTTTGTTCGTTTGTTTTTTCCTCAAACATTTCAGTACCTCCACATCTATGGCAAAATGAAGGTTCCTGAATTCTGTGTATCCCTTAACCTGTGGTGAGAAAACTCACAGACCAAACCTTTGCACTAATCTGCTTGGGGTGCTGTGGCACCTTTTCAGTATTGGTAGAAAAACTATCATCTTGTACCTAAAATTTCCTCCAATCATAGGTATCTGATTGTATCATTGTTTATAAACAAATGAAGATACTGAGTAGATTAAGGTGCAAGCACAATTATAGTCAGGACAATGGAAGCTTCTAGATGGGCATTTATTTTATTCTTAAGTATAGATAAGAATTAAATATGAATAATTGTAATTCATCTATAAAAATACAAAATTATATAGGTCCGTGCTGCACACATACAGCTAAACATGGCAGCTTCTCTATCACTCATCCTGGGAGCTGTTTGTTTATTTACCATGTAGAATCTGTCACATTTTCCTCTCAGCTTGCCTTGGCTTCTTCAGTCCCAATTTTGCTCTAATCTTTGGTAGTGGGGGGGGCAGAGGGAATACCTTTCCAGTTTAATTCTGCTAACTCCAAGTACCAAAGTATTTCTAAGTGAGTAACCAAATGGATGGTATATCAACATCTGTTATACAAGGAAAGCCTTTCTGTCCTCTACAGCCAGTTTAGATCAGTGACTTCTGTTTTTTGATCCACAGAAATCCATGCACTTCTTTCAAGAGTTCCCATAAATGAAAGTTACGAAAAGCCGACCAGTACAGGTTCCACATCTCTATTGGAGGAATGTGTTTCTGGCAAGAGATGGTTAAGAATCACTGATCTGGACAAACATGGGTTTTGGAAATAAATTTTCTTAGCTTCCAGGACTCTTTTGTCTCTCTGTCCTTATGACTGTCACACCAGGTGTTGTTAACACCTGAGATTTTGTAGAAAGCTCTAAGATACTCTGACCACCCCTAGAAACCTAATAGCCTACATCCCAGATGAAAGTTAAAAAGCATGTCTAGAGGTCAGATGAGAGGTGTGATGATTTCTGTTCACACATTAACCTTAATTAGATAAATAACTTGGTTATTTGCAATTATTATCATCACTGAAATAGTTAATGTTTACTTTAAATTGTTGTCATTACATTTTACAGCTCTCGCTTCTCCAGGATGAAAGGAAGTAATTCACATGTCCAGGTTACTATGCCCTGTTACCAAGACCTCTGTTCAATTGTGTTTTGCACAGAGCATCTTAATTGTTGGGATCCTATACCCACTAACCCGACATTATGGCACCATATAGCTGAAACTGAATTCCTGTGGCCATGGATGCTGGTAACAGGAAGAACCATTGATTTTTCTTGTACACTTTTGCCTACTTGCACTGAATAATCTACTATGTATTTCAACTGCTACTTCCTCAAATTTGTATGCCTATTTGGACCAGAATACACATGGTTTAGTGCCACTAAAACCAGTTGTCACCCGATGTATGTTTTATGTACAGATATACACCTATAAATGTAGAAGCAGTCTGTATAGAGGCCTCTAGCATTGCATAGAGGCATAACTTACCTAAGGCCTGGAAGAGTGCTACTAGCTTTGTCCTGTCTGCCTTACACCACAATTCCTATTTACAGCATTCTGTTTATCTCAGTTGCCTCTTTCAAGATTTTTATAGGCCTTTTGCATCCTTTTGTAGAAGTCTCACACATAATCACTCAGTATTTCTGTCTTCAAAGAACAATAATAAAAATGGGAGAACAATGCCACTAGGAGCTGTTTGGGAGCTGACTGGGTGAACTGGGATTACAAAGTGGCATTTCATTGGTCTACAAAACTGCATTTAAAAAGTGAAAAAGTCTAAGTTTTTCCCTAGGAAGATTTCAATGTATAAAATGATTTAAATAAAAATAATAAAATCTACTTTTCACAGTAAGTGAAAAAACAAACAAACAAACAAACAAACAAACCAGTATCTTTCAATGCTTGTATTTGTGCTAAGAAAGTCTCTACTGCTACCAACTACCAGTCCCTCCTGAGAATATTTTAAAACTATCTTTTGATAAATAGGCTTCCAACATCTCTGCCACCTCTGTTTCCGTCCCTACAGGAGACAGACATGGTCTCTGAGCAATGTTCCTGTTACAAGGGAATCCCTCATCTGGTACTAAAATGCTCAACATATTCTCCCCCATGCTGTCCTAGCAAATTCTTTTCAGTCACCTAGTGTAAATAGTATTTCTCATTTAGGGTGTATGGCCTTATGGTTATATATTCTTGGCAAGCAGAGAGCTGACAGCACTAATTTACACAAGTAGTCAGGGATAATGGAATATTATTAGTGTTCTTATATATAATATGTAAGTATAAACTACTATAAAGAAACTACTCTTAAAAGTCTCTTGCAGAAGTAGTAGTTGTGGAGTTAAAATAATTAAACTGTGCATTCTAAGTATAAGCACTGTTTTTAATACAATGAATTTCCAGCAAATTCAAGTCTCAAGTCCTAGCTGAGAAGCCATTGCTCTGAAATTGCCGATGACCAAATATATATTCAGCATCATTTTAGAAAGGCTCATTTTAAACTGAAGATAATTTTAAACTGAATCATTTTAAACTGAAGATAAATTTCAGTTTATCTTAATGTTGTTTTTATTTTTGTTTCCACTTAAGTCATGATCAAAAGCAGTCCAGCAACACTTTCATATGCATTTGGCATATGCGGAAAAAGTTCTAACTTCCTCAAAGTCAGTTTTGTATGTCATGTGAGAGAACGGGACTTCTAAGCTTTACATATGTAAATCCGTTGACTGTTTTCCATGGATGATCATTTTCAGACAGACATTGTCCCCACCTGTTCAATGCCTGCATGGTGAATGTGTTGCACATAGTTTTTTTTTTGTTTGCTAAGGCACCTAAATGGGCTCAGCATTTCTAAACATTGTCCCTTCTCTAGGAAGCCCTGAGTGCAGCTTGAGAAGGCATGCTCTAACAACAGATGTGCTTTGTAAACCACTTGACTTCTGCAACTCATTTAAAGATTCCTTTCTGCACAGGCACAAATATTTCCAAACCAGTCTGCCTTGCCTAAGGCTGCACCCAACCTACACTGCTTTACTTCGTGCTCAAAAAAAAAAAATAATAATAATAATAATAATAATAAATAAATAATAAACTCTCTCTGCAAATGAAACCCTCTTTTGCATAGCTGTAATGGACCTGAAGTAGAGCAACCTATTTTTTTTTAACTCTGGAAAACAAAACATTTTATGATTCAAAAAGGCAAACTGTCAAATGCAACAGCCTGTCTCACGGCAGGCACCTTCCAGACTGCAGCGCAGCACAGCCGTTTCACAGCTAGAGCCCACCTACTGCACAGACCTTCCCACCTGCAGCTGTGGTGCTGATTGCTCCTTCCTCTCACTCCCATGGCCGTTCAACTTTTTTTTCCAGTTAGACTTCTCTGACATTCTTCCTCCTGTCCCCTTCCCCAAATAAGTGTTCAACAGCACTTTACTACCTCAGACCCCCCAGATAAAAGACTGCACAGATGCCCGCTACAGGAATTAAACTGTGTGTTGAGGCTTCAGTTCAGTGTGCTGTATATTTATAACCAGAAAAACTGTGCAGCATCCTATGCCCAGAATGTGGGATCAGTCAAAGAGGAGACATGCTCTACTTGATCTGCAGGGATCTAACCTCTTTTCCGCCCCAGTGAAGGGTTAAATCTCTCTTAAACATTTTTTTTCCAGTGTTATGCAACCCTTAACTACAACTTAAGTGCCTAAACCTTAATTACTTATTTTTTACCCCAGAAGGCTGTGTAACAACACTAGACTCTTAGCAGCACTGTTACTGGTTCTGTATTGAAACAATTCACATCATCCTTTCTCCCTCCAAGTCATTACTTTACCTGCTGAAGTTACAAAGTAAGAAAACTTGAGCAACCTGCATTTTGGTCCTTCCTTCCACAACACGTAACCTCTAAGGACAGACTGAGTGCCCCTAACACACCCACCACCTCCCTTGTCCATGTGAGGCAGAGAATACCTACCTCCTGCATGTCTAAAGGGAACCCATCCCACCTAAGGCCTTAGAAGACATTTTTCCGCTCCCTGTTGGCCAGGGGCTTTCCCTGAGCTGAGGTGGAAGAGCTGGGGACACACTTGGGGACAGCTGCCCTCCTCCTGGCCCACTTACAACAGGTGGCACTGTTCATTTTTACTGGATCCGTGCAACTTTCCACCTTCCCCAACATCAACAGTGACTTGGGCTGGACTAAAAAGCCATGGTTTTCAACTAGCTTCAGCTTCTGAATCCCTAAACTTTTAGGGAGGTGTGGTCCTATTCAGATATTTAACATAGGGAGATTGCTGCGTAGAAGCCATTCCTCTGCCTTGTTCTTGGCATTCACCAGAGTACCCTATGGATCCCCAGGATTGTAGACCACATATTTAAGCAGCTGATGAAGTCAGTACCTGGTAAAAGCATGGCAATACAAGCACAAAGAAAGATCCGGATACTTAAAGACTACATAATGTTATATATGGAGTGGTAATTCGTGTCGAGAAAATGGTTGATATTAATAAAGAAGGGGGAGATTTGGGAGTGTGGCCATGGGGGTTGGAAAGCCCCGTGGTTGAGATAACATTAGACTCTTAACGATGAGGCCATCAGGAATGTAAAGGAGTTCAGAGGGAATAAAGAATGGTGATTCAGGAGACTCCATGCAGCCTCTGGTTCCTTGTTCCCCAGCCATTAAGGCATGGATGTTTCTGGGTGTTTGCTGTTGTTGTTACATTCATTGTTGTTGGACCAATGAAAAGTTGTTTTGAAAAGAACTGCTGTGGAGAGAAAGGTATAAGAGGGGAGCCTGCCCTCAAGATAAAAAAAAAAAGAAAAAGAGGCAACACGATGTGATGATGTTATGTCATCAACAAAAAGCAGAGAGAAGGAATGAAAAGGAAGAGGCTAGCAGAACGGAGACCAGGACGGGAACAGGCACATTGATTGCCTCATGAAGATAGGTTCAGCCAAACTCAGCAAACTGCTCGGAGAAGCTCGTACTGAAAGTTGCTGTAAATGGGCGAACTGGAGCTGGGAAGAAGCTCAAGCTGAGAGAAGTGGACCTGCGCAGACAACTGCTCCTCGCTGGTAAGCAGTTGTGCATTATGGGGAATCATACGTCCTTAGGAACAAAGACTGTCCTGGTAACCTTACAGCTTATTCTCCTTCTTAGCAATGAGACAGTTTACGATCCTGAAACATGGGACCAAATTGATGTCAAGGTTTGGGACTCTGCAACTAAAAATGACAAGGTTGCAGTGGGATTGTTCAGCACCTGGCGAGCAGTCTCTGAGGCCTTAAAGAGCCATGTGGAGCCACAATCACAAACGTGTGGCTTGCCAATAGTGAGGGAGCTGCGGGCTCCTTTACTGACCCGACTGCTACGCCATCGCCATTCGCCCCTCTGCTGCTACAGCCATCGCAGGCCTTTGCTGTTATGCCCCCTGGTGACCTGAACGTGCCTTTTGACCCAGGCCTCGTTGGCCTTGAAAAGGAGATGGATATGCTTTTTCTTCAATCTGGGAAGAACGGGATACATAAGGCCTGAAGACCGAGTTGCTTGACAACTTAAAGTGAGACATATTGTTCAAAAGGAATGGAAAATGGCGACTTAAGTCATGGAACTTAAAGGATTGTTTGTTACCTTTTCCGATTGTACGTATGTATAGGCATACTCGGGTTTAGTATGTAAAGCAATGTTCTATATATTTAGAATGTTTGACGTGTGTGTGTGCGTGTTGTTGGAGCGTGGACCCAGTGCTGTTTACTTGCCTTTTATACCTTTTATAGCTTTGATAAGTATAAATGTTACTAGATTCAGATTGAGTTGAGACTTCATTTATAGCAAGAAGAAACACCACAGAACAGAGGTGTTTATCCATTTTAAAACATTAAGTACCCTGGAATAAATTATATATTATAATTTCCACTTGAAACTGTGATCAATACACAAATTTTTATATAATCCTTCCTTTGTAATGTGCCCCCCCCTCCCCAACTCTATTTGATATCCTGCATATATTATTTCCTTCTCATAAATTTGTTTTCACTTCTCTAAATTTGCTTAGAGGTAACTTTTGAGTTGATCTGTTTCTAAAGATACTTTTGTGCACAATATTCTTCGCTGACTCTACCTTCATAAGCCCATTTTAAATTTCCAGCAGCTGACGGTAGGGTTTGTTTGTTTGTGTAGGAACACTTGAAAAGCCCTCTAAGCTAAACAGAAAAGCATGTTACAATGGAGCTAGTTATCCTTCAATGTAGTTACGTTTCTTGACACATTGCTCAAATGATCCTTAAACATTAGCAAGTCTTAACCAGATGATAAGACTATAATAATAGGGAACTCTAAGAGTTCCCTATTGCCTTTCACTCATTTGCACCCACTTGGCTATAAGTGTCTTGCCCAGCCTGAAGTTAGGCCAGCTCAATTTGCAAGGTCAATGTACCAAATTACCAGATGACTATAAAATACCTATTTCTGTTCGAGGGCTCTCCACTGAAGACACACTTAACACTCCCTAAAATAAGGATCAATGGCAAATATGATTTAAGTAACTGATGACAGCTCTTATTAGGTTGAACACAAAGATAGGCCTGATAAAGAAATGGAAAGTGAAGAGCAGTGAATGCTCCATTTGTCTCTGTATCCAGAATAGCCATACATACACTGCTATCCCATCTGCCTTACAAAAAAATCCTGCACCTAACTAAACAAAACTAGTGACCCTTAAGTGAAAAAGCAATGAAATACAGGAATAAATTTAGTTATTCCTCACTTTACCGTTTGGAAATATAACAACTTGAACAGAAAAACATAAGAACAACAACAACAAAGAAGTGTTGTCTGCTGACAACAGGTGGCTGAAGGAGACTGATTCTCTATTGAGGGCTGCTGATTTCTGCTTCAGTTTGATGTCCATTTAAAGTGGATCTCCAACACAAAAACATCTGTAAACTCTTTAAAACTGAACAGTGAGTATCAGGTTCCTAAAAATAATCACATGATTTCAACAACCTCTGCCATGCAATAGTACAAAAGGAGCAATTACTTTAAGATTAAAAAACAAAACAAAACAAAAAAACTTTTAACATTCACTTCTACAAGAATAATGAGAGGAAAAAAAGAATTTATCTATGAGCAGGAAGACACCACAACTAAAATAAATATCCTGTAAATATTACAGGAAGGTCCTCCAAGTATAGCAATGCCCAACGATTATAAGAGAAGTCTGAATGTATGCATCGCTAGTAGGTCGAGGGAGGTGATTGTCCCGCTCTACTCTGCGCTGGTGCGGCCTCACCTCGAGTACTGTGTGCAGTTCTGGGCACCACAGTATAAAAAGGACATAAAACTGTTGGAGAGTGTCCAGAGGAGGGCTACGAAGATGGTGAAAGGCCTGGAGGGGAAGACGTACGAGGAACGGCTGAGGGCACTGGGCCTGTTCAGCCTGGAGAAGAGGAGGCTGAGGGGAGACCTCATCGCAGTCTACAACTTCCTCGTAAGGGGGTGTCGAGAGGCAGGAGACCTTTTCTCCATTAACACCAGCGACAGGACCCGCGGGAACGGGGTTAAGCTGAGGCAGGGGAAGTTTAGGCTTGACATCAGGAGGGGGTTCTTCACAGAGAGAGTGGTTGCACACTGGAACAGGCTCCCCAGGGAAGTGGTCACTGCACCGAGCCTGACTGAATTTAAGAAGAGATTGGACTGTGCACTTAGTCACATGGTCTGAACTTTTGGGTAGACCTGTGCGGTGTCAAGAGTTGGACTTGATGATCCTTAAGGGTCCCTTCCAACTCAGGATATTCTATGATTCTATGATTCTATGATTCTTCCAAAACAATTCTGCAAGGTGCGAGGGTGACACCATGAAACTTCGAGTCCTTGTGTCTCTGCTAATCCCCAAATCCCAAACCATGGCAAAAGATCTTCATTGGGCTCCAAATAAATCAGTGACAAGGCTAAAAAAATAAATAATAATGAAAAAATAAATAAAATCTAGATCTTCTTAGGAACAGAAGAGGCTCCTTATCATATTCTGAAAGCATAGTCATATTATTTCCAACAATCTATTTATAAAATCTTCATGGGTCTTTCAATATGAGAGGCACTTCAAAAATTAGCTTGGCTTGTAATTTCAGCAACAGACATTGTTTCCCACATGACCGACACTGCACCATTAGATGATCAAGCAGATAACCATTAGCAAGCATCTCTTTAACTTTTAGTTTAACCATTAGTTCTACCAGCAGGAGGGAGCATGTTTTGAGATTACTCAGTACTTAGAAGCCCACTGCAGACACAGCAGAAGAAACAGGAGTTAAAATGGCTGGTAAACCAAAATTATTTTCCCAGTTTGCATTAGGAAGAAAGCATATTAACCTATTGTGATGTTATTGCACGGACCAAGAAGCATGTGAGGTTTTAAAATTATTTTCTACAGAACAAATTCTACCAGTAGCTCTAAAGTGACCTTCAAACAAATCTCACCATGCATGGTGCTACGATATGGCACTGCTTCACTGACCCACGTACGTTTTTCCGGGGCTGTATTCACCAGGGCAGCAAGCAAATATTGAATCACTATCATTTAAAAACAGATTTGCTGTTTATTAGTGCAATATACGGATCCAGCTTTGGAAGAAGAACTCCTCTTTCCTTATCCACTGCAAACACCTGCTGTTGTAGCAAAGGGAGGCCTCTTTAATACTCCATCAGCATCAGCTAAACACAGCTAATGAAAAGATGCAACGCGAGGACCAGACTCCCGCCCCAGCAGCGGCTCCCAGCCATATGTCGCCACATGTTCCCTGCTTTAATCGCGATTACCACAGGAGCAGCTGGGCGGGACGGAGCTCCCCGAGCTCCACAGGTCCCGGCGGCGGGGCCCGGCCGGGGGAGGCTCCCGAGGGGCTCCGGGCCGCTGCCGCTTACCGATGCTCCGCACGTAGCGTTTTGCGGGAACTTTCCTCGCTTCAAGCCGAGGCGGGGGGGCTGGAGAGGAGCGCGGCGATGGAAGGGGGCGGGCAGGGAGAGGGAGGAGGAGAAGGAAACGGCTGCGGCGTGCAATTTGTAATTAGGGCGCTTTGAGCATCTCCCGGCGGGGGCGCAGCGCCGGGCGGCGAGGGGAGCTCGAGAGAGCCGCCCCCGCCGCACGCCCCTCCGGGGCCGGAGCTGGAGCCGTGCGAGCCGTCGGGGCTGCGGCAGCCCTGGCTCCCCAGAGCCGCCGGGAGATCCGCGATCCGCCACCATGAGCAGCGCGGCCGCGGAGAAGCCGGGTCGGTAGCGCGGGGGCGCGGCAGGGCCGGGCCAGGGGGGCGCGGCGGGGGCTGACCTTGGGGCCCGGCCCGGCCCGGCCCGGAGCTCCCAGCCGCCGAGGGGCAGCCCCCGAGGCTTGGGGCCTGCCCCCAGGGAGCGGGACCGAGGAGAGCAGGGGCCAAGCTGGTGGAGGCGACGGGTTGGCGACGGGTTGGCTCGGTGGGTGGCAGTGGCGTAGCCTGCATGCCCCAGGAAACTGGTGCCCTCTTCTACGTCTGTAAACGGAGGGTGATGCTAGCGAGCCTTTGGTTTTCCTGCCCGTTACCCACGTACGTGAATTCACAGTATGGGGCACGGCGCGGGGTCTGTCCTTCCACACAGGCTCCAGGCTTGCGTACTTCCTAGGGGTAAAACCTCTTTGCTGCAATTTATCTCTTGTCTGAAGGCTGGAAATGTCACTGCCTGGCTGCTGCTTCATTGCAGGGGAATGCAGTTTACGTGAAAAAGTGCAGCCTCTACCCTGAGTTACCATACTGCAAAAAGCACTGCATGTTGGGGAGCAGGGGGTGGCTTTGCTATGCTCACAGAACAGTTCAACATGCTTCAGTTGCTGGGCATCTATGCCCTGGCCTTCCTACCTTACACCTACCTCCCCCTATGCTGTCTTAGAAACCTCTACTGAGCAGACAGTTTCCTCCCCAGCAATTTAGGGAAGACAGGCATGCAGCATGGACATGAGCATCACAGGTTGGCTCTGTGGTCACGTAGATCTTTTTGCCTTTGCATTTCTGGCCATGTGTTGTTAACTCATCTCAGACCCTTTGGAGAATTCCAAATTCGTTCCGGTTTCTATTTCATTATTTTTTCTCCATTATTAATCTTTTTACCCTAACAACTCCTATGCCCAATTGCTGTAATAGTATTCCTGAAATTCATTTTCCTTGACCAAGTAGTTGAGTGCAAATACAGTGCCTCTGAAACTCCCAGAGGATGCTTGTTGATGTCCCTAACTGTATGAACATCTTTTCAAGTCAGGTTTGCTGTCACTCAGGAACAGAAGCCTGGAACTGAAGCTATTCGAAGAGCCTTCAGAATGACCAGATTCATGAATCAGCAGCTGGGCTTGCAGCACATCCAAGGGGAGAACAGATGGCAACTGATTCAGTCCATTTTGTTACACACTGTAGTTTATGAAGTGAGTTTTCAGGGACCTGAGGCTTAAACATGCCAAGGGGATGAATGTTTCCAGTTTGAGCAGCTATTTAAGGTACCCATGTACAGTACTGAGCCATTTAAAAATAAATAAATAAATTGTTGGGGGTTCTAAGGAGAAATGGCTGAAACCTGAAGTCTAAGGAAGATTCTTTAGAAAATCTGTATTTAATACTTGCCAGCTACTTTCTCAGGGAAGTCCAAATTATTTAATCTTCTCAGTACCTCTGAAAACATGAGGGTGAGAGCTAGGTCTGAAAAAAGTGACACTTGAGCCAACAAAGAGCTTGGGCTGGGATCTTCAAACCACACTAAACGTTGGCAGAGTTAGACTGGTGATGCTTCTGGAATATCAAGAGTTTCAATGGCTTTCTTCCAGCTAACTTTCAATGCTTATTACCTATGGTACTCCCTTTCATCCTCTGTGGGTACAGCCAGCATCCCCAGCTCATAGCTCCATTCTCCTTACCTCAGTGGTCTATGTCCCCGGATGTTTTTCCTCATTGCTGTTTTCTCTTGGACTCTAGCTGTTTCTTCTTGTCTCACAAGGGTCTCCAACGACCTTTTATTTCACAGCAGGATGTTAAGGAGCCTTTCTTTATGGCAGTGTTTTTATACGGGCAATGAATCAAAGAATAAGTAGAGTCCTGACCTATTAAAAAAGTCAAGAGACATCAGTCTGAGACCAGCCCCTACAAAATGACTCTGCAGATTCTAACTGACTTAATGCCTGTCCCCATCACATTGCCCTAGAGGTTATCTTCAAGAATTTTTGGATGTAGGCCATGTTAGTTAGTATTCAGAGTCTTCTGATTCACAACCTGACACATACTCTGCAGCAACTGAAAGGATATCTGACTAACTGGGAGAGGACATCTAACCTGTATATGCAGCACTAAAATCTGAAAACAATACAAGTGCACTCAAGGTCAATTTTGGTACCACAGTTTTGGGGATATGTAATGCAAATATGCAAAATGTTCTGTGAACTTTAAGGCTTCAATTACAATTTCTGCAATTCAGAACAGGGCAGAGAAGAGCACAAAGCTGTGTATTAGTTTCCCAGAACCAATTTCCATACAGTGGCAATGCCCACTGGTTTCTCATACAGCTGTTTCAGCCGAACTCTTGCCAAATAAGACAGATACCCATTTCTTAACACTCCATGTTTCAGTGTCAGCTAAGCTTTGTACAGAGATCTGTCCCATAATCTCCACTGACAAGCAAATAATGTGCAAACAAATCCCACTAATTTCAGTCCCACTAAAATTAGTGAGACTTGGAATATGGCTCTGTGTTAAAGATGTATATATTTCCCTGGACTTGGCTCCAATGTAAGGTTCTCCAAGGCAATTCTATAGCTATGATTTTTTCTATACATCTTTGAAGACAGCAGTGTTTTGGTGATTGTTGTTGGTGGCTTTTTGTTGGTGTTTTTTTTATATTGTGACACCAATTTGTGATACTGAACGTAGTTGTGATTTTTTTTCTACACAAGGTCAGGCTTATAGAAAAAGTGTAAGGGTACACAATGCAAACCTGTGCCACAGGTGGCTTCATCTGTGACGAATTTTCAGAAAATAAATATTTATTATTGCTGACATTACTTTTCCCGTAGGCTATATCCAGATCTTCTCCCCAGCATAACAGGAATTAAAACAGTATGACCCAAAGAGAAGAATATCATTCAAAACAAAGAAGGATCTCATACAAAGCTCTATGGAATAAACGGATCATTGGTTATTGTGCTGTAGCAAGTGTGTAAAGAATGTAATAGAAAACCGTACTATTTAGTACATATCAGGTTGGAGGTTAGTGCAAAAACAAAAACAAACAAAAGAAAAAAAAGGAAAAAACAAAAAAACAAAAACAAAAGAAAAAGAGAAAAAAAAGAAGAAGACTTGTGCCTTGCGTTTGTTATAAATGAAGATACAACTCAATCTGAATTGAGTAATATTTATAAAAGGCAAGTAAACAGCGCTGGGTGCATGGATAGTCTATGCTCTACCAACACGCAAACACTAACTTCGAACTTTCTAAATATACAGAACATTGCTTTTACATACTAAACCCGAGTATGCCTATACATATGTACAACCAGAAAAGGTATCGATTGAAACATAAACATGGCAAAGTTTTAAAAGGCAAGTGTTTAGCAAACAATCCTTTAAGTCTATTACTATTAATGTCCATGACTGGGGGAGCATAGTTGGAGTTGGGAATCCTGGTTGAAGTGCTCCCGTGTCTTCCATGGCTTCGTTAATTTTTCTCAGATCATCTGTCTCCATTTTCCATTCCTTTTCTTGATTACAAACACCAGAGAATTCCAGAGCTAGTCGTGGGAACGATGTCTCGCTTTAAGTTGTTAAGCAACTCGGCCTTCGGACTTTATGTATCCTATTCTTCCCGGATCGAAGGGAAACAAATATTTCCATCTTCTTTTCAAGGCCAATAGGGCCTGGGTCAAAAGGCACGTCCAGGTCAACAGGGGGCATAACAGCAAAGGCCTGCGATGGCAGCAGTGGCGGGGGGGGGGGGCAGTGGCGTAGCAGTCGGATCAGTAAAGGAGCCCACAGTTCCCTCACTGTCTGGCAAGCCACACGTTTGTGATTGTGGCTCCACATGGCTCTTTAAGGCCTCAGATTGCTCACCAGGTGCTGAGCAATCCCAGTGCAACCTTGTCATTTTCAGTTGCAGAGTCCCACACCTTGACATCAATTTGGTCCCATGTTTCAGGATCATAAACAACTGTTTGATTGTTAATAAAGAGAATAAGCTGTAAGGTTGCCAGGACAGTCTTTGTTCCTAAGGACGTATGATTCCCCATAATGCACAACTGCTTACCAGCGAGGAGCAGTTGTCTGTGCAGGTCCACTTCTCTCAGCTTGAGCTTCTTTCCAGTTCCAGTGCCTATTTCCAGCGACTTTGAGCGGTTTACTGAGTTTGGCCAAACCTGTCTTCATGGGGCGATCAATGTGCCTGTTCCCGTCCTGGCCTCTGTTCTGCCAGCCTGTCCCTGTTCTTTCCTTTTTTCTACTTCTTTATTGATGACATAATTTCATTATATCGTGTTGTCTTTTTTTTTTTTCATTTCGAGGACAGGCTCCCCTCTTATACCCTTCACCCCACAGCAGTCCTTTTCAAACACCTTTTCATCGGTCACACAACTTTGCCCGGCAACAGCAAACACCCAGAAACTTCCATGCCTTAACGGCTGGAGAACAAGCAACCCCAGACGGCATTGTGTCTCCTGAATCACCCTTCTTTGTTCCCTCTGAACTCTTTTACATTCCTGATGGCCTCATCGGTAAGTGTCTGATGTTATCACCAACCATGGGGCTTGCCGACCCCCATGGCCACACTCCCACATCTCCCCCTTCTTTATTAATATCAACCATCTTCTTGACACGAATTATTACTCTATATATCACACCTTTTTAATCTTTGTTTTACAACTTTAATTCCTTGGGACAATATTCAAAAATCCCACAGATTTTTAACGTGAGAAAGGAGACACAGACAAGATAAATGTTCTGTCTGTTTCTGTCTTCTCAAGAATACCAATTCTTATTTTTACTTTTGTTGTTAATTCTAGACTGACTCAGGATATGTCTATAGTTCAGTTTCAGTCACGACTGCACTACCACATAGAGATACTGGAGCTCTCTTTGAACTGGCTAGGGCAGGTACCTGTATCAGTGTAGTCATGGCAGCACAGTGCTCCAAGTGGCCTAATTACTCTGCCAAGAAATAAATGGATACCTGGAATTCCCTGAGGGGAGAGGTGGTTGAATTGTTAACAAAAAGAGTTTTCCCCTGAGGCGCGTTAGTTAAATAGGTGTTAACACAAGAGGCAAAAAACCCCAAGCTCCAACCTTACCATAAAAATCCCTTTGTCCTTTACCTTGTATTTCTGATGTCCCAGTCTTTCCAATCCTTCAGCTGCCTAGAGAGACATAAAAGAGTTTCAGTATCTGACAGAAAATCTAAAATAAAGCAAACCAGCTCCCAGCCCCAACTGAAATCTATACATAAGAGCTTACAAATACAATGAAAGTCTCTCCTGGCTGGAAATACACAGAACTCTCCTCGTGGCGATGGTGGGGTGGAGCTGTTCAGTGGAGTGGATGGAGCATGCCACCTCTGGAGGACAAACATCAGGGTCAGTCCCCTGAGCTCCACAAGGAGCATGTTCATACCCGGTACTTGGAATGCCTGTAAAAAATATGTATTTAATGGGGAAGTCCAAGGAAAAGAAACAAATTAGAGTAAGACTTAGAGGAAGGGAATTTGGTTGTGTTGTTTCTTCTCCCACTAATCTTTCCTCATATGCAAGAGTGATTTCTATTTTTTTTTATTTTAAGTGAAGACATATATACCATGTGCCCTTGGGAGCTAGAACATGGCTGTAACATCACCACAGTGGCTCAATCCACAAATTCAAATGCATCTTTCAGCACTGTGTTTCTGGGCATACTTGGATTTTACATACTGAATGGCACCCACTCATGGACATGAATTGTCACTGCATGACAGAAAGGTGAAGGGGCAATTTTACCAACGTGTTTACTTCCAATTCTTGCGAAGATAAAAATGAACACAGTATTGTTATATATGGAGTGGTAATTCGTGTCGAGAAAATGGTTGATATTAATAAAGAAGGGGGAGATTTGGGAGTGTGGCCATGGGGGTTGGAAAGCCCCGTGGTTGAGATAACATTAGACTCTTAACGATGAGGCCATCAGGAATATAAAGGAGTTCAGAGAGAACAAAGAAGGGTGATTCATGAGACTCCATGCAGCCTCTGGTTCCTTGTTCCCCAGCCATTAAGGCATGGATGTTTCTGGGTGTTTGCTGCTGTTGTTACATTCATTGTTGTTGGACCAATGAAAAGTCGTTTTGAAAAGAACTGCTGTGGAGAGAAAGGTATAAGAGTAGAGCCTGCCCTCAAGATAAAAAAAAAGAAGAAAAAGAGGCAACACCATGTGATGATGTTATGTCATCAATAAAAAAGCAGAGAGAAGGAATGAAAAGGAAGAGGCTAGCAGAACGGAGACCAGGACGGGAACAGGCACATTGATCGCTCCATGAAGACAGGTTTGGCCAAACTCAGTAAACCGCTCAAAGTCGCTGGAAATAGGCACTGGAACTGGAAAGAAGCTCAAGCTGAGAGAAGTGGACCTGCACAGACAACTGCTCCTCACTGGTAAGCAGTTGTGCATTATGGGGAATCATACGTCCTTAGGAACAAAGGCTGTCCTGCTAACCTTACAGCTTATTCTCCTTCTTAGCAATGAGACAGTTTATGATCCTGAAACATGGGACCAAATTGATGTCAAGGTGTGGGACTCTGCAACTAAAAATGACAAGGTTGCAGTGGGATTGCTCAGCACCTGGTGAGCAATCTCTGAGGCCTTAAAGAGCCGTGTGGAGCCACAATCACAAACGTGTGGCTTGCCAATAGTGAGGGAGCTGCGGGCTCCTTTACTGACCCGACTGCTACGCCATCGCCATCCGCCCCTCTGCTGCTACAGCCATCGCAGGCCTTTGCTGTTTTGCTCCCTGTTGACCTGGACGTGCCTTTTGACCCAGGCCTCATTGGCCTTGAAAAGGAGATGGATATGCTTTTCTTCAATCTGGGAAGAACGGGATACATAAGGCCTGAAGACCGAGTTGCTTGATAACTTAAAGCGAGACATATTGTTCAAAAGGAACGGAAAATGGAGACTTGTTTGTAGTTAAGAAAAGGAATGGAAAATGGAGACTGTTAAGTCATGGAACTTAAAGGATTGTTTGTTCTTTCCTGATTGTACGTATGTATAGGCATACTCGGGTTTAGTATGTAAAAGTGATGTTCTGTATATGTAGAATGTTTGATGTTCATTTGTGCTTGTTGGTGGAGCGTAGACTCCCCGCACACCCAGTGCTGTTTAATTGCCTTTTATACCTTCTATAAATATTTGTTTTATAAATATTACAAAATTCAGATTGATTTGAGACTTCATTTATAACAGTATTCTGAATACGGAGCCCAAGACTACATTAAAATTGCACACACCATTTTATTTCATAAATTGTATCTATTTATTTAGATTTCTAAACTAAATTACATGAACAAAATCCACAGTATTTGGCCGAAACTCCCCTTGAGATCAGTTTGAGCTTAACTAGTTTAAGAACTCAGGTAAAGCCATGTCAGAAAGCATACTTGTTTATCCAGGTTGAGACCTTGTGAGTATTGCCTAATCAAAACCTGTAGGCTTATGCCCAGTCTGACAAAATGCTGTTTAAAACAGCCACATGCCAAGGTTACTGTTTTGAGGAGGTAGAAAGCCAGAAAATTGAGTTTGCTGCCAGTAAGTGGATGGTGTGTAGGGGCTAAAAGTTGCAATATTATTACATTAACTTAAATGTGAAAAAAACAACAGGACACTACAAAAATCCAAGATGTTTTTCATTTCCAGCTGTTCATATGCTACAGCTCAGACATACACAACTCATTTAGACCTAACCAAATTGATTCCACTTTTCTATGCAGGCAAAGAAGCAATAGAGGTGGAAATCCCACAGAGGCACCAGGATGTGATGGCCAATGATGAGCAGTAATTACTGCAGCAACACTTCAACGAGCATGAGTGTCAACGAAATGTCTGCCTTCCCTCTGACTTTAGAGCAAAAAACTGGTTTTGCTTTTGTAGGAATTCTGTGTGTTTTCTTGGGACTCCTAATTATCAGATGCTTCAAAATCTTGCTGGACCCCTACAGTAGTATGCCTTCTTCTACGTGGGAAGATGAAGTTGAGGGGTTGGATAAAGGGACATTTGAATACGCTCTTGCATGAAAATTCATTGAATATCCTGCCTTAAATTTGATGATGATCTCATTTTGGAAACCAACTGTTAGTACACTTGTTATACATACATACGTTTTGAAGGTATGTTGGTGGCATCCATTTTTGTTAAATAAATATTTGTTGCAAATTCAAAAGGCACTTCACATGGTTTTTCTATGAGGAACAGTGGAATGGTGGATAAGAAATGGTTAACAGCAAAGAAATACTAAAATGAACAATTTACTATAAAGTTAACACGGAAAAAAAAAAAAAGGTTGGTTCACACAATATCATACTATAAGGAACTAATGGGAAAGCTAACAATTAATAATATAATCATAATTAATAACATCAATTGCTAGTTCAACTCTCACCTTTCAGGAAGAGGAGGTGCTGTATGAATGACTGTTTATAAGGAAACTGAACGTTGTTTCTCCTGTGTGAAACATCTAAGTGGTCCTCTGCAAACAATGCATACTTCTATTTCTTGCTGCTGAGAATGTGTTTTTGATAGATTAGGTCTCCCTACTAGCTCTACAGCTACAGAAAGCTAAACAGAACTAGTGGAAGGGAAACAAACATTGATAAAGATATTTTAGATTCTAAAAACATTCAGCAATACAAAATATATTAATTACCTGCTCAAAAGTCCATTACCTGCTCAAAAGTCCATCTTCTACTTGTGCCTTCCATGCAGTTAAAATCTTAAGGTGAAAGAGAATAAGTAAACATTACATAACCAACCTGACAATCTAACTGAACTGGTCACGCCATGTCAATTTTTACTCCCCCTGGTTAAAGAGGATGATTGAGTTTAAACTGGAACTTCACTTGTTGCACTGTTAGCTGCAACCTGTTCTGTCTGGTTAACAGCTCCTAGCAGTAATTTCACCAGCTTGTCAAGGCCAAAGCAGACACTCACACTGCATACTCGTTTGTGCCCAGCCCCCAGAAGGCAGAGGGGTCCATGAGCTGGCTGGAAATCTTTGAACTCTCCAGCTCATCTCCACAGCTGTTTCTTTTGTGTTCCTACCTCTGTGCACAGTGTATGATCTTGACTGTCAAACTGAGGAACTGGTCAGAGGAGATCTTATCAAGAGAGAAGAACAGACAGTGAAAGCAGAGACTAAAACCACAAGGTCACCCTCAAACACAGGTGTTTAGAAAAGTGTGACAGTACTTGACAGAAATTCAATTCAGTTTTTAAGAAAGTTGGCATCAGAATTTTAAGCACTGTCACTTCTGCTAAACAGCTCTGTTTGCAACAAAGAGCAAAGACAAAAAGATCAGTTACAACGGCTGGTTTCTTTTGCATTTGTTTGGAAAAATCCTTACTAACCCTTTTCCTGTACATAGCAGACAGACACAGCCAGTGGAACACTGGACCTCAAATGCCATTTGGAACATGGAATACTGGATTGTACAGGGAAGGACATGATCTTCCATCTGAAGAATGAGAGCTGCAGCTAACACTCATCTATACTGGTTCATCTAAATAGAATAAACAATTACGTGAATATAAGAACTTTTAAACTGCTCCAGACTCTGTGTAAGAAAAATTGTCAGATCCACACATATTCAGCATGTTGCATTTATCCCAGTTAATTTAACCACAGAATCAAAGGCAGATATCCATATACTGAGTCACGTAATAGGATCATCCACTGCAGAGACCTGACACCATCATTCTTTTTATGTACACTTAATCAGCACATCTGAGCCCTGTACTGTCAGGTTAGATTGCTGAAGGTACTTAAGTTATCTGGGATAAATATAGTTCAGTTATCTCTAAACTACATGGCAAGCACAGCAAACATACCTCAAGAACCTCACTACTTCTTTAGGTTTTGACCCAATCTATTGCTGGAAGCAATTATCAAATTCCCTTATGATTAAAAAGCTTCATAATTTCTTCCTGCCCTTCTCGCACCCCCAAAAGACAACAATCTTCCCAGAATGAATGAACGAAACCTATTTCTTCAAAGATTTTCCTTAAATTTACAGAGTAAAACTTTAAACAGGATTTAGATAAAAATGGTTCAAAAACATGTGGGACAAGGAGACCCACCAATGGGGGTGGTACCCAAGTGATCCCACTGGCTTCATTGGAGTCTGTTCTTCATAAATTAAATCTGTGCATTTTATAAACTCTTGTTATCTCCACTGCTACATATGCAGAACTGAAAAATAGGGAGATTATGATCTGTGCAGAGAATCAGACATAGCTGGGAGGGAAATGGAGATAACAAAAGTATTTTGGGGCCTCCTTGGAAATTTTGCAATACCATAAACCCTGTAATTGAAATGGATAGCTACATTTGCTGGTTAATAGTTAACAAGCTAGAATGCTTCTCTAAATCACCATCCAGAAACGTTTTGAAAGTGAGGGATTGGACAGTTTATTTAATATGTTAAGCAGGAGAAAAATCTGGCCAATAAGGCAGAGTCTGTAATGCCTCAAAGAGAGACTACATGCATGAATAAAAGAGGAAGACTGTCCTTCTCTAAAAACACAGGACTGAGTGGTAAGTTAAATTATCTTGAATAAGGTAAATTTGATAATTTATGTGTAATGATAGAATGCTAAATGCAAAATTTATGGTAAATAACAGTCAAGACACTCCTGGAAATGAACTGTGAAAAAAAAAAAAAAAAGAAAAAAAAAAAAAGAGAGAAAAAAAAAAAGGTATTGTTTTCAAGAACAGCAGAAAGGTAAGAGACTTTTCTTTTTCTAGCCAAGCAATACTATTAAGGAAATAGGACACTGAAATTACAGGTGACAAAAGATTTGGTTTTGCTCCTTCATGCCTGAAGATGAAATACTTCCTTACAATTTTAAAAAGCTGAAGGAAGCAGAACACTGTGATGAGAAATGTATAATAATGATAACAATAATAATACAGATAATCCAAAAACAGCAGAAGTAACAGAACTTAAATTAATGTAACATTGCTGTGGGTTTTATAAAGCATTAAATAGGAAAACCAACATAAATATGAAGGGGTTATAAAGTGGTATCATTTATCAGGTTACAGCAGAATATCGTCTATAGCTGATGGAAGAAGGGAGGAAATATGCCTTAGCTATATCTCATACTGAAGCCGGAGGACATCTGATTATCAGCTCTTCAAATTATAATTTTGATATGTGTTTTTTAGACAAAATGTACCTTGCCAAGTTGTAAATATTGATGCAGTATTTTATCTTTCAGTGCTAGTGCCAAATGTATTTTACAAAATCATAGATTGGAAGAAATCTCTTGAGGTCATCTAGTCCAAGATCTTGCTGAAAGCACAATATTTAAAGAAAATTCTTCTAATAGGCTTATTACCCTGATTTTCAGTTCACATATTCCTTTATACTGATATATTTTGCTTCTAAAACTTTCTGCTATTATGTACACTTGCAAATTTTCCATGTCTGTCTAAGCATGCTTTTAGTCAGTTTTAGTCCATTTCAGCAGACCTGGACTCCTATTGAATTATACAGGTCTATAAAGTTACACCTCTGTATTTCCTCAGAAGAATTTTACTAGACATATGCATTGCCATTGTTTCCAATATCATTTCAATATCTCAAAATGTGATGCATGCCATTCCAGGGCCATGTAGGCCATCCCACAAGTTGCTGCAGAGATACTTAACCCTTCAAAGGCCTATATTTAAGCCCTATATTTAAGTACCCCTTTCATTCCTGGGGTTTTTATTTGCTTGTTTGTTTTTTGAGGGGTCTGTGTGGAAAAGTGGAGGTGGGAAGCAGATAGTACATCTGTCATATGTTATGGGCTGCCATTCAGAGTGACCTAGACAAACAGGCTCACAGGAATTTCATGGCATTCGACAAGGACAAATGTGAATCCTGCACCTGGGACAGACCAGCCTCCTGCAACATACAGGATGGGGCCTCACTGGCAGGCAGCAGCTCTCCTGGAAGGGACCTGCTGAGCCATACACTACAGAGGAGTCAGCAACATGCTCTGGGAGCAATGAAAGCAGTCCTGGGCAATATTAACAGGACCATAACTAATAGACCAAAGTGATCATTACCCTCTGTTCAGCACCCATCAGATTACACCTGGAAAGACCCAGGCTCTTTACTGAGGTGAGAGATGATGGCCATAAAGCAACAGGTGGATGGTTCTAACTGGGTATACATGAAAACAATCACTGCAAGGACAATTAAATATTAGAATATCTGCCAGGACAGGTTGTGGAATCTGTCCTTGGAGGACAGAACTGAGAGACCTGACTGATGAAAGTCCTAAGCAACCTGATTTGTATTCAGTGTTCAATCTGCTTTGAGCAGGAGGTTGGACTAGATAAACTCCTAAGCTTCCATTCAATATGCATGATTTTATGACTTGCTACAGCTTCATTCACATTGTCTTAAAGGGTGATTCAAGAGTAAAGTCTAAAACAGTGTAAAATTCTAGGAAGTTTTCAATGCCTATGACTACTGATATTTCTCAATAATTAATACTTCACCATAGACTTTTATTTCATCCATTTAGTTTAGAAAACCCAATGTTATTTTTGGATATGTTCCGTTGTTGATTTATTCCTTTATATTACATTAATTTTATTTACATAAAACAGTAATGTTTTGCTATACATTAATTGCCTGCTCATAAACTGTCACTGTCCTGGAACTATTGAAAACTTGAAGGCTAACTTTTGCAATTAATTTCAAAACATATATTTCATTCAAGCTTTTCAGGACAATTTACTTCTAGGCTAGGGTAGAAATATACAAGATAACTTAGTACTTAAGTGGAACATAAACAGTAAATGGATGTCATGGAGTCCTGTGCATCCCTCATATTACCCACACCTTCATTGGCTTCATTTAAATGTAGAGTTATTAAGAGAAATATCATATTTGAAATACAGTTGTATGTACTTAAAAGCTGATCTATAGCCCATTTTATTTAGACAGAAAAATCCTCACAAACTCAGTCTTTCACTTAATTACTTGTTATTCAACATGTCATAGGATGACTGTCTCACAGATATTTGGCAGGGCAGGGAGTGGGGAGCTATTGTCAGAAAATTTATTTAACTGTGCAAGTTAACATTTTTTTATTATTATTACTATTATTTCTTTTTTATTATTATTATTTTATGGCAGAGCCATAGAAGACAAATTTAGGAAGACTGCTTAGGGAGTTCAAGAAATATTTCTCAGAACTTCATTACTTTAGGAGCAAAGACTTCATATGCAACAGCACTAGAACCTTTGCTGTAGCTACAGTAGCACTAGCTGCAGCCCCAGAAGACCAAAAGGATCAGTGACTTAAGACTGTATCATCCCTGAAGATGTCAATGAATAATTCTCCAAATGTATTCTTGGATACAAATGCTAATCGGTTTCAAGTTAACATAATTAATGAAAGTCGTGACAACAACGAAGCATCCCAAGAGGATGTGGGCTCCGACCCACCACATTATGAAGAAACGTCTTTTACTGACGAAGCACACAACAAACTGAGAATCAGTTACAGACCAGGAAAAAGAGAATTATATGACAACTTCCTTCAAAGAGGGGAAAAAACAGAAGCTAGTTTACATCCCTATGATACTCACAATAAAATGTATTATCTACAAACTTTTGGCCATAACACAATGGATCCAGTTCCTAAAATTGATTATTATAGAAACACTGGCAGTGTCAGTGGGAATAAGCTCAACAGACCAAGCTTATTAGAAATTCATGAACAACTTGCAAAGGTAAGTGGAAAGGAAAGATACAATTTTTCTCTGTTCCATTTCCAAGCTGTTAATTCTGTTTATTAATATGAGAAAGTCCTTAAATTCATGGACCTTGCCCAAGAGAGAAAGTACAACTAATCACTTTCCATATTTTCTTCAGTAGCTACAGTATGTTTTCTGCCCTGTATCCTGCTCAAAGCAAAGATTTTCATTAAAAGATGATAGTAATGTACTTGATTATCAGAACATCATAGCTTAATCTTACCTAGAAGTATAAAACTACTGAATTTCTTCTGTTTCATTTAGGAGTTAGGGCAGTAGATGATGAATATCAACTCATAATTTAACCAAATTACACAAAACACATTTATTCCAAATTTAAATTTAACATCAATTCAAAACTAAGTTTCACAGATTCCTGCTGTATTCATCAAAATATATCTATATATCAATAGCTATTATAAAAAGTATTGCGTGCAATAAAAGCAATTTCAAATAATCAGAAATCAAAGCACTACCTGTTTATTGCAGTAACAAACCATTCAAATAGCAAGAAAGAGAACAAGAGTGTTGGGGTTGAAAGTGTTTGCCCTGAAGAGGGACAGGAGACAACAATTTCCAGGTATTGATTCAGTGAATTAATTTAGTCCTTCATGCTCATTATAACAATGAGTTTGGAAAGAATCTGAAGAGTCTTTTGAATGACCATGCTTAAAGTATTTATGGAAGAATAAGGTGGCTGAATTGCTTCTAATATATCATGCAGAAGAGATGTTTAGACTTTTCTCATATCCATGTAAAATACACTTACAAAACACACAGAGAAAATTACTGAACAGGAAAACAACTACCTAATTTGTCTTTGAAGAATTTTCTAGGGCTCAGTTTCTTCTCTCCCCTTCTGAGTGGTTCTACAATACAGGAGTTTATTACTGATACATATGCCCAATGGATTTAATGGGGAAAAAAAGAACCTCCCCCTTAGAGGACTCTGCCTGTTTGTGCTATTTCTTCCACATAGACACTACAGTAAATGAATAATGGAATACCAAAACCATGCAATTTAGTGTGATAAACCTCACTTTTGTCACCCTCTATATCTATATACCCAAAGAAAACACATTGGTCAGGTATAATCTTCATGGTTTGCATATTTTAAACTTCCACTGCAAATAATTTGGTAAGCTAACAACCTTAAGTATCAAATATCAGATTTTCATTAACTTGTGTGTTACTGCCTCAGCAAAATTCACCTATTTATAGACCTTTTAATGCTTGACTTTTGTATGTGGAGGAATGATCTCCATGCAAAATAATAATGCAAAATAATGTGGAAAAATGCAGTGAAAACTTTTGGATGATAAGAACAACTAGATTAAGCAGTTTGAAACAATTAAACTGTTAAAAAAACTACTGCAAAACATTACTGGAATAATACAGTACTGAACTGACTTTGGTAAAGTTATAGCCTCTTTCACCTTATCCACAATAACAAGTTCTCCATAATAAGCAAAGTTCTCCATAAAAAGCAAAGGAGAGACACAGGGTACACCCACTTAATGAACTAAAATCAATCCTTTTTTGAGTTTGTTTTGTACACTTGTGAGGCAGGGCTGGAAAGAGAGAGATCACCTTTGTATTCAAATTCAGACTGAAAGTGTTAAGTGCAGGAAAAACAAACAGACAAACAAACAAAAAATAGAGAAAACATGCTGTCATTGCCATTGCACTGTTTTACATAATTCTGAGGATCAGACTAACATCTGATTTTTGTTCAAGATGTTGTTCAAACTCCAGTTCTCTGTAGATACACCTGTCCTAAGAAGGATCAATAGAAAGTAATGAAGTCAAGCAAAAAAAAAAAAAAAAAGCCATTAGGAAAATTAAGACCTGATTCTTTAGTATCTGATCAGAACATTTCGTAGTTTGGGCCTGACTTAAATTTATATTATAACTTTAAACTTTAAATGAAGGTCTCCACATACCTGCTTAAAATGGTTAACATAGAAAAGAGAAGCAGGTTACCTGAGTAATTGTTTATATTTCCATGACTGCAAAGTAGATGTGAAAAGGGGAGAATATGAATTTGGTAGCCCTACTCCTTTTCAGATGTGTAAGCTGCTACTCAAGGGACTAAACATATTTCCATGTTCCAAAGAAAATTCCTATTATAGAAATAATTTACATTGATGGTGGTCAGAGAGATGAAAAATAGTGTATTTTGGCTTTGAACATAATGCTAAATGAACATATACTAAACATTAGCATATTAAGGAATTTTCAGTTTTGACCATTACCTTTTTTTTTTTTTTTTTTCTGTTGCATATCTCATTTGGTCAAGAAGATTGATTTGTTTGTTTTAAACACAATTAGATAAATTGCTTGAGATTTGTTAAGATTTAGTGAAGACTAAAAAGGCATCAACTTCCATCCCAGAATACAATGAAGGGAAAATTGCTGACTGTTAGGGAAGAGAAAAGAGCCTAGTCTTGTGCCTCTCCAACTATAAAAGGGAATGTCAGAGGTAATGGGATTTTTGTTATGCTGGCAACCTGCTGTGCCCTTACATGTGTTGTGGCCCTGGTCTGGGAACCACTGCCCACAGCACTCCATCATTAGCATGGCTGGAGTCCACTCCTGGCTGTCCCCTGGACTTACTCTGTGACCTTGGACTAATTACTTCTATCTACACACCTTCACCATGTTTTCAAGCTAGTTCTGAACAGGATAGTTCCCAAGTTAGAATAAATTCAGCAGCTGCCAGGCTAAAAAGTACAGGGATACTGTCTCAGCTTCTGAAAACAGTGCCAGAACTAGTAGGTACTATCTAGAAGTACCACCCTAGCTTTTGCATATCCAAGTGCTTTGTGGTCTTTCATACAGTCCTGCCTTAAATTTCCAGACAGATTCCATAAAACCCGATTTTCTGACATGCGCTAGGAGTTGAAAAGCACCACTGAAAGATGCAATCAAATGCAATTTAGACATTCCAAAGAATAAAAAAATGCGAGAACAGCAAGTAGTAGATTAGTAGAGAAGGCATTAAGATAGTATGAAAAAGCTGAGCTCCTATCTGCAGGTGAAAGCAGTATGTGCAGCAGAACCCATGTGCAGCAGGCTCTCTAGCCACCCTTAAGTTAGGGATGTAATGCCCCAGTGTGTGTGTGTGAGGGGGATAGACTGATATCCCAAGATACAAATCTGCAGAAGATGTTTTATTCCTTTTTTTTAAACACTAAAATCTGGATTTACCACACTATAATCCAAGGCAATCTCCTCCCTCCACAGATTTTTTGTAACTCAAATTGCTGAAGACAACTGCCTTTTCAAAGCCCATTGCCAGATTCTGATAAGAAATGACATATATTTATCTTCAGATTTCTAAACATCACATAAGTTTTCCCACTGTGCTTTGATGCTGGCTTAACATCAGAAGATAAGTATTAATATTTAATACATTTTTAATATGCAATTTTTCAAATGTCAGAATGTAAGCCAGGCTGAAAGGAACTTCAAATATCCAGTTCCCACGCTGCTGGAGTCAAATGTGTGTCATCTTTTAGCAAGATGTGTCAGGCTTTGCACACATTAAGCCACAAAACACCAATTAAATCCCTAAAAAATAGTCTAAGTGCTATTTCACAGCTTATAGCTGGTGATAATTACTTGGGCTTAGTATTTACCTTACATAAGAAATCATGTAACCTTTCTTCCTCTTGGCTATTCAACACATTTGTTATGAAGACTTGATGACCTCATCATCTTTATCTCCAGGAGAGACAAAGGCTAGACTTCTGAAAAAAGAGAGGAAATTTTTATTTTATTTTAAATAAAATTTTAAAATTTAATATAATTTTTAAAGGGGTTAAATTCTGATTTTGGTAGCTTTTTAAACTATTCTGTCACTTTTACTCCACATCCTTAATGCATGAGTAGCGCAGGTACAGCTGCTTGGTAAATAACAAATCATTGACTAGAGCACACCAATTTAAAATGCATTTAAAATGCATTTATGGAAGGTTTAAGACCATAATTTACGAAAATGGCATGTGATAGCTCAAATTAATTCAAAGTATTAATGAAACAACTTGTTTCAAGTACAAACACTGAACCCTTTAATTTTTTGCCTTTGAAGCTCTAACCACTGTACATGCAAATAAGCAAAAAAAAAAAAAAAAAAGTTATTCTGATAATCTTCCTTAACTCATTTTAATTGTTTTTTGTATTTAGAGCAAGCAGAGCCATTATTATTTTCGGGTGAGAATTGTTAAACATATCTAAGCATTTCAGGAGCTCAAAGTCACAGGTTTTCAATAGCTTTTGTATTCCCATCACAGGCACCAACTTGAAGTTATGCCAAAATGCATTATCCAGTCACTTATTTCAATTGTGAACACAATCCTAAATTTATTGTGTCAAAAGCATTCTAAAATTTTACATCACAGGAGCTAGAGACCCCTTCCATGAGAAGGGAGATCAAACATTATCATAAATATCATATACAATTAGTTGTTATGCTGATATTGTATTCTATTTTCTGAGAATGTGGACAAAAAACAGAAAGAGATTTGAAGCTTAAGCAGTATCTAGAAACCTCATATGTTTCACAGAATCACAGATGTTTTCCCTCCTTGACTTGTTTAGTTAATGTGGAAACCTCTTCACCCTCCTCCAAACCCTAAACATCTGATTCCTCTCCTGAAGGGACACACACTCCTGACCCTCTGCCTAGCTAAGATAATGTACATACCCCCTCCTGAGTCATTTTGCACAGGACCCAGACAACACTTGGCAACAGTTAACCAAATTCCAACTCAGTGCAAAATCAGTCAGAACTTTGTATAAAAAAATTAAAACAAACAAACCAGCAATGACAGCAAGTGTAAACCTCAGCACTGTGATTAATTCCCATTAAAACCACAGGAAACATATTGTGGTGCTAAACTGAACTGAAGAGATAAAATACAGATACAAGTCTGTAACTGGATGGGAATGATCCAAAATTCTGGGCTATTTATTATAATTACATAACAAGTATGCCAATTCTTAATCTTATCTACTACAGTTAAGCTAGAGCTGAATAAACCACAGAAAGGGTTATTAATTTACTGCATTATTTATTGAATTTCACAAGTATTTTTCTGACTGCTTTCAAGAATATGCCAGTGCCTCAAGAATATTTGCTGTTGGAATTACGTCTGTACATTAGCCAATGAAAAATACCAGAGTTCATCACATAACTTATTTGCCATGCTGCACTCAACTAGGTCTCTTCACCAGTAAGCAATTCTCTCTATATAATTATGATGATTCGTAAATTGTTGCAGCAGCACATAGAGGCCAATCATGAGGCCCTCATTACTTTAGGTGCTCTACCAACATATCAACACAACATATATGTTGAATACAGTTTAGGCTAAAAATAAAAAAAGAAAAGTATCAGATAACAATGTATTTACTCTGTTTAAGTGATTCTTTGATTCTTTCATTTTTTCTTGCTGCTAGCAAGCCCACCTGTTGATGCTTGGTGTCAGAAGAGTATTGCACTCTACTCTAGAAACAGTAAAACTTGATCTTCTTTGGAATTCCTTCTTCCATGTCCCTCTTATACAACCAGGTGTCCTCTGCTTGATACAATAATGTGTTTGTTTTCTGTGTGATCCTTCAGAACATAGCCGTGAGCACCAGCTCAGTGGAAAGAGTGGCTAATGGAGAAAGCACTGCTGGAGATGAGACAACAGCTAGCAAGGAAGAAGAAAACAAAACAGGACTTGTCAAGTTTGGATGGGTGAAGGGTGTGCTGGTGAGAAACTTATCTACATTTCAAAAAAAAAAGAAAAGAGGAGAATAAAATTTAAGATTAGTTCTGCAATACTAAGCTTTGTTAAGAAGTAAGAGAGGGAGATGGACTTGAGGGATGATTGGGGTGCTTTCAAGAATCCCACAAAGCACACTATCATGCTTCTGATTAGCACTACTTTCAGTGTTACGCTAATGCAGAATTGTTTGTTTAAAACCTAGGTAAGATGTATGCTCAATATCTGGGGTGTGATGCTTTTTATTCGACTTTCCTGGATTGTAGGTCAAGCAGGAATTGGTATGTATCGTATTTAATATCATTTTCAACAGTGAAAGGGATAAAGAGGATAAACTATACACAATCACAATTAATATATAATCTGAGATGTGCATTTGCATGTTGCACTAAATCGTGTTTTCAGATGCTTGCCAAGGTAAAATATGTTAATCCTCCAAACTATTGGAATTTTCCAGACTTCCAGCCAAATTACTGCTTAGAGGCACAGATCTGTTAACTGTGCATATGATCATCACATTTGAATAATTCTGAGCTTTGGTAAAATTTGTATTTAGATCCTGTAACAGATGTAAACTATGTGACTTGGGCCAATTTCTAATATGTGTGTAGAGAGTTAACCTTTAAGAGTTTGCACTTTGCTTATCTGTGAATCCCAAACCTTGTCGTCTGCATATTAAAAACAACACTTCTTCACACTTCTCTGCAAAGATGAAAACAGAACTGGAAGGAGGTCTCATTTCATCACAATTTTAACCATAGCAAAGCATTACATACTAGTGTACGATGAAACACTAAGTTATTAAAACTCTGCTACAGCTTTCATATAAGTAAGCATATTTCATAGTGTATTGTGTTTTTGCCTCTTCACTGTGTATTTTCATTAATCCAATTCTTAAATCCCAGTCCCTGGGATGCTGGGCCCCACACACTCCATGCAGCATGTTGTTAAGCATTCAGTGAAACCAAGGCTCACACTACATGGACCTCTAGCAGCTGGAAGCACCTCAGGAAGGTGTAACATATCAGTAGCTGTTGTGTGGTACAAGTTCATTTTTTTTCGCTGCTGCTGTAGAGAAACAGAAATGTGAACTGCAACGGCAGTGTCACTGTGTTACATGTTCATAAGTAAAATGGGTCCATACGCTTTAACTGGCTCCCAGACATCACGAAAAGCAGCAATTCAAAAGGTTGTTGACAAATATTTCACTTTGTATTCTCACAGAACAGAAATACTAGGTAGACATGAGCTGGAGTCCAAACTCTGATCTCTGTGCCTCTACTCTCCCCATCTTGGATAAAACTCAGTGCCCAAATTCAGACTGAATATCAATATAATTCACAGCCTTGTTAATGGCTGAAATGAAACAGTGAATAGAAACATCTCCAAAATTTTGCATGGCTGAAGTGTAATTTCCAGCAAAATACAGTAACTTCACAGAAGTTCTTCTTGAGCAAGACTGAACTTTAAAAAAACAGATACAAATAAAATGCTCATTAATAAAAAAAAAAAAAAAATCAGCCACAAAATTACAGGCACAGGTAGGAAAAAAAACAAACACACAAAACACCACCAAACAATAAATGTTCCAGAACTAAGCGGAAGAACTTGAGCTACTTTTGCAGCACTCTATGCATGGCTCTAGCACTGTGCCTGACAAAGGGGTGCTTGCTGACTTTATGATGCATACCAAATAAGAGCGTACAGCCCAGGGCACTCATAAGTATATGCCTTGCCATGAAAATTCTGCATCTTAATATTGCCAAGGTTTTGCTCTAGGGTTTCATGCAAAATTAGTTTTTAAGGGCAGTTTAGTAACTTATTGAGATCATCAAGAAGTATTACTTTGTTTTGAGGTGTGAGAATAGCCATAGGCAAGAGTAATTCATTTTAGAACAACTTTCTTAGCAGCCATATGCCTAGGTTTCAATCTAAACTTTAATCAGATTTTAGCATTAATTTGCACCAAGATCAGTAACAACCTTTCTGCTTTCACATTTGATTTTACCATTTTAATTCATTGATAAGCAGATCCTCCTTTCTTAGGCTTTATTGCTTTGCTATTGCTTTTTAAAATTGCATGTCTTATGTAAGGAGGTTAGCCTTTCTTCTGAAAACGAGACATCGAACTCCATTTCAATAATTTCTCAATGTATTTTCTGAATGTCTTGTAAACAATGAGTTTAAGTCTCTAGTCAAGTTGCCTAAAGAGAACAGTGATGGAAGTTCATCATCATGAAAGCTTTGGGATTTCACTTGGTACTGCTACTAATGTGGAAATCAAATGAGTTAAACCACCATTTGCACACCATTTATATTCCCATCATTAGAGGGCCAAAGAGAGGAAAAAAAAATATATATATATATTTCCAAATCCTGCTGTCTTGGGCAAAAACTCTGAGAGGATAAAAAAACAAGGTACAGTGTTTATCAACAACCCGGATAAAAAGGACAGGCTGGTTTTGATAAGGTTTGAGGTCCAAAACCAGTCTGGCATTTCGACCTAACATCTGGGGACTCTCTCCAAAGTCAGTATTTGTACCTATACATGGAGTGGTTAATCAATGGCAGGGAAAAACACCAAGTTTATGTTAACTGAAAATTTGGCCCCATATATTACAATTATGTTATACTAGGTTATATATTACAATCATGTTTTGGTTGGATTACTTGATTTACTTTATGCACTTTTCTTCTTAAATGTTTGTTGTTGTTGTTGTTTTTAAATAACATTAAGGCCTCCCCTAGCAGATATTACTCACCAAATTAGCAAAATATCTGACCCTACTTAGCATATACTTATTTACAATATGACTTGTGAAATCTAATAGAAAATTCCAGAAAAACACTCCTCAGGATACATGTGTACTTGACAAATAATTTTAAAACAGGTTTAAGAATAATGTGTCTGACATTCAAGTTAAGAATTAACAGCTGATTAAAAGCCCTATTCAGCCACTTTTGGGGCATAAAATTTAGAGTTCAACAAGGCCCTTCTATGCAGCATGTAATCGTAGCTAACCAGAAAGAATGACCATTTATACTTTTATTTTTGTTTTATGCGGACCATGTACAAAATAAATACATGACTTGTTATGGGAACAGTTCAGAAATTAATAGGATAAACATTATTTATTATAGGCTCAAATCACTTTAAATATCCTATGCTACATTATATATCATTTATATCTCTTGCATTATGTTGTTCTTAAAGGATTGTGATAACATGGTTCTAATTCAAGCAGCAAAAAACATTTATTCAGAGGCTGGCTCCAGTATGAACTGAAGTCAGGGCTCTGATCTGGAAGCTAGGGGATAAAAATACAGCAGATAAATCAGTATGTTTGTAGTTCTAGTTGGATGTCAGTTGTTGAATACAAGTTTCAATTTGGAGGAGCCTTGGTCAATAAATATTGTTACAGGCAATGTATAATCTTCAGTTCCACACTGAAGGCCCTTGTACCTTACAGAAACAAGAGAGCTACTGCATAAGCACTAGCAAATTCAGATACAATAAGAACTGATTCCATGTTTTTGTACCAAACTATGTTGCTGTTGTTGTTGTTTTGCTTTTTTCTCTCAAAGACAGAAATGGGAATAGAAACAATAAAACTGAGATAAAATGTTGTATTTCATCAAATGACTTGAAACAAGGAAGTTTTCTTGAACTACAGGGCCAAACTTTTATTCGTAATACCAGAAAATATAAGCAATAGCCACAATTGTATCTCAGGAGATCCCAACAGGACACAAAGAAACTTTTTCACTGGGAGGGTAGTCTACCACTCAAACATGTAACCCAAGGAGGCTGAGAGATCTTTGTTAATGGAGGTTTTCAAGACCCAACTAGCCAAGGCCATCACAGATTTAATGCTGTTCTGGTGATAGCTCAGATCTGACTGGGAGGCTAAGATACACACCTTCAGAAATCACTTCCAGCCAATGTTTCTATGATTCTAAATCATACTAGGTGCCTTTTACTTACACAGTTTCTTGCACAGTTTCACAAAGTTAACAGAAACTTGACTTTAGAGCACATGATTGTAAACATACTCCAAAATCAGTCTTACCGAAACTGAGTTCACCTATCACTAATACTGATCTTCAGATGTTTGCTTACATTTAATGTGGTTTTTTTTTGTTTGTTTTTTTTTGATCGTTTGTTTATTTTTTATATCAGCTAAAAAATGATGCTAAGTTATCTAAGATTACCCATCACTGGTTACTTGTCAAAGTACACAGCATCTAAAAAATAACATTTCCATTTTTAAATGTTGATTTTGTGTTAAATTAAAACTACTTTTTGCAGGGTAGAAGGAGATTAGGAGAAAGTGGGGAAGCATTGCACTTGACAGCCTGGCAAGCAAGGATATAGAAGGATCACATTCAGATCTTGTTTCTCTCCTTGATAGATTCTTTGTCCTGGTGCACTGTGAAACTATACGGTCACTATCCAACTCAGTATTTAACTGATGAAAGACAGAAGAATTCTTAAATGAGCTCTGGTTAATCTCTTTTCTTAAACAGTCGGGATGTATATTAAAGGCTGATATAAGAAACGCTTGCTTGCTTCATTCAGCTAATGAAGAAAACCTTTGACAATCATAAGAGAGATTTTGGCTAGGGTACTCCTATCAAAAAACATCATCGCTTGAAGACTGATGGGAGTAATTTACTACTGCGACATGGACTCCTTGGAAACATTCCAAGTGGTCAACAAACCATCTTTCAGTTTATTGCTCTGATTCTGGGCTGTAAATTCCATTTAAAGAAAGAATAATTTGTAGGAATTGTGGAACATAAGTAAAATATTTTATCTTCTTATTACTGACAGGTCTTGGAGTAATCATAATTCTTCTCGCCACGATGGTAACCTCAATTACTGGGTTGTCAACTTCTGCAATAGCAACTAATGGGTTTGTCCGTGGAGGTAAAATCTTTAGGGTTACTAATGCTTTCAAGCCCTGAAAGATCTTTATGTATTATTTTCATACGATGCAAACCAGCAGGACGATAAAACAAATAGTACATCAGCAGGAACCAGAAGGTAACAACTCTAGCCAACTCTAATCACCATCTATGGCATATTTGAATTGTCATTTTTCATCAATTCCAGATTTCAGTTCAGTCTGTGAAGTACATTTCAGATGTTCCTGCCTAATGCTGAGTGAGAAACGGCATCTGAATTTTCATGGAATTTTTCCATTCTTACCTTGCAACAGGTCTTTAATGTTCAGAGCCTTCCAGGTTGGACATCCTTGGACAAACTGAACACAAAGCACTCTTCCTCTTATTGTGAAGACTGATGCAGATCAGCGGTATCTTCAATTTAATACTTTCTTGTATAATTCTTTATAATACTCCTTACATTTCAGCTACTTCTTCAAAGATGAGCACATATTATCACTGGAAAATTAAAGAGCATATCAGGTATTTTATGATACAAAGTTTTAGTACATTTCAGATCCTTTAAAAGTTGTAACTGAGCTGCGTCTGAGGAAAACAGCAAGTTCTTACTGCATCATTTAAGCAGAAAAGGTATTTGAATACACCTGTATATACTTTCTTTTTCAAATCTTTCAGGTCTTGGAATCATAGTTATTGCTCTGAGTGTAGTAGTAACAACATTAACAGGTATCTCCATGTCTGCCATTTGCACTAATGGAGTAGTAAGAGGAGGTAAGTGAATATCATCTCATGAAAAGTACAAAAATCTTCAGACTTGAACTAGAAAAAAGCGGGAATTGAGATAACTGTGTTATAAGCAAAATAAGAATAAATAAATATATTTGGGGTGATCTCTCTTAATAGATCAAACAACAAATTAAAACATATGTAATCTTCAACGTTTTCTGACGATAAATATTAAGTGAGATGAGATGAAATAATTAACTGACAGAGTAATAAGCTCCATTTATGGTGATATGAAAAAAAAAAAAAAAGATTAATGACTCATTGCATCACTCTTTGGGAGCTTTAAAAATGTGTCACAGTATATGATTTTTTATGCTTCATGGATCCAAGTAAAGCAGAACCTGCCTAGAGGTGAGGTTTTCTCTGCTCTGTGTTACTGCATTATGGATCATGAAAGATTGTTTGAAGGTTCGCTTTTGCATACTAGTATGTACTAAAAGGATTCTTGCAGTAGAAAGGCATTCAGAAGAGTCAGAAGTCAGAACCACTACAAAGCACATTTCTTGGTTTTCAGTTAATATATTAATATAGGCAAATCTTTATTATGTTTGTTAGACTTAAAGTAGAGATTCCTGTGATATACGTGAGAAAAAATGAGCAAAATCTGAGTATTTAGTTGGGCTGAAATAACAGTAATTTCTGTCTGCAGGTGGAGCATACTATCTTATCTCAAGAAGTCTAGGTCCAGAGTTTGGTGGATCTATAGGACTTATCTTTGCTTTTGCAAATGCTGTGGCAGTTGCTATGTATGTGGTTGGATTTGCTGAAACAGTTGTAGAGCTTCTTAAGGTAAATGTAAATGTTTCATATATATTGTTAAATTGGGACCTTTTATATATACGTATTTGTTTTAATGGTGACACTTTTCAGCTGTGGCTTAGGGACAACTTTAGCAGGAAAGATGCTGGTCTTTCTAGCCATGCCATGTAGTGCTTTTCCATTATTTCTACTTTATGAATATGTCATACATTTCTCAACAAGAGCCTCAAGCATCAGAAAAGGGGGTAGACACCTAATTAAACAGCCAAATAATCCCAGCCATGAAGAGCCAGCTGGACCATGAAATACAAACATTTGGCCTCACAAAACATTGAAACTGATTGAACTATGACAACTCATTCCTTTCTATTTCACCGTATTACCTAATCCCACCAGCTGGGCCAATAAGGACTGGTCCTAACAACTTTTTTTTCTTTTTTTTTTTTACTGTTTCCAGGAGAGTGATACAATAATGGTAGATGAGTCCAATGACATCAGAATCATAGGTACCATAACTGTTGTATGTCTTCTTGGCATCTCTGTTGCTGGTATGGAATGGGAAGCAAAGGTAAAGTTTTAAAAGAACATACAAGCAAGCAGTATATTAGAGTACTGCACTCTAGAGGGTTTGTGCATGAGGGATGCTATACAACAGGTGGGATTTTCAAAAGCACTCAGCTTCAGTTTATGCTTAGCCTTTCTAAAAACAATAACAGTTTAACCATTACATTCATTGAAAGCACTATTACTCTGTGCTCTTCCTCGAACATTCAATTACGAAGGAAAAGGAAGTTTATGTTTCACAGACAGCTTGATTATATTGATTTTTATAATTCATGGCATCATTTATAGCCTTGGGTAAGTGCTTCTTTTACCCTTATTTTTGATGCAGTTTGACAGAATAAACAGTAGTTAAAACAATATATGGTTTTATCACTGTAATCTCTCAAGCTCTGATCAGCAGCTGAGCTCTATTTGCTAGCCATTCCTTAATCTCTGATGATATCTGTTATTCCTTCACCCTCAAAAAAAAAAAAAAAAGAAAAAAAAAGTTAAAATTCGAAATACTTCAGAGTGTAGAAATCAGGTCCATAATTGGACCCTTATGTTCATATTCTGCTGTGATGTAAACTTAGAACTACTTGTAAAGTTCTAAGTTCATATCTTTTTATTTCTCTTAACAGGCTCAAGTTATTCTTCTAGTTGTTCTCCTTATTGCCATTGCAAACTTCTTTATTGGAACAGTCATTCCTACTAACAATGAAAAGAAGGCAAGAGGCTTTTTTAATTACCAAGGCAAGTACTGTTCATCTATCACAGAAAAGTAACTTTGCATTCTTTGTGGCTTCATACTGAGTTGAGGATTCCACTGAAAAAGGTCACAGGATAAGGATCTTTGGCTCAAATTTAAATAAGCTTGCAACCAAAGCTTTTTCTTTCATCTTTAATTTTGAGTATGTCTCTCTGCTGCTGAATCTGACAGCATAGTTAGCTACAGTTTGAGTCATTTGTGTATCAGCAGAGCACAGACAGACCTTTAAACAGAGCTAAGTGCAAGTGCTGCAGTGACACTCCTGTCACTTTAATATGGCTCTGTGGCTTTGAGATGCAGACAAGCACATCGTACTGGGGACCAGACTGAGGAAATCAAATTCACTTCGCTTATGAGACAGATTCAAACCCAGACGTCCAGATGTGAAAGACTTGATGAACTCTGGAATCAAATCCCATTAACGTGTTTCATTTTCACCTATATTTGCAGCATCAATATTTGCAGAAAACTTTGGACCAGATTTCAGAGGTGGAGAAGGATTTTTCTCGGTGTTTGCCATTTTTTTCCCAGCTGCCACTGGCATTCTTGCAGGAGCCAATATCTCAGGAGATTTGAAAGTACGTATTTTGTTAACTTCATAATACTAGCTGTAGGCTGAAAAAAAGAACAAGAAAAATGATTATGAATCAGCACTGTATTCAGTTTTAAATCATGTCTGATTTTAGGAAGCAAAATTCTCACTTTTAAGCACCTGTTTTATTATTTAAAAATACCATTTCACATTTTCTATCGTAATACATTATGGGTATTTACACAAATTACTGCAATCAGATTTGGGTTGCTATATCATTTGAAGGCATATTTCAATAAGCCGCAGTAATGTAGCCACAATGGCCTGTTTGCAGAACATTACATAGAGAAAGTATGTGTGTATCTCCTGGTGCTCTTTTGCAAAATTTCCTATAACATCATCCCAAAAAACATACCTGTCAAGCTCATGTTTGTACTCACAAGAATAAGTGGAGACCAGCTTTGTCTGTTCAGGGTCATAGCAATGGCAGAGTAAACAGAGCATTTAATGAAAGCAAATGTGTCCCAATCCCTTGTCACTATGGCTGCTCAAAGGAAAAGATGCAGGTTTGCAACTGTGGCAAAAGAAAGGTGTCTGAGGAGAAAAGGAAAGGAGGTCCAAGGGTGCCTAAATATCTTGCTGGGGCTGTTCTGTGAAGTCCTCGCTCCTTTTGCAGCACAGCAGTTGCACAAGATGCTACCTCCAGCATCTAAACTCTAACTGTAAATTAGAGACAAGAATTTAGTTTTGAGTGCCCTCTAGTTTTCTCGACTCTGCACAGTGTGTTTAACGTGAAGAGGGTTTAAAGCTAAACACAAAGATTAACTAATTCAAAGCTCAGAAACATTTTGTAAAATATCTCTAGCAAATATACGGCAATGCAATACTTTGCAGCATTACAAGAAAACCAAAATGCAACAGGGTAGGCAGCAGGGTATCTATAACTCAAGCTTTGGAATCTTATACTTAAAGCAAACAACAAAAACACCATAAATAAAATGCTAAAAAGGCACCGAAAAGAACAGGCTTACACCTAGATTGCCCCAGCATGTCAAATGATATTATTTGATTTTATCATATAGACTCACTGTCTTTAGTACCTTAAGGATTTGACCAAAGGTCTGTTAGTTCTGCATATCACAAGTTCACCAGGATCCTATCAACCCTGATAGCCGGTTTTGTTTCCCTCCCTTACGCTGACTCTATGCCTCATCTCCTTTGTTTTCAGAGGACTCCTTTTGAAGTCAAGCACAGAGAGAAATACATAGAAACTGAGCCACTAATAACATTTATGAGATTCCATTTTTAATTAAAAAAAATAAATCATTGTACTTCTGTCCACTGGGACTGAATCAGCCTCACACAATCTCCATCCTTTTATCAAGCAAAAATAATTCTTTTGCTATACATGGTACTCTCTATCTATGGCAAACTCCCAAAGCAGCAGCACTCCTTTCATAAGCTATTTAAAAGAGTCTGAACAGACCAAGAGAACCAGGTCTCCTGTTGGCTCCCTGCAGCTGTTTCAGTCTGGCAATAAGTAAAAGTCTATGACCAGCTCCTCCAGGCTGCAGATTCCCCACTGAGCATGTTTAGATGCATTAGGTCTAATTAAATTAACCAGCCTCCACAGAAATCCAAAAGACAAGCTGAGTATTTAAATTGTAAGATTGACAAACTTTGTTTAGAATTTGTTACAAACACCTGTGTACATGCTTCTGTAGCCACTACACACTTAGTAGGCTACTAAGTAGTAAGCTACTCCAAAGTCTGCTTATGGAAAGAGCTCATCTTCCTAGTAACTTCAGAGGATTTTGGAGCAGGCCTCAAAATGCTAATGGCATACTAAATGTGTTTAATTATTAATATATTTTAAAAGTTGCAAAGCAGCAAGAAGCTTTAACTCTAAGATTTAAGATTACAGTGATTAAGACTGCAGCATAAAACTCTATAGAAACAGTGACCAGAGGCACACCAAAAGTGTATAAATTAAAGTTACCAGGATCTCAGGGCAAAAGGTCTTATGGAGCTGAAATGACTTTGAAGTTATTTTTCAGTTCAATAGGCCCTTACCTCATTTAAAAATATATAGTAATTATTTATGCAGTTAAGTCATTCATCCGTGTTTCACACAAGTCACCAAATCTATATACATATTTTTCCATGCAATTAGTGTAGTTGTTGTAAAAGTATATAAATTTGTGGCTTAAACGTATTCCAGGCATCTATGACAAAAAAAAAAAAAAATCACCAAAGGAACTTAACAAGGCAATTCATAGAGTGCATCCTACCAGAAACAAACACACAGTAGATTATAAGGTTGGTTGGTATTGAACTCCACTTTAAAATTACAATGTATAATGCAGGTCATTGCATTTTTTTTACTTACAGTTGCATGAATGAAGCTGATATTATTGTGAGACAGTCTATAAACATTATAACCCAACCTTATCAAAACATCTAAATTAAACATCAAAATAGTGAGGAGTAGTTTGTTGTCAAGATACAAGTACCAACAATTACTAGTTGCGGATCACAAAAGTACTGTATTCCATTCAGGGTGACTATATGCAGCTCTCTTACTGATTAACCAAAAATGGTCCAATCTTGTCATCTGCACAAGCATGATGACAACCTCATAAACTGCATTAATGCAGACGTGTGTTACACTTGCTTAAACAATTGCTTACAGCAAAAGCCTGATCCAATTACAAAGGCACAGAAGGGTTAGTGAGAACATGAGATGTATTCAGGTCTTTAAGAGGCTGCCTGCACATCTATTACCTACTGCTAGAGAAAAAGATGTCATGTTGAACGGAATAGTCTCGTAGCCTGGATGTGACCATCCAACAATCATCTGGACCCGCTCTACTGATTCAAGCAACTAGATGTTTAGTTCAGGAACTATTTATCTACTTTATCATTAAGACATTAAAATAAAGGCCATTGCAGCAATGTAAGGGGAGTTTAGAGCACCCGGAAATGCAGAGTTTAGGACTCTTCTGCTGCTGTAAGCATTAGCTCTGCTCCTGCAGACTATGTTTCTCTATGAACAGGGATAGGAGCATGGCACCACAGACTGTTTCATGGCTATCAATGTGCTGGGACAGGAGATGTTGGTGCAGCTGTAAGTGATAAAATTGTACCTTCTAAAAGTATCTTCATGTTGCAGTGTGGTAGGACTCACTGGTATGCAAATGCAATCAAAACACAGCACGTGAACTCACTGTGTTTTGGTCACTGCTTTATTTTAAGGATCCACAAGGTGCAATACCCAAAGGAACAATGCTGGCCATTCTGATAACAACAGTTGCTTACATAGGCGTTGCAATATGTGCAGGTAAGTATAAAGCCTCTGTTTCATGTCTTAATTTACACAGATATGAAGTCTGAAAGCCTAGTATGCAAATGAGTGATTAAACTCAACACCTTTTCATCCTGTGAATTTATTATGTAGAAACAGTTGCTTTGATTTTATTGAATGTAAAAACAGCGAATAAAAATAAATAATCAGCAAAAGCAAAGTCCCTGTTTGGCAGCTGGATGACATTTGCCTTGTTTGAGTTTACACAAGAATAGAAAAATGATTTTCATAGAACTTATACAATTACTTTTGCATTTGATTCAGTGACAGACTACTAGCCTATAGTATCCATGAGTGTAGTAAAGATTCAACAACTTCAAATCAATCTGCTCATCTTTTCTTTCTCATTCACTTTGAAGTTTCATATGGCTTCTATTTACACTCATTAGTCTTAGTAAGCACTCATCAGTGTCATGGCAATACACTTATTTTATATGTTGTGTATCAAAGACAAATCAATTGCCTCTCTTCAAGAAGATGCCCTATATTACTAACTGCTCTACAATATTGGAATGTGAGGTAACAAAAATGAACACAAGTACAAAAAGGAGGCCAGGTACTGTGTTGGATAAACATGCAATAAAGTTCTCATTACAAGGGTATACTAAATTTTTGATCAAGAAATATTTTTTTTCTTCTATTTGAACAGTACAGTAATAATGAGTGTTGTAAATGACACCCCTCTCTATGACCAAATATCCCAGCATTGTATGAAAGTCCTGCAGGGTACTCACTTTCCTGGGAGATGAATCTCAAGTCTTCCTGACTTTAACAATCCTTGTACTTTATACAAAAGACGGAATACTCAAGTCAAATTTCAGCTCAGATATCACATGATTTGGATCTACATTTCACTTTCAATTACAATTGAAGCAGTCATTTTTCATTTTGCTATAAATTTTTGTTAATACATTGTTCTGTTCTCATAAGCAATAGCTGTATTTCGACTTCAGAGCTGTCTACTATTCAGTGTAATATTTATTTATTTATATACTGATTTGCTAAATAGATAACGGTTACTTTCGATTCTCAATAACATTTTTGACATGTTTGAAAATACAATATGAACTTACACTTTGGCTGTTAAAGACATAGAGATCAGCTTTCTACATTAACTCCATATATTTCTTCCCATTCTAGCAGCAAACTAGAAAAAACAGCAGAAACATTATCATTAAACACAAAGACTACAAGCAATTTATCCTCTTCAAAGTTTTTCTTACTGTACTGATCTGTGACAATTTAAACAGATGAGGATCTGGGTCTCTAAAGCAACTGTGTGTCCTTGTTAAACCAAAAAAAAATGTGTCTGGATCTAGGACCCGCATTGACATGTTACCTTTGAATACTGACACTTGTAAAATTTGTCACAGACTGACAATCTACTTCTCAGTTAATTTATTATTGATCTCCAGTGTCTGGTTCTCTACTTTCAGAAAAATGCTAGTCTTCATTAGTCAACTATTTGACTATTTTAAGAGTAACAGAAATAAAGAGTTGCTTAAAGATAACATAAGAAACTTAGCCAAAGTACAGGGAAGTAATCTCTGCCTGACATGAAAACATTACTCTTTGGCATGACACTAAGGCAGTGACTGTACAAAATATATGCAGACTGTGTCAACGTATGGCAAGAACATTCTTGTGGCATCATGAGGAAGGAAAATAATAATATGCTGTTGTGTCCACAGCCTCCTGTGTTGTCCGAGATGCTACTGGGAACATCAATGATACAGTTGTATCTGGAATGAGCTGCAATGGATCATCTGCCTGCAACTTAGGCTACGATTTTTCCAGATGCAGAAATCAGCCATGTGATTATGGGCTGATGAATAATTTTCAGGTTTTAATGAAATATGTATAATCATAAGCAATGCATGAATACATAAGTACAAACATGCAAAAATATTATTTACTAACAACTGACTGCAACAGAACATCCACTTTCATCTAAAAAAGTCTAAAACTGTAGGAATAATCAAAGCAAAACATTCTTGCATTCCTTATTACCTTCACACTGCCATCACTAGCCTTCCCAGTACTCTGCTAAGGTCTTCATCTCCCCTTTCAAGAAGTACCATGCAACACTATATACTCCAACACCTTCAAACTCAAAGCCTAGACTTAACAAAGACCTCGGGAACTCCTGTCAGATGAGCAGCTCATCTCACTGCTCTTTACACAAGAATGTGATTTTTACCTCAGGGGTGCTGTGGCCGCTGTTAGAGGCTTGTGCCACTGCACGAAAGCCAGAGCTCTGACTTCTTATAAAAAAAAGTATCCAAAAATAGTCAAGTGGGAAGTAATGCAATCTTTCTCCTAGGCCAGAGATACTGTCTGCCATTTTTATCCTTCAAAATAGAGCTTAAGCAAAAGATCAAAGAAAAGCAGTTCTTCTGCAGCACCACAACCACGGCTCCCAGATGTCTGTTCAGCCCCTCAGCTTCACAGCCCCAAGAGGAGCTCACCACCTACCCGCACATGCTTTTAAAGACACTTGCTTTTTTTTTTTTTTTTCTTTTTCTTCCCAGCTGGTTCTCCTAAATGACAGGGCTGGGTAACCACCTTGAAAGGGATATACTGTTCCTGTCGCAGACTACTTTTCATTCCTTCGCAGACTGTTTTCCTTCCTTCCTCATTCCCACCTCAGTTCAGCTGCCCAGACTCAGGGGAACCCTTAAAAGCAGTGACTTCACTCAAGCCATGCACAGAGCTTCATTTCTCGCATTTATCCTTGCCAGAGTGAAGTCAGAAAGAATTATGTCTTCATCTGACAAATCTCCAAAATTAACTGCTCTCTTTCCTGGAGTACTTCCTCCACACTGAAAAGCATCTGGCAACCACATCCATCCACTTCATCTTTTTCTGCCTTCTCTGGTGCTTCTGAACTTAGCAGCCCTTTTATTGTAACGGTGGTAAAGGCCAGGAAAGGCCCCTTTGGAAGGGCTGAAGGAGGCCTGATGGTGCCCAGCATCACAGTTTGTGGTGTGGCTGTTGTGCCAGCACAGTCACGTATTCTTCTCTTGCTTTTTTAGCCATATTAAACAATAATAATTAAACAAACAAACAAACAATAACAACGTAAAACAAATCTCAGACCCTCTGACCACATTTAGCACTTTGGGGCTCTTTCCTGCTGTTTCCACTTTCCCTTTTTACTACCACTGACTATTTACCCATCAAGCAGAGACTGTGCCTTGTAGTAGCCAGTCAGTATGGGAGGTAAGGAAATCTCACAGATTATCATTTACCTCAGCAGACAGCTGCAGGTTTTTATAAAAATTCAGCTGTGCCTCAGTTGCTTTTCACTGAAACAGGAATAACACTACTCCCCTACCTCACAGCTGGTTTGTAGTGTATTGAATTTAGGACCATGAAAAGCTGTACATAGACTACTTAAATGGATCTGTGATCAAAAATGTATCCAAATGCAAGTCTGATTTTTTTTTTTTTTTTTTAAGGTGATGAGCATGGTGTCTGGCTTTGGTCCTCTCATCACAGCTGGCATCTTTTCTGCTACTCTGTCATCAGCTCTGGCATCTCTTGTCAGTGCACCCAAAGTTTTCCAGGTAAAATCAAAATATCCATTTCCTTATACTCTATTTTACTTCAAAGACGAACAATTTAGTTGAGCTCTGTGCCAAAAGTGATAGGTATTTAAACAACAGTAATATATGTAGGAGGACAAACCAAGGGAAACAGCACATAGAATGTTTTTCTACAGAAACAGACAGGTCTTGGCAGCCTCACAGAGGGGGGAGCATTTAGGACGGTAATGTTCCTTTGGTCAGAGCTCAGCTTGGTGGCAGAAACAGGTGCTGGTTTTCGATAGCTTCAAGGCTATTTTCAGGACCACTTCTATCTCCTGACAGAAAGCCAGCCCATAGCTCAGTAATGCCAGGAACATGCAGCAGCCCTCATTCCTGTACTGGCAGGGTGCTCAGACAGGCTCTCTCCACACTCCACCAGGGCACCAGCTATGTGTTTCCCAGCAATGTGAATGGGAACACAGGGCACGGGACAGAACGATAGCTTGCACCCTTACAGCAAAGCTCTGATTTCTGCAACAGTTTCCTCCAGTTTAGACTGTATTTAATTCTGTTCATGTCTTTTTAAAGTACTGGATAAGTGTCAAATGACTGTGATTTTTTTTTCTGCTATAATTTAGCAGGATATTGGCTTATCACCTTATTTGAACGTTTACATGCCATAGCAATAGATGAACTTGAAGTACTAAGATAGATTTAATTTTTGCTTAGCAAAAACCTAGCACAAGCTGTCACTCACATATGGTGAATTTCTTCTGAAAGAGATCACTGCTCAGCAGAATTGAATTCTGATTTGTCTACCAGGCTCTTTGCAAGGACAACGTCTATAAAGGGCTCCACTTCTTTGCCAAAGGATATGGAAAAAACAATGAGCCAATCAGAGGATACGTTCTCACTTTTGTGATTGCTATGGCGTTCATATTGATTGGTTTGTATATAATTACATAACTGCAATATATGTTTTGAAAGTATATAAACTGACATTTTAATACAATGATTAGCTATGGTTAGGAAAACTTCCAGTCAGGTAAGCACACTCAAAGCTCTGGCAGCAATTTCATTACTCTTAAAGCAAAGAGAAACAAACAGGGACTCGGGTAATAGCACAGTACCACCAGAGCCTCATTGCCAAAGATACTAAGCGGGTGCAGCTCCTGTTCATTTCACTGTAAGAGGGCAGCGCTTAGAACTATATCAAATAAGGCAATATCCAACTTTGAAAATGTATTTCCAGTTCATATTGCGTATGGATGTGAAATAATTTTGAGATAATTAGGAGGCCTACTCTGTCAAGCCTTTCCCACAATCAGCTCAAAGGCACAGCCCAAATTGCCAGCACTGGTGGCAGAAAAACTTAGCTACCATATTGAGTGTGCTATCACTATTATCAGTAATTTTGGGGAGTTGGATCTTTTAAATTATTTTTTCTGAGATTTCAATTTCAAATTGTGTGACACTCTCAACAAATAGGAAGTTTAGTAAAGAGAATTCAGATCACCATTTAAAAAGCAAAACAATACATTTTGACTAAAAGCCTTTCAAGAAACACGTGTCCTCTGAATCACATATTTAAAGCTCTGAAATTCATACCAGATCCACATCATTAAGAGGCAGTCTGCAGGACTGGAGCATCAAGTATAACCTTACGTGGCATATATATTATTAAAATGAGCAGACACACTAATATAAATGAGGGTATATCAAGGTGGCCTTAAATTAGTGCCACAGGAAAATAGCAAAACTCCCTGAATAAAAATTCAGACAGTATCCAGATTTAATGCAGTCAGAAGAAAGCTATCCACAACCTAGGAAACTGATGCTTGTGTCTGTGTCTTGCAGCTGAACTGAATACCATTGCTCCCATCATCTCCAATTTCTTCCTGGCTTCATATGCTTTGATTAATTTCTCCTGCTTTCATGCCTCATATGCAAAATCTCCAGGTGAGTCGTCATTCACCAGTGATTTAAGGGTGGGCTACACAGACTTATCTCTGCAAGTTTTCAACTGTATGTCAGAGAAAGCTGCAGTACCTGTAAAACATCTAAGCTATGTGATCTGAGGTTTTACTGCTCCCATTGAATATGATGACATTTTATTTATCTGCAAGAGACAAAAATAATGGCTCTAGCCCTTACATTCCCTGCAGTTGTACAAGATGAAAAAGACTTTGGTGAATCCCACTGGAGCAGAAAAGCTCTTCCTTAGGGTGTATTTCTCCTCACTATCACTCAACATGGATGAATAAAAAGCTATGCTACCTCTGACCACATAAAGTAAGCAAGGTATACTGGGGTATCATTATGCCTGTCTCTGCCAGAACTATGGTGAAATTTGCAGAAGGTTCATGAGCAGTAACTGTGCTAGTAGTAATACAGCCTTGGAGGGAACACACAGAACAAGAACAGGTCCCCAGAACAGCGTCAGCTCTGCAGTGGCTAGTAGCAGAAATGTAGGGTAGAACACAATGAGGGCCTCTACAAGGGTAACTTGGGAGTTACTCTTTACACTTGTACAGCAAGGGAAAATACAGGCTTGCAGGCATATGCATCACCACAGATGAACAGTCCTCCTCATCATCATTAACGGAGGGGTGACACTTTAAAGACTAAAGTCAATCAGCTGAGCAGCACCATTTAGGGCACACAGGAAAGACATGTTCCTGCTGATATGAATAAATTATTCAATTCAAGAAGCAGAGAACACATTTTTGATTTCCAGCATGAAGAAACCTGCAGTGGTAGCAAAAATGCCTACATCAGCTTCCCTCCAACAGATCTGCATGGTGCCATTTGTTCAGAGGGCAGAAAAGATGAACACTTCTGCTAATTACCTGCATAGCTGAACAAATGCAGATCTGCTTTACATGGCCTTAGAGCTGAGTAAAAATTACCCCTACATATTTCACATACGTGCATCTGATTCAACTCTGCCACTACTTAACATTTCCTGACAAAACTGTACCCTTTTTTTTTTTCTAATTTCCTCCAGTTAATTTCTGCCAATTCACAATGATAGATTATCATAATTGCAAGGCTGCAGGATAGCAAATTTCTTCACAGCAGGACCTTCCCATTCCCTCATTACAAAGATGATCCAAAATAGGGTTGCTCAACCTCTCCTCGTATCTTCAGTGTTTTTCTCCTCTCCAAAGAGTCTGCTCTGTAGAACACCTAGCAGAGACCTGCAAACCATGGAGGCTCGCTGCTTGCTTCATTTTCATTGCTAGCAGGGGAAGGATTCAGTACTGCAGCTGAAGAGCAGTAGGAATAATATCTTTTTAAAGTCAATTGCCAATGATTTTATTTTTATGCAGCGAGGCCAGGCAATTTACAAATTTGAAAGACACATGTACTTAGAGCATTGGGACAAACTGTCCTCTCAGCAAGCATTTAGCTTCTATTAAAAAGTTCTATGCGTATGCATCAGAAGGACGTAATAACCTATTACTTGGAGTTATGGGAAAGCCTATTTTCAGTTCTGAACTAGTGAACTTTATTTTGGCAAAAACACATAAAAGCCATTCAAAGCGAGGCTGGACAAAGCAGCAGGAAGCAGTTTATAGTGAAAGGTTTGCAAGCCCCAGTATTTGGTATGTATAGAAATCTAAACCAGCCAATACCCTGGAAGTACCTGTTGCCTGAGAACTTGCACATACCCCTCCCAACCCTTCTGACAGAGCCTGAAAAAAACTGCATGTGAGTCTGTATGTGCAAGACCAGTGGATTGCCATTTGCTTTGTATATTTTTCTGCTCTTCCAATTTCCTCAATTCTCTTTAAACAGGTTGGAGACCTGCATTCAGATATTATAACATGTGGGTATCACTCTTTGGAGCCCTGTTGTGCTGTGGCGTCATGTTTGTCATCAACTGGTGGGCAGCTCTCATCACTTATGCCATTGAACTCTTTCTATATATTTATGTGACATATAAGAAACCAGGTAAGGCCACAAGATACTTATTTTATGTATATGTTATGCAGCCTCAGCAGACTTTACTGGAATTAATTCTGCTTATAGAAGCACCCATTCCTTCTTCTTAAACACCTTTCCTTACAGGGAAGTTTGAACCATCATATCCCACTTTATATAAAATAGATTAAGACAATAGTTTTCTGAACTTTTGCCTTTTTAACAAGCACTTCAGGTTCAGGGCTTTGTATAAATGGTCCAGCACACCATTTTTTTCCCACATCATTATTAAAGAGTTAATCTGGGCTTTCACTTGAGTTTCACTCATAATATTTTTCCATCCATATACAAAACCTTGCTTGAATTTTGCTGTGTTCTTAGCTGTCTCGTCTGGCATCCTCACTCAAAAAAGTGAAACCTGCTGCCACTATACAATAAAAACACAAGCTGCATTGTGAACCGATCTTCCTCCACTACCTTCATATAATTCCTCAGTAAATCATGAAATAATAGGCACATTTTACTGCTGGAAAAGATTGCTTAGTAGCTCAGCAAATCACAGGAGCTGTCCTTAGAAATCTGTGCACTATTGCAATACAGCACCAGTATGAGACAACTTAGTCTGGTTATTCATAGCCAAGACTAAACTAACCCAGGTCCAGATTTTAGTGCTAACCATCTGAATACCTTGTTCAGTGAAACAAATAATACAAAGAAAAAAGGCAAATCTCCCAGCATAATGTGCTTTCATTGCAGCTAGGTTGATACAGCAGCATCTGGTCTGAGCCTGTGTTACTCTTTTCTGTGTATATTAGTTCATTGTTGTGCGTCCTCCCTATTTGTGCTCTCATACCTAATGGGATGGTCTGTGGCTCTTTCCCTGTACACCACGAATGCAGCTGTGAAAAGATGGGGTGTCAGAAACACATTTGAAGATTGTTGCCCTTTTCCTAGTATATTACCAATGAATGTCCTTGCTGGAAAGTAGCAGCTTAAAGCCTGGTTACATTCACTGAAGACACCAAGCAAAAATCTATCCATCTCCAACTCTCCAAGATAGTGACTTTTGTTCAGCACTTACCTACCAACAACGGAGTGGTTCAAAAAGCCTAATATTCCTCAGAAAAGAAGGCCTCTAGACATCCTTCTACTTACTTTCACTAAGCATTAGCTCTGTACCTTGACATAACTGGACTTGATCTGCATTCATGTTGACCTCAGTGTGGAAAGTTGTTTCTTATCTGCCTCCTTCCAGCAAAGAACAGAGAAGACAATCTATATGCCAAAATTAGTTTGGGAGAACAATTTTTGCCCCATACAGAAGAACAGAACTAACCAGAGCTTGTGATATTCCCTGCTAATGGATTAATTTGAACTTCCTCAAATTCCACACTGAATGGATTGCTCAGGGCTGTCCATTTTATACATGGGGAAAGGGTACAAAGTTAATGAAACATATAAGAAAACATTTCCCAAGCAGAAGAAATAACTTTGCTTATGTTTTTTATAACAATAATGAGACAATTCATTTGCACGTTGTTTTTGCATCACACAAACTAACTTTTCTTATGAAGCATAAAGAAGGGTAGATCTATATCTAAGCATGGTAGAATATACACTGCTTTGGCTCATAGATAACATGACTTCTGACCTTTGTAATAGAACACAGAGAAGAGCCCATGGTTTAATATGCATTATTTATCTTTATTATATGCAGAAGTAAATTGGGGCTCTTCTACACAAGCTCTTTATTATATTAATGCCTTGGACAGTGCTCTGGCTTTAACTGCAGTGGAAGATCATGTGAAAAACTTCAGGTAAGATTTCCAGTGAACAGCTGAATGGCTTACTCTGAGTAAGTACATTACCCAATTAAATACAATCTGTTTTTTCCTCCTAACAGACCCCAGTGCATAGTATTAACAGGAGCTCCTATGATCAGGCCTGCTCTGCTAGACATCACACATACTTTCACAAAAAACAATGGGCTGTGTATCTGCTGTGAAGTGTATACGGTAAGGTCAACTCGCATAAATACAAAAGTTCAGCACTGATGGGTGCTGCATATCCCCATTACACATTCCACTTTCAGTTGGCACACAATGTTCCCACTGGTGCTGACGAGCTTCTGTGCAGACCATGAAAAAGATTCACACTGAGAATGAATTTTGTCATAAGTCTTGACAAGAAAGCTATTGGCTGATGTAGAGCCTGTTGGTAAATGCCTCATTGTGATGCATTTCAGAGCTCATAGTAGATGGACCAAAAAAATTATAAAAGTTTTAAAAAATAAAGCGTTGCAATTTTTTTTTTTAAATTGACACAGTAAGGTTTAAAAAAAAAAAGAAAAAAAAAAGAGGGAGGCAGAGTTCTCTCAGGAATATAGCACTAGAGACAATTACCTAAGCTCTGTTTCCAGCTTTGCCACTCATTTGCAGGGGGTTGGCAAGTAATTCAGATCTCTGTGCAGTGCTTTCTCCAGAATTGTAACACTGCTAATTTTGAGTATAAACATACTTTTCCAAGATCTTCTAAAGAAAGAAGCAAAATATATTTCTAGCTATAAGTAGACAGGAAGTTGTGTATTTTAAAAGGATGAACATTAGACTTTAATTAGGAAATGACAAAAATAGATGGGTTTGTATTATAGAAGAGAAAACGCATTTTAAATATTACAACAACCTTTTGAGAGGAAATAAAAGGTCCATGACACTAAAAGGGACTGCAGAATCTAACTAATAGAGTCACTCCAGACAAGATAATGTATTCTTCCACATGAGCATAAGAATAATTCCTTTGATGCTGTCACTTTGAAGAATGGAAGTATAGAGAAGCTACATGTGATTTTTTCCAAACTGAATGAATCTATAAAGAGTGAATGGCCCAAATCCTTTTCTATTGTAATTATTGGTAGCGTTCCCACTGCATTCAGTAAGCACAGAATCAAACTCAAGAAGATCCTGAGATTAGGCAGACTCATAAGGTTAATTTCCAGCATGTTTTCTGATTTATTTAGGCACATTTCTCTGATATTACCACTTTCTATGTAGAACTGAAATTTCATTTTAGTCTACAAAAAAAACCAACTATGTCTATTTTGTCAGTGTAAGCATTTTTTCCCCTATTATTTCTCCAGTAACAAAAGCTAAATTTAATTTGATTGGTAATAAAAGTGTGACACGATGAACCTTAGCAATTTGCAAAACTATGGCAACAACCGGATGATAAAATTCCTGTCTCCTGGGAGTGGGAATGTCATAATGTATTTAGAATAAGTTTGCTGCCATAGTACAAGACTGTGAGGTGTCTTACTGTCACATAAGCTCGCAGTACTCCAGAGAGAGCTATGACTGGAAATCCAGGCACTGTACTGAAGATACAATACATATCATAACAAATACAGCAAGACCATTTACCCACAAATGTAATATCCAATATATTTTGCCTCAAAGGCTGACATGCTGCTAGCTATGCTAAAGTTTTGAGACTATGCCAAAGGGAACATCTTCCATTCCCTATCCCAAATGAGGGCAATAAACTTCCTGGGAACATGATAATGTTCACAAATGGGTAAAATAAATATAGGAATTTAATATACAGACAAACAGCTTCTAAACCATCTTTAAGGTTGTGGCTGCGTGTGGGCTTGAACAGTGATTTTCCAGTGAAAAGGGCTATTCTGCTTTTCTCCCTGTTTTCACAAATATTTTTGCAAGGTTAATCTTCATCTGTACCGAAATTCACTGCACAATTGCAAAACATGAACAGTGATACAAAGGAGGAGCAGGGGAGGACAGATAGGCTATCTGATGAAGTGGGACTGTCCCCTTGGACAGCAGAAGCATCTCTGTGCAAGATATTTGTAAATGTTTTATTTTTTTTCCTTTTCACGAATTCACAAGTTCATTAATAATGCAGCAAACTCTTCTCAAGTTACATGTTAAGAAATACTCCAGTAAGCTTACTGTCACACAAGAGTGCAGCATCGTCTCTGAAAGATCATGTGCATTTACCTCCCTCCTCCTGTACTTTCCAAAAAGTCATTCATTAACAGAACTATGTGAGGGATGATGCCTGAGTAAGCATCAATCCAGCCTGCTTTTGATCAGATCAAAATTCACATTATTATTTGAAACAATGAAAAATGTGCAGATAAAACATGACACACAAACTCTGCCATATCATTTTCTTTTTCAATGCTGCTTTATACATGGAACTTGCTGGAAATTTTCTCCTTTTCTATCCCCTTCTCTCCTTTTTCTATCAGCCAATACCAACTAAGTGAAAGTAAATGTATTGCAGTTATTTCTACATCTCTGTAAACATACAGTACATCCAATTTCCTTCCTTCCAGAAAAAAAAAAAAAAAAAAAAAAAAAAGGTATTTCAGCAAGGCTGGAAAGCTCTGAGACAAAGAAATTTTGAGTTTACTATCCTTATCACCCATTTAAAATTGTTTTTAAATTAAGTGATTCTTCCTGTACGCTTCATTTCAGAGTGAATATCTTTCAGTTTCAGTTTTATGCTGTTCTCGATTGGGAAATTTTGAGTCTATAGTATATGTTATGGCTAAAAAAAATAAATATATCTAATTCTTCCTCTACTCAATTTTAACCAATTTCCTAGCTTATCAGGAGAAGCTACCAGATACTAACTTACTTTAAGTATGAAAGATTTAAATATGAATTTTGAAATACAACCTCCTGAGCATGAGTTTACCAAGCCTTTCTAGTTTGTTGTATAAAGTTTTATTGAGTTCTATTAGTTTCCTGTCCCTTTGTAACCAAAATGGCAGCTTGCACCCTCAAAACTACTAGAAATTATAAAATAGTAAAGCGGTGACTGCAGACTGCATGGAACTCAACTCCGTAGCCAACTCAAGTTCTAAATTATCTGTTTCTAACAAACCAGTCTGGTACCACTTCCCTCCTTAGGAACAAGCAAACACACTCACTTGATTTCAAGCACTTCCAAGTTATCTGCATCTTTCTGACACATTTAATTATTACTTCTGTCTCTGATGTTGCTGAACACACTCCCACAGTTTACAATTCCACTTTCTATTCTTCCTCAGAAAGCAAAAACTACCTGTACAGCCAGTAACACTGCAAAGCCAGCATCTTGAGCATCTGTCTCTGTGTTTCATCTTCACTGCAGAAGAGCTAGATTACTGTTACAGATTTCTAAAAATCAGTATAAAAGGGAATAAACAAGGCCTCACAAACCTTAACCTCACACTTAAGAGCACAGATTTTTGAAATCAGTTGAATTCCAGATATATGCTCCCCAAACTTATCTTATCTGTCTAAATTCCCTGCTGGCAGCCTTGATGTCTCCCCTGGGCCAAATCTTTCTGGGGACTGATTGCCAAGCTGAGAATGTACCAGGTCTTATGACTTGGATATAGACATGGATTTTGCCTCATTAAATTACCAGATGACCGCTGGGAGGACCTGGTAACAAAGGCAGTTACGTTTAATTGTATGGCAACATATCTTTCTCTTCTTATTACTAGATAGTAGTTTAACAAGGTGTATTTAGATCTGCTCAGCCTTATTTATGAAATCATGTCAGGAAAGGAGTTTATTCACTCTGAGATGTTTCATCATACCTTAGATATTTTTCTAAAATGTTACAGCCCAGAGTAGGAATCCTTTCTGTCAGAATCGCTATATTTAAGTAGCATTAACAGACTCAGCCTTCTTGAGCAGAACGTGAATTATGTTAGCAGCCTAGTTCTTTTCAAAGGGTTGAATCTCTGCAGACTCTTTTGGGAAATGTATTTTTCTGACTCTCTCCATTTGCTCCCACAGCAGACTAGGTAACTCCTTCAAAATCACTCTGTGTTGCATAATACAAGCCTTCTTAATAATATTTTATTGTATCATGCAGGGACCACGCAAGCTGTGCGTTAAGGAAATGAACAGTGGCATGGCAAAAAAGCAGGCCTGGCTTACAAAGAACAAAAGAAAAGCCTTTTATGCAGCAGTGGCAGCTGACAGCTTCAGAGATGGAGTCAAAAGTCTCCTTCAAGTAAGCTTTTTGTTTACAGAACACAGAGAAGAGTGCTACATCAAAGCATCCCTTTATAGAAAGCATTTCTGTTTACTTGTTAAGAAGTCCTGTGTATGTATGGAAAATGTTATAAACAGAGAGAGCATTCTAAGGGTACATGTATTTATATTACAGGTTATTTCATAAACAGATCTAGTTCTGGGCTATGGAATTATGAGACAAGGCAGGCTGATTCTTTCCTAAATGAACAAGATACTTCCTAAAAACAAAAACAGAGGCCTCTACAGGGCATCATATGAATGTCTGTGCAGCTGACACTTCATACACTTCAAATCAATTCTATTGCTTGGTATTATGCAGCATAATAAGTTGCTAAGTTTTTTTTTTTTTTTTTTTTGCATTTATTGAAAACATAGTGTAATAAACATACATTTTTTGCAGAGAAGGCCATCTAAAATAGTGGGCAATGTTTTTCTATTACCCTAAGAATAAAGCAGACTTTTTCCAAAAATCCATTTTTAAATGGCCTTAACAACAGAGGCACTTTTTATGTTTTCAATTTCTCTCTCTCACCTGTATTTAAACACAAAAGTACTGAGACAAAATGCAGAGAAAATTTGTTCTATCAAAACTTGACATGGGTACTTCACCTTTGGTTTAAGCATTGTCTCAGAAGGAGATCCTTCTAATATTTTTGAGAACAATCATAGTCTAAAGATCTCTTCCTTTTCATTACTACCTAAACCACAAATAATTCCCAGCACACCAGAATAACCATATAACCACTGTAATAACCTAAGAATAAATGTATTGGTTTGCCAAGCACTTATTCATTTGAATGTAAACAATGCAAATCTAACAGTGTTACCCCAAAGCCAAACAAAAAAAAAAAAAACAAAAAAAAAACACACACACACACAGACAACCAATAACAACAAAGAAAGAAACAACAACAAAAAACATACCAAGATTTCAACAGTTTTTTGTTGAGGTAAAAGGTTCCCAATACTCCGAGTATTCAGATTTCTATAAGAATTAAGTTAGCTTAAACTAGAACTGATAGCCCTTACTTTTCCATGTTTTAGCATCCAGTTCCAGTTTTGGAGGCAAAGCAATATATTGACAATCCATTTGTTCTTCCTGTTTATAAACTGTAATTTTATCTACAGAGCATGCTTAGCTGCTTCTGGATAAATAACCTTTCGGAATGAACACAGAAGAAACAGAATAGAACAGCAACAGTTTCTAAGCTCAAGGCAAAAAAAAATATTCTTAAGAGGATATGCCTTCTCTACATATCTGAGGTGTTCAAAAAGACTTCAGACCCAGTTAATCTATTGGGTATTCCAAATCTGATAAAAGCTTTGTGTTATTGTCTTAGAATGAGCATACAAACAGTGCTTGAACTCTCTTTTGATTACAAGTTTTTGAACCATTTTAATGAGAGCATGTCAGAAGAGATGTAAATGAATACTTTAGCAAATTTAGAAAAATTACATTTCTGTCATCTAAAAATCATTTATAGTTGGAGTGATTTAGAGCTAATCTTTTTGCATGGGTAGGAGCATGAAGGACATTCATGAAATGCAATCTAGTCATAAGCGTGTCCAGAACATTATTACTTCAGTTATCTTTCACCATTACTTCTCATTTACAGTAAGAGCATGTGTGTGTGTATTCTCAAGCAGTGTTTTAATATTGATAGGCGTCAGGCTTGGGTAGAATGAAACCAAATACCTTGGTGATTGGATTTAAGAAGGACTGGAGAAGTGCTGCTGCCTCGCAAGTTGAAAACTATGTGGGTGTTATACAGTAAGTCACAGTTCAGCATCACCTTTTTCACTCCCTCTAGTCTAGATCAATATGGCATTTCCATACAACAGTTGGACCAGATGATCTTGGAGGTCTTTTACAACCTTAATGATTCTATACAGAACTTAACATGCAGAAAAATGTAAGAATAAACCTAGAAATCTGGGTTCACACATGCTATCTCTGTAACACTCCATGGCTTCACTCACCTTGCAAGATCTGCTTAGAAAACGTCTGGCACAGTCGGAGATTATGTGGCTTGACAATGCTACATAAAGAACCTGCACTGTTGTCAGCAGTGCTTTTGCAGAACTATATGTTCTTTTTTTTTTTTTTTTTTTTTGTAGGCAGGAGCTCAGAGAAAAACAACCCTAATGTACACACTTAGGGAATAAGAGACCATCATGGAATTCTTCTTTTAAGCCTAGGAGACAAAGGAAAAGCCTTGCTTCAAATCTCTTGTGTGCCTAAGGCTCAGCAGCTCTGTGGATTGGGATTTAGCCAGAAACAGTCATTTAGAAACAGGCTACTCAGATTCTTGCTCAAAACTCACCTGCAAACCTGCAGCAAGTCAAAGAAATACAAAACCCACCCCAGCTTTGTTATTTCCTCAGAGAAGGGAGAAAAAAATAGCTCATGGCAACCTAGCTCCTAAAAAGTGCTGTGTGAAGTTCTATGTGCAGTTCTGGGCAGCACAGTACAAAAAGTACATTAAACTGTTGGAGAGTGTCCAGAGGAGGGCGACGAAGATGGTGAAGGGCCTACAGGGGAAGACGTCTGAGGAGCAGCTGAGGTCACTGGGCCTGTTCAGCCTAGAGAAGAGGAGGCTGAGGGGGAACCTCATTGCAGTCTACAACTTCCTCGCGAGGGGGAGTGGAGAGGCAGGTGACCTATTCTCCTTAATCACCAGTGATAAGACCCGAGGGAATGGTGTCAAGCTGAGGCAGGGGAAGTTTAGGCTGGACATCAGGAAGAGGTTCTTCACCGAGAGGGTGGTTGCACACTGGAACAGGCTCCCCAGTGAAGTAGCCACTGCACCAAGCCTGTCTGAATTTGAGAAGCGATTGGACTGTGCACTTAGTCACATGGTCTGAACTTTTGGGCAGACCTGTGCGGTGCCAGGAAATGGACTTGATGATCCTTGTGGGTCCCTTCCAACTCGGTATATTCTAGGATTCTATGAAACACCTGCTATATTAGGAATAGCCTATCTGTTCCCATACCCAATGGTACTTTTTTCCCCCTCCCCTCAAATGAAGGAAAAAAATTAGAACTGTACTTGATTCTTGTGCAATACCTTCTGCAATTTTACCCAGAATAGCCCAGCACATGGCAGTAATACCTCCACTGAGCACTAACACTTTTACTCATCAGCTCAAGGCAGCTTTCCTCAATGACATGCATGATATGAAATGATATATGCTCTTTTTTTTTTTTTTTTTTTTTTTCAGTGATGCCTTTGATTTTGAGCTTGGCATGATTATCGTCAGAATTAGCCAAGGATTTGATATAACTCAGGTCCTCCAGGTTCAAGGTATGTGGTGACTCAGTAGTCAAATTATACTTCACATCTATAGTAGTTACATGCTCAGCATAGGGAAGATTCAGACCAATACTTTTAGCATCACTATCTGGTTTTGGAAATAGTTCCTACACCTGTAATTTCTACAGTTCCTCATTGCTTCTGCAGTTTCAATACTTCCCAAAATCCTTGCTGAAGCAGATGTCCACTGGTAGTTACAGGAGGCCAACCCTCACATGCTAATGAATTCTGCACAACAGGGAACTGAACTCCCAAAGCACTCGTAGCACAGGCACAGGCTAAAGCTGTAAAATCATGCATGGAGCAACCAGTTCCTCCAGCACGGTTCCTTCCAGCTCTCAGCACATCTTCCTCACTCTGCCTACCTGAGATCTCTGGGGCTGATGGGAATCAGGAAGCTGTGCTTTCAGTATCACCTCTGTAGGACGCTGTGGCCCAGAAAGCCGCAAAAATCTCAAAACTGCAGGAAATATCAATTCTCCTTTTCACCTTTTTGTTCATTCTTCCTTAGATAAGCAGCAGCAGTTGCAAAAGGACTTTCAAGAGCTATGTTTAACGGTGGCCTTTGTTTTCCCTTTCCTCTTTAGGGCACCAGAGTTCTACTGGTTCCTCATGTAACTTGGGGAGGGAATGGCTCTATATAAACACCCTATTAGAACAATTCTCCAGGTTTTCAATACGATAACTTTTCCATTTCCTGTAAGCTTGTTCACTTGAGCAGACAGATCCAACCTAAACCCGGAAATTACTCCCAGTGTCCCATGTAGACCTCACCAGAGAAAGTTTCTGTGATACAAATTAGATAAAATCTGTAGACAAGGAAGGTACATGTACATAGGAAAAGAAGAATGGTGGTGACTCTTTGCTGCCGCCTGCTGTAAATCTGCCTCCAGCTTCTCCCCACAGCATTTTAGAGACCCGCTGACAGACCGTGCTCAGGACTGAAAGAACACCCAGAAAGAACATAAGTACCTTAACTCAGCTAATTAAAACAAAAAAAATATTTATCCACTAAAGAGGATGGATTCTAGGGATGAGGCAGCTCCCAAAAGCAAATCACCTACGAATTAAAAGGCACCAGAGACACCTTTAAAAACAAACAAACAAACAAACAAAACAGTAGACAAATATTCACCCAGGAGAATCTCTGGTAGTCTGATGTGCATGGAGAGCTACAGTGCAACCTGACAAGAACTTAAAATACTAAAAATAGATTTATGCTTCCCCAGACCTGTAGATACCTCCAGTAGAACTGCCCGACTCTGCATACTGAGAGTCAGAAAATGACTGCTCAGAAGATAGAGGCATTAGAACACCAGTGAAATTTCAGCAACTACCAACTTTGCATTCTTACAAACCAAGTTTTAAAACACTAGGAATGAGAAAGAATTAGAAACAGTAGAGCAAATAAAATAAAACCCCTCTCATATGCAGAAATGTTTTGAAGCAGACGCAGTCTCCAAAATGGAGAAAAAAAAAAAAAAAGGTTGTATCCTGTTCTATTTGCTATGGAAGTCTGTTTAAGAGAGAAACTGAAATTCTACTTCTGAATAACCATTAAGTTGGTGGTTATCATCACGTCTAATAACCAGAAGCACAAGGTTGTCATGGATTCTAAAGTAAAAGAAATGGCATTCATTTACACTGGCAATTGAGAGTGTCAAAAGTGCGTATGATATCCAGCTGGTGAGGTTTTGTTTGTTTGTTTGTTTTTTAAAAAAAAACTTTATTAAATAAATGTACCTCACTCTACATAAATAGAAGTCTTCCTTTTGAAAAAAAGCTTTCAGCAGGTAAATGCCTGTATCACCATAAAATTAGTGCCTCATCATAATATATACCACAATAACACATTGTACTTTTTCCTCACCAGAAGTCTAATATTGCTAAGGTGGAATTGTTCTTTTATATTATTGAATTTACAAAATTTTTTAGCTAAATCTGAATTTTTCTGCTAAATTGAAAAAAAAAACCAACATCAGAAATACTTCAGCTTAGAAACTGATCACATATTCAGTATCCTTACATATTTCTGAGAATCTCAAGTCCAAATTGATGTAGCCTTGCTCTCAGTGTAGAGGCCCAAGAGCTTGAACTCAATATACCAGCTTTCTCACTTTAAGAAAATGGCTTTCCTGATCTGTTTTTGAATTCTTAAGAATGAAAACAACCCACAAACATAACTAAATGTATAGTATCTTATGTAACCATAAAATACAGTAATACTGAATTTGATCTTGAAAAGGAAGTCTGAGAATGGTTAACTAGCACTTTAATATTCACTGCTGTGATAGGCATGGGCACCCTAAATTAGGGCTTCTAGAGGTGAATTTAGCCTCCTCCTCCCTATTGGTTTTCAAGGAGAAAGTATTTAAAGACTTTTTCTCCCAGCAGCTTTACATTGTGTACTAAGAACCACAACAGCAATTACAACATCACTGTTACTTCAATAAGTGTTTTTATTTGAAATAGAAAATGATGTGTTACCAGTTTGCCTACTTTTTCTCAAATACAGAGGAATTAGAGAAGCTGGAGCAGGAGAGGTTGGCACTGGAAGCTACCATTAAAGAAAATGACTTTGAAGAAGAAAAAAGTGGGATCTGTGGATTCTTCAGAAAAGCCAGAAAGCTCAATATCTCAAAGCATGAAACAAAAAAGGGTAAGTTCTGAAATGAGAACTTCTTCCTGACCCTTCAGTTCATTATACTCTCACCAATATGCAAGCTGGACTTTGGCTGTAAGGCCAAAGCTCCTGAGCCACACAGAGTGTCTTGGAACAAGGCCTGCCCTGCGCAAACAGGCTTTGGTGGCCATAGAAAAATAGCATCAATGTTTGAGGAACACAGAAAAAGGCTTATTTTTAGAAGACATTTTCAGTTTTTAAACAGAGGTGTTTTCTTCCTCCTCTAAAGTAATTACGAGCAATATTCAGGGAAGAAGCAATCTTGCTTTATTCAACATTCACAATACGCACATACACGCAAGCACCCAGTATCCAGATGGAAAATAGGTAAAAACAATACCACTGCTTTATATTCTAAGCATCATTTTGTAAAAAGGCACAAATGAAGGTGGTACAAGTATTGAAAGTACATATACATGTACAGCATGCAGTGAAATAACTAATTAACACGTAACTTAAATGTAGAGGTGTTAAAATCAAAATTACATTTCAGATACAGTAAAATGACACAGAAGTAGAGAAAAAAAAATTAAAGGTCTGATATTGCAATTGCCAGGCTGTGATGATAATGACCCACCTGAAGCCACGCTTGTATGCGGGCAACTATTTTCAGAATTTTCACCTGCAGAGCTTATTACATCTGTCTGTGCATGCAACTCCCACAGGTATCAAGAAGACCTACAGACAGAAAACACAAAATGAAATTATTCTTTACTTGCAGGCTTTAGTAAAACATATATATATAAAATTAAATTTAAAAAAATAATGCACCTTCCTGCTTCAAATACCCTTTTCAATTTTATTCAGAAAAGAATAAAAAAATACATATTATATACTTTGGGTCTCAATATAATATAATTATGTTAATAAACATTCCTATGTCTCCATTTTGCTTATTCTTTCATACTCCCCAGAGCTGCTGCATCTTCCTGCATAGATGCTAGAAATGTAAAGGAAAGCCAATAGCTGCTTGGGAACAGTTGCATCCAGACTCCAGAAATACAGGAAAATAGAACAAAGCATTTTCAGAACCTGACAGATCAGAGTAAAAGCTCTAAAGAAGCCTGTCTGCTCCATTTATAATACTGCTCTGACACTGTCTTTTTTAAATCATTGAAGCAGTAATAAAGCCACGGGCTTCAAAAGATGGAATGAGAGATACTGTTAGTGCATAGACAAGACTGTACCTTTTAAAAGCAGTCAAGCAAACAGCAAGAAGCAAAGTTTATTTTCAATTAACAATGACCCTCTCAAGCATAGGGAAGTTGCCATATATGCTTATGTTTTCTGCCTTCCAGTCTTAGCTTCACTTGTGTTCTTGCTGTGCCCAGTTAGCTCTTTGTCCTTCTTTATTGTTCATTTTATGATGTTCTGTATTTTACAACAGCAAGATGAGCCTGTAAACAATGCAAACACAAGATAATAACCATTTCTTTCTAAAATCTATCAAATATTTCCTAATTGCTTTTGAAGACCCTGGTGAAGTCTAGGGTAGTTAACAAGATCCAGAGAACAAAACCAGATAATCCTTTTGAAGATGTTACAGTGTAGTGACACAGTATTTATTACACAAGCTTTGTTTCCTCTGTGTACTGGTCAACTAAGAGTCCATAGCATGTACGCTCTACATTTTTGTAGATTTATATAATTTAGAGCAGAAACAAGTCAACCTCTGTACCTTCGTGTCCTTACTGAAAAGTATATCAAAAATAATGAACTTCAAACAAATATTTACATGTTTGCTGAATTTTTAACAAGACAGTCTAATGAAAGAAAGAAAATCCATGTGACAGCAAACAGGTATTTCTCTAGTTCCTCATCTTGATTCAGGCAACAAAATACCATCACCTCTTTCGGGGGGATATGTTCTTGTTGCTTATAAGGATATCAGCCAGTTTGGCTTATATAAGTAAGTTTAAACAAATATAGAAGTGTTCACAGATTTAAGATACCAGTTTAATGCCTTTAACATCTGATGGTTTCATATAAACATGCTAGGTTATGGAAATAATCCATTGTTTCTGAATGTTATATGGATAAACTCCAACATATCATTTGTTCCTAAGTAAAGGGCAAACTCATAGTAAGGATAGGCACAATTTCACTAATCTTTTTAATCCTTTATTTTGTACAAAGGAATTGAAAAAGAACTACAGTTCTTTTTTACGGGGGGGGGGGGGGGGGAGGAATCCTGAAGCTTTTTCTCCGTTTGGCTCCCTACAGCTACATGTTGCTTAACTCATCAGAAATCTTTCCACATTTTCTTTCTCATTTCAGAGAGCACCATTAACACAATACAGTCAATGCATATGGGTGAATTCAATCAGAAGCTGCTAGAATCCAGCACTCAATTTAAAAAGAAGCAAGGAAAAGGTACAATTGACATTTGGTGGCTGTTCGATGATGGAGGTAAGGAATTCAAGTGAGAACCACAGGGAGAGATTTCTGTGTTACCAAACAAAAACATACTCGGGAACTTGTACAAAACTGTTTTAAGATTACATTGATAAGTTCATTTTAAAATAGTTTAAACAGACAGAAGAGTATGTCCAACATTGCCTATATTAAGCATGGCAGTTCTCCCACACAATGCACTAATTTGATTTTCCTGCAATTTTATATGTTCTTCCAGGTCTAACAATCCTAATTCCTTACATTCTAACTATCAGGAAGAAGTGGAAAAATTGCAAATTAAGGATCTTCACTGGAGGAAAAGCCAATAGGATTGAAGAAGAAAAACTAGTGTAAATATAACTATTTTGCCTCACTGCTTAAGGATTTTGATAAATATAATATATATACAGCAGAAAGCTGGGAATTAGCCAGCAAAACTTTTTGTTTAAAAAATTGTCAGCAGTACCAAAACAAGTACCTCATAGAAAGGTGTTGAGCTTATGGCATAGCACTCAGGGCTTGGTGTAAATGGTGATGGTGTGAGGAAACTCACATCCAGATATTTTTCCCATTAACATTTCATATTGCCTTCTCTGAGAAGGACACTGCACTTTGTAATGAGAATATCATTAGTTTTATGGGATTTACATAAGATTGTCTAGTTAATGCTATGTGAAATTACACATGAAGCTCCTCATATGCAAATACCATAGGCAGCCCATTTGAATTTGATTAGACATAGCAAAAGTTAAGGAAGGTAAAGACCGTATTAATCAACTTTAAAACCAACTTAATTTGACTTAGCTCTTTTTAAAAGTCTAGATTTCATAATCATTTGCTTTCAAGCAAATGAAAGAAACTAATACACTCCTATTACCAGCCTCACTGTATACAGGACCTTTCCTTCCGAGGCACTTTACACACTAGAAGTACTGCCATTTCATCAGCAGGTGAAGCAGGCAATTTGGGCTGGAAATTTGCAACAGATGCTACTTCTTAAAAAGCAGTAGCACTATGTAGTGAGCTAGTAACACATCCATTCAAAACTCCATCAGAAAGCAGTCAGGATAGATGCAAGAACAGGAGTTAGAAGCCTGCCAGCACCACTAGGATTACGACGCCATGCCTTACAAAAAGACAGCTGCCACAGGGACACTGCTAAGATTTTCCCTTCACATAAAGGAAGCTTTATGAAGGAGGCTCTCTCCTCACCGCTGGGGTACTGTCAGCAGTCAGAACTGCCCTGAAGTCGACACACTTAGGTAGAACAGGTGCACAAGTATTTGTGTAAACTGCTCATACCACCGGCTAAAAGCAGCCTTCCAGTTGATTGGGGTCTGTGAGGGAGAGCTCTGCTCCCTGTCAGGAGCCTGCTGGAGCTCAGCTGTTTGGGAGCACGGCGGGTGCCTGGTCCAGGCCTTGCACACGAGGCACCAAGCTCCACCGAGAGTGGAAATAGGTTTTGACATCAAACAGGATTTGTGGAAATATGACAGACATACATAGAGGTAGCTCAATACCTGTGCACACCACTGGTGCTACAAAAGCCAGAGTGAACATGGCGGTCGGTATAACTGACGACTTGGTTTCAAGAAAAGAATGCGTGTATACATTCCTATATAAACATCAGCTGTCCTCAGCAGCATAATCCACCCATCACACGCAAAAACCTCAGACAGATGCACCAGAGGCAGGCTGGCTCTGTTCTCTAGGAAGATCTAACACAATGATGTCCAAGTACAGTTTCACACATTGTACTTCTCAGTTCAGAAAGAAAACTAATCTGGACTTTTTCTAATGTGTAATTCCCCAAACATTAAAACCTTTCCACAGAAGTTGAGACTTGGTTATTTTTGGTGTTCAAAAGATTTGTGTAAGCAGTATGTTCTTCTTACATAGGAAAATCACAAGTATATTCTGAGGTCATAGGCAAGTATGGTTTTCTATAATGGTTTACTCCTAGGAACTTTTTCAAATTCCAGAGCTTGCATACCAGAAAAGGGGTGGAGGAGGTGGGGTGGGGGTGGAGGGGAATAAAATAAAATAAAAGATGAAATTCCCAACCATACTTCAACCAAAGACAAAACTGACTTAACTTCTTAACTGTCCCTCTGTAATCTCAGCACAAACCACACAGAGCTGTAAACTATCCCTCCTGCCAACTGGTGCAGAAGAGCACTGTATTTCCTTTTATGAAAATATGTAAAGAAAACATATGAGTAGATCAATATAAATGCATACATTACGTATTGCACATCAACCTTCTGGACCAAATTTTCACCAATACATACACGACCCATGTTGTATGTATTCCATGCATTTTTCCAAAACAAACACCCTTCCCCTCTGTCCACTACTTGTTTCCATTATTTATTTTTTTTTATTATTTTCATAGATCACCAGTTAAATGCACTATACTGCAGCAATCACATCAATCCAGTTCTGTAATTGGAAACTGAAATATTAAAGCATTTAAAGTACTTTGTCATATAGTTAAAGACAACGAGACAAATGCATTTGATATCTTAACTCATTATGAGTGCTCTTTGATGCAAAGCACTCAGAAATATAGTGATAAAATGTTCTCTTTTGTTTTCAGGATGGCTTCACTTCTAAGCAAATTCAGAATAAAATTCGCTGACATTAATATCATTTGTGATATCAATATGAAACCCAACAAAGAGAGGTAAGAAACATTACCAAAATCAATTACTTAGCAGCAGGCCTTTATCATGAGCTTGTTTCTTTTATGCTGAGCATTTAACAATTAAAAAAAAAAAAAAAAAAAAAAGCCCCACAAAGAATAAATGTCGCTTTATTGCAATCATTTCCTAAGAACCTACAGGAGGAAAAAGAAGAACCTTTTAACAATCGCAATCCAAAGTGTCAAAACCATAGGCAGCCTTTTTCTTTATGTTGCAATTATAAGATAATTTTAATAAAGCCTAACCAGACACCGTACTTAAGAACTTATGAGACACTAAATTTAACAAGCATTTGATAATGTATTTCCATATCTATTAGTTTGCAATACACTTCACCATATCATTCAGTCAGCCACAGTTCTCTTGTACACCTCTCTGCCAACTCACTCTACTGGGTTTTATCATGCATTTATGAACTTAGTATCTTTCTGGCCAAGCATAAGCATACTTCTTTGCCCACAGGTACAATATTATAACACACCTCCATCGCTCAAGTATAATAAATACATGTATAATGTACTGAAATGCATATTTTTAAAAATTAACTTATCTACAGACTTCATTTTCTCAGACAAGGGTTAGGAAGTTGGTAAGACAGCACTCAGGAAGCTCCACCTCCAACTATTAGGTCCAGTTGTTTTCAGTTCCATGCCACTATTAAACTTTTTGTGCTCCACAGCAAGTTAAAACATAAAAATCTGACCTTAACATTTTCCTCCTGTTTAGGCTTGCATTGACACTTTATATAGTGATACCTTCCATATACATGTTACAGGAGGTACTTAGTTCAGAACCTGTTGTAGACAAGGCCAGATGGAGGGTGAACACATCTCTCTTTTGCTAAGGGGAACTCCACTTACTCATGTTAGCTATGGATTTCCTTTTCCACGTATTGGAGGTCAACCAAAATCTTCGAGTCCCTGCCTTATAAAACATCTCTGTATTGAAACACCCTATTTCTTCTGCTATATGTAGACAGAAGTATATAGTACCTTCCTCAGGGAACAGCTGAATCCTAGTTCAATTCATAATATTGCTCTTGGTATTAAGGATCCTCTGAAGCATTCTCACTTTGCTATGCTCCCTTCTATCCCACCCCTTACTCAATAGCCTACAGAGACTTCATAGTCAAAGGGCTCATCTTCACCATGCAGAGCCTTTCCACTGAGTTGAGGTGAACCTCAGGTTAGTCTCTTAATCCTTCTAGGCCCCATTTCTCCCTACACACATAACTCCAAAACAGTACTAGATTCACCAGTGTTTCTACAACACACTGGAATTTTTTACTTGGGAGGTACAATTGAAGAACATAAAAATATTATTACTAGATACCTACAAATTGCTGAAGTCACTTATTAGTACTCTCTTGATCCCTCAAGTTAATATCGTTTTAATTATATAAAGAACTGTGCAGAATATTTTTCCCCATTACTAAGCAATGATTTTACAGAAATAAAAACTATCAAAAGGAATTTGAATCTGGTGTTAACATAAAATTCACATACATTTGCTGCAACAGCACTATCTGAACAGAGTAAGTGAATACAGTGCCAGATGCTTTCTAGATCACTGCATCTCTCCCCCAGCTGATATCCCAATTATTTCACTAATAATGAAAAGGATTATCACTTTTTTACATACTGAAACAGACACTAAGGATGTTGACGAGCTCGCTGGGAACTCAGCCATGGCAACGTTAAACGCTGCATTGCCTTTAAGCCAGCTCTTGACCTCCTGGCCATATTGAAAAGTCCAACCTGTGCCCAGGCTCCCATTTCACTTATTTCTAGGCCTGTCTGCATAAAGGGGAAAACACACTCGCATTAACACAAATAGAAACGCACTTGCATTAACATAAAGTACACTCCTTGAGATCTCTGTGGGACGATAGAACTACCCAATAAAGGGACAAGCAGGGAAGCATGGCAGGATAAGCTTCTCCAGATGATGAGAGTCACAAGCTTCAAGAAACAAACTGAAAGAGAGAAAAACCATGGAAAAGATGGGAAATGATCACAAATCTAATCTCCAGCAAAAATCCACAGTGTTTCCCTCAGCCCCTTGCTACAGGCGATTTATAAAGCCTGTTTTTTTATTTCATGAAAGCTGTGACAGAAAACTTGTACCAGTCAGGTGATTTCTCAAGTTAATGGTAAAACAATGTGAATAAAAGCTTATTATTTATGAGGAGACCCATATTCATTATTAATGTCAGTAACCAGTATATTGCGGTTCGGAGTTTCAGCACAACTCCTTTTAGTATTTTTGCTATAGCCAGGAAAATGCAACAAATTCTCTGCAACCACAACAGGCCAAATGCAGTGTTTTCATCATCCTATCCTCAAATAATCTTTTAGTTATCCTCAAATAGCCTCAACATATTGATCTGGTATAGATAAAACGAGGGGCACAATGCCGCACAGAACAGTTAAAGATTTTGCATGTTTTTCAGCTACAGTTATAGTCAGTGGGGTCTACCATACACAGTGTCTACAAGTAAGTAAGTTCATAGCCTGCAGCAAGACATCCTTTGCAATTCCTGTTTCAGTTGGAAATTCTTTGAAGAGATGATTGAACCATATCGCCTCCATGAAAGCTGCAAAGATATAACAACTGCCGAGAAATTAAAGCAAGAGACTCCGTGGAAAATTACAGATGCTGAGCTGGAAGCATTCAAAGAGAAGGTAAAGCCTTCACTACCTTTTTACATTTGTACCTATTCTTACACTGTAGACCAGATGCTTGAAGTTATTAGTAAGAAAATGTGAAATACCAGATATGGAATTACAAACATAACATGTACAAACCTGTATTTGATATTTATAATTTTCATTTGTGTTATAAACACTGCGGGTGTGTTATGATTACATTATTCAGCACTGTGTAAGACCTTGGTATGCTTTACAAAGTATTTTCCAGGCTAAGCTCTGCCTACATTCAAAGCTAGCCAGATGAAAGCCACGTCTAAGCCAGAAGCCAGAGAACTGTGCTAAGCCCAAGCTAATAACATCTGCTGAGGTTTATTAAGGGGTTCCACTGTTAAGTGCCTGAATCTCTTAAGAAGAGAACAGTTCCAAACATTCACCGCTTTGGCAAATTTAGAGGTGAATCCAGTCCTCACAGCTAGCTGCTGAAATTTGTGCAAAAGGCAAAATTTAGCATGGATTCTTACTTCAGTGGCAGAGCTGTCTAAACCTGCCTACAACATAGGAACTCTCCCCCAGTTTGAAACTATTTTAAGGCTGATGCTGACTGATCCACTAGGTAAATTAGAGACTGGGATGCTCTTGAATATTGTTGGAATGTATCTTTTTAGCAGTGAACTGACAGGCTTCATCTGCCCAGTGCTAACAGATCACCTAGAACTGTTGCATTCTTAAGACACAAGTTCTGCTGCAACTCTCAGGGAATGAATCCAGCAATCTTCTTTACAGTTCCTGTTGGATTAACCTGAGCACATTTGGAGTTTAGTTGTCTCCACTTTATGATGCTGGTAACTTCCTCAGTGAAGCAAGGACTGTGAGTATGAGATCAGAGATGCCAAGGGTCACAGCTGGATGTATTAACATAAGCTGAAATCAATGGCGATTTCAGATAACACACTATACTGCTGACTGCAGCAGCTGGGAAGCAGACTGACTGCTCACTGTATTACCCTTTTCATAGATTTGATAGCCAGCATAAAATGATGGTAGTCTGCTGCAGGAAGAAAACTTTTAAAACACTCTCAGAATAAATAATCAAAACCTGAGTCAGTCCTTAATCTCCATAAAAAAGTCAACAGAAATATACTCCCAAATATACACACTTTTGTACGCAAACAATGAGGATACAAGAGGAGGAAAAATACATATATACACACACACACACACAATGGTTAAGCTTGGTCTCATCTAGGTCCGTAACTAAAGAACCAAAAAAAAACCACCTCTATGTTTAAAGCAGTCAGCAATATGAAAGTGCCAAGTCTCTCTAAAATAACAGCAACAAAATGTTTAGCTTGCACACCTGGAAAGACATGCCTCTTATCTTTATCAGTAAGGCAGTTCTGGAAATTTTATGGAGGACATTAGAACACATTTAAAATTCAAGAGAAAAAAGCCTGGCAGCACCACAGATAAAGGATGATGTTACAGGATGACTCTGGTGAGATAACTTTCTAAATTACGAGTACTCTTATTTACGTAACACAGGTAAAACAACAGTGAAATTTCCATAGAGAAAGAAAATTTAAGGTCTGAATGGAGAAAAAAAAAATTACCTTTTACCTTCTCTACTGAAATAGAAAGGTTATTTTATGACACCACTGAAGATACATCTGTCTCCCATGCTGCAATGTCCCTGCTCTACCCTCTTATTCTCTATGACTTTTGTTATGTGTTAAAAAGTTTGAGAACCTGACCAAAGTAAGGTTGGCTGAATCTCAAAATAATAGCCATTTATGCAATGCAAAAACCATCCATACAAATACACAACACATAAAGCAGTTAACAGTCTTACTCTAGAGCCCTGGTCTTTTGGAGAAGATAATTTTTATAGGGTGGCAAGGTGATCGTTTACATGCTGATGTTTAGCCTTACTGGCATGGCAGCTCAACACTGCAAAAATAGATGAATGAATGTATTAACCATCAGCAAACAATATCACAAGTCTTTTCACAGCTCCAAAACAGCTATGCTACATAGCCAAACCAATACCTAAAAACTATGCCTGATCTGGCTATGGTACTGTGCCAGTACAAGAACAATCTCCATCCCCAGGAAACCATAAACAGATGTGAAGAAGTCTGGCCTCTGGGCATCAATACCAACCAAGAAACCCATCCTAGACAGCCTTGTATTTTGCCATCTCTGTCACGTTGGATCACAGAATACACTTGGCTTCCAGTACTGCCAACGCAGAAAATCTTTTGGGCAATAGGTAGGACTGCAGACCATTGACCTAACGATCTTTTTATTTCTCCCATGTTTTGGTTTAAACAGAGTTACCGCCAAGTCCGTTTGAATGAACTCTTACAAGAGCATTCGAGGGCAGCTAACCTCATTGTCCTGTGAGTTGCGTGGTTTTGTTTAACTTAGAGAATAATATTATGTGCATAGAGATTGTAGACTAGATCAACAGAAACACTTGTGTTAACTCATTGAGGACAAAAATAGCCTTTTAAAGTACCTTTTAAAGGTCTTAAATCTGCACTGATGATTCTCTGGGACTACACTAAATATGAATCTCTCCTCATATTTCTTCATAGCTTAAAGCAAAGCTGTACTCATGAATGTGTCAAAAACATAATCTTCACATCCCACTCTACACATTGAATGTTACACCTGCTTACCCACCTGCACAGAATAACTGTTTTCCTTCCATCCCAAGATATTAAGAACTCAAAGTTGTAGAAAGAACTCTTTTGATTTGCACATAATCAATGGAGATCATTTGCCAAGATCTACTTGAAACTACATGAAACTGAATAAGAATGATTAACTGCATAAAGGATGTCACCAATAAAAACACAAAATAAAGTCATTTTCAGATCAACTCCTAGATAGAATCTTTTTTTTTTTCATAAAGATACTCAAACAATCACTTAGTATTTATGATGCACAGATAAAGCTCTTTAGCCCCATTAATTCAGTCTCCAAAATAGGGGTGAATGTGTAATGTTTAAATTGACTCATATGTCAAAACTCACATCTCACAATAGCTACACATCAGGAAATAAACTGATGGACTGCAAAAATGTGCATGTAATGTATTTTTATCCTTTAAAAAAATCATTGTTGATGAAAATATTTCTTTATCTATTCAAGGTAAAGGTATTCACAAGCAGTTCATGCTCACAACAAATAGCCATGTTAATGGCATTAACTAGGTGACAAAGAATTTGCAACATTAAGACTTGATGGTAGCTTTGTACTTTATAAGATTAAAACAATCATATAGTCTAATTATGAACATTCAGAGTTGCATATGAACAGCTGAAGTTTTCTACTTAATATTTTGTGTGATGCATGTTCTCAGGTCTCCTCTCTTTCTTAATAATGTTATTTTTACTTTTCTGTCTATCTGAACAGGAGTCTCCCAGTGGCAAGAAAAGGAGTGGTGTCTGATTACCTGTATATGGCTTGGCTAGAAATTCTCTCAAAGAACCTTCCTCCAACTTTAATGGTCAGGGGCAACCACAAAAATGTACTGACTTTCTATTCTTAGAAAGACTTCAGTGCCTAGAACATCCCATGCTTGATTTCAACCCCACAATTTTAATGGCAGTGCTTTATTAAAGACACACTTATTTAATACAGATCTAAAACTTCACTTATTGACAGAATATTTATCAGAATTCAAAGCAACATAGTGGAGAGTTGGACAAGAAAATGCAAATGCTCCCTAGTGGTGTCACACTCCAGTGCAGGCAAAAGCAGGAAAATCCACCTGTATAACATGAGACAGCAAATGTTTTGAGAATACAATGAAGAAACTCCACTAATTTTATTTATATGGTAGCTAAAATGCTTGTGATATTCATTCTAGAGAGCCAAACTTATCAGCTAAGTGTAAAAAGTATTAAATCTATAAATGAATACTTTTAAATTGCACTGTCATAATTGCTACTAAACACAGAGGAGGATTAAAATCAAATGCATCGATGTGGGAGAGAAAAAAAAACAACTGTACAGTACCCATGAGGTCAACAGAACAGAAACAACAGAATACCTGTGATGCTGTTTAATTATATTACATTAAAATTAAAACCTATGCCTACAGCAGATTCTTTTACCTAAATTGTAATGCTTATTCAAATGCTTTTAGTTAACTTGCAAACAAAAAAGATACATAGAGATGGATTCTGTATGGCAAGAGCTGATAATGAATTTTCAAGCTTTGGCCTGGAATGGACCTGTATGATTTCAATAATTAAAGATGGTAAGTAAATTTCACAAAGAAATTAGTCAAAGACTAAATATTCTGACAATTTTTGCCATGACTGTTATGAGTTAATATAATTTGAGATTATACTTTGGAATGTAATATACAGTGATTCATGTAAGTGATTAGAAAGCAAATGATTAGCTGAGTTGAATGCCTTATTTTTTATTTATATAAATTTATGTTACTTTTTAGACTTTCTAAATAATACTTGTTATACATTAAGTTGAAATAAAGGAAATCCATTAAGCTATGCTGTTTTTCTATTTTCAATTCTGCAACATTATAGTACTTTATCATCTCAGCTGTCAATAAAAGCAGTTTCTCTTTTTAATGGGGAAAGCTATATCCTATGTCTAAGCATTATTTAAATTAAAGACCATTGAGGAGCACAGCTAATTTAATTACTGCTGTCCTGCAACTTCTTTGGATAGACTACGAGAAATCTAAGCCCCAGGAAAGTCGGTGGACCCTGATTTTCATTAAATGCTTATCTCAAAGCAGGCCTCAGATTCCATCTTTGCTTGAATTATGAGAATGTAACTTGTGGAAGATCTAGCACTCTATCTCCAAAAATGTCAAATATTTGATATTCATATTTTTCAAGTTCAGCAGAAGCAATTCAGCAGAACATGGTAATGTAGCCCAATAATCCATGGTTTATTTTCTCCATCTATTAAAGGCAGATATGAAATATTGGTATTCTCTCTTAACACTCCTTCTTACACATTTACAATGAGGCTGAAAGATCACTTTGCAGTTTAACTGCATGACAGAGATATACGAGTTTCCTAGATATGACAGACTTCCCCCACAACTCTGAGCAAACCAAACCTCAAATTCTGTACCTGCAAAACATGCAAATTATTCTGATCCTTCACAGTGAGGTGAGCAACAATAAAGGAGTTTGTTACATGCTGTCAAGTCCTTCCACCTTGGTGGAATTGCGGCAGCCACCACCCTTTCCCCTTACCGCAGACAACAAACAATATATCAAAATATATACATATTATATCAACATGTACAAAACAAAATATCATAAAGATGTTATCTTTGTGAGGTACCCAAGCAGTCAATGGAAAGAGAAAGAGCCTCTGGGTAAGCTCTAATTAGGCCTTCTGTAAGTGTGTTTTGTATCACAAGATATGGAAGGACTAGGGACAATTATGCATCTGCATTAAGACCTTCAGTTATGTACATGAGTGAAGATAGTTTCCTAAATATTTTCAACTCCAGTAAATTCTCAGTCCACAGGGAACATTGCCCCAAACTGATATAAGGGAACTAAGCAGATCAAAAAAGGAAGAGCATGATATGCGTTAGTAATGGCACTTTCAATACTACTCCTGCTTTTTTCACAGACATCACTGTAGGCATTCCAACAGTGAATCCCCAAGAATTAAATTTCTAAATGAACAGCCGTACAAAAACTAAGCACTAACATACACATCAATGGAAATCTCCTTGCTCAGACCACAGAGATTAAATAATTAGCACAACAGTGCTATGGGATTTATAACCAGCAACACAAATTCTACACATAGCTACCTGAAAGTGAAGTGCTTTTTTCACAAATCCACAAGTAATTTCAACACAACAGTTTCCAAAGAGCTTCTTCTTCACCACAACTTTAACGCGTCTACACGACTAATTTGGAGAGCATGCTAATTATAAACTCTTGAATTGCAACTTCAGTTGCAAAATTTTATTAGTCCACCTACCTCCTTTCCCACTCTGTAAAAGACACTTCCTTTTTTACATATATTATGCATAAAACAACTGCTGAATTTTAATCACCATGTTAGTAACTGAATTCTAATTACACATTTGACATCTCTAGAAAAAAACATGGCTCTAAAGCTGTCTAACACTTTTTGAGCATATATCACACCATGGGTTTAAATAGGCTAGGGTTGATTTGATCAGACATGACAAAGGCAAGCATAGATAAGTTGACCAAAGATGTACAAATGAGAAAATAACCACTCTTGAAGAAGTAAATAATATTTTGAGAATTCTACAATGGCCTCAGCCTACCACAGTTCATACAGCTACGCTTAAGGCCTAAGGGCCTTTTAAAAGGATCCAAAGGATCCACTACTGCTCGTCTCATCAGTGAATCTCACCTTTTCCTCCTCATGTTAGTGGAGCTCAAACAGGTATCACAGAAGGCATTGTATTGTAGTTCTTTAAATCTCTTTACAACCACTTGCAAATTGCCCATCCTGATCGTACACCCATAAGGCAGGATGCTCAGTAACTGTAATCCCTGTCTAGTGTTCCAGATCAGTATTCTTCCAACAGGCCTTTGACTAGATTTTCAGTCCCCAACAGAGTTTAGTTTGTTGTTTTTTTAATCCAACAGTGCAAGTAGAAGACCGTAACCAAAAATTCATTGTATTCTGAAGACAATACTGCACCTGGTCAAGCCACATTGGGCAAAGAGCATGCCAGTGTCCTACTTCACACCCAAAAGGGTTCTCCATTTTCTCATCATGATCACAGTGCAAGGCCCCAGCCACCCACAGAGGTTTAAGACTGGGGTAACTTACTGAGCAATTTTCATTGCACCTTCAAAAAGCCCTACCAGAAGCCATCCTGGCAAGGCAAAATGATGGCTGTCCTTCATTCTCAGAAACCCTGGATGTCCCTCATCCTTTCCCTCTTTTTCTAAAATTCTGTATAGTATTTCAAGTTCTTCCTTCAGGCAAAAACAGTTTTGGCAACTGACTGGTAGTCTGCAAGTAACAGACACGGCAACAGATAGCATGAATTAACACTAAGTCCAAGATACGGTGTAAACAGCAACACCATTTTAGCTACTATGGACTCATTTAACCATACCTGTTTGTCACCTCCCCTCTGTCAGAGGTCCCCATCTCATCAGCAAAGCTGGGAGAACAGAGTTCAAGGAACCCTCAACCTCTTCAGCTCAAAGCTCAGCAGCATCCCTCTTGGTGCTGACCTCAACTGCTGTGAGAGCAGAAAACATTCTGTACCGTTGCAACCCATGGCCAAACCCAATACATTTCAGCTCGCACGCTCTACAAATAACAACAATAACCCACAGCTATGCCATTGCTGGAATTTCATCAGAGGAAATTCAGTTTCAAGCAAAAATAAAGCATTAAAGTTGTTCTGTAACAGAGTAAAAAGCAATGACAAAATTCTACAGTCTCCACACAGTACAGCAAAACACAAGATCAAAAATAAAACTTAATTGCAAATAAACACCCCCACAGCAGCCTTTAAAATTACACATCTTAATCACTGTGAGAGAGACAGCTGTTCTAAGTCAGGCTGGGGTGGCAGCAGGGAAAGCTCTATTTTAAAGCCACATTTTTCTCCTAATAAAAACACTCATTCTATCACCAAAACTTCAGTGCAGAGAATTTTATGGATTAGCACCCCTTTCTATCACCAAAACTTCAGTGCAGAGAATTTTATGGATTAGCACCCCTAAAAGAAGCTCTATATTTCTTTCCATGGACCAGCAGCTGCCACTCTTATTCTCACTTTAGCAAAAAGGCAGATAATTTCAGTTTATCTCACTATTATTTTTCAAAGCCAGCAGATATGCCTAATGGAGAACAGCAATAGTCAGCAGTCAAGAATGCAGAAATGTTGACCAAATAACTGCTTATCTCCAGAGCAAACAACACATTCCCAGCACCAAGGCAAACTTGCTGACACTTCTGTCTTTTCTAAAAACCTGACAGGGGGAAGTGTTGGTCAGCTGAGGCCTTTTTCCTTGATGACAAGATGTTTTGACGAGTTCTCTTACCTGCTATGCAGAGGCTTCCTGACTACCTTACATGTAGCATAGAACCAAGCCCGCCTCACGGAGGAGCCAGGCCGCTCACAAAATCAGTCCTTTTCTGCACTACGATGTAGGATGCAATTGTAACCATTATGAAGTGCTGGCTGTATAAATAACCAGTTATGATCAGACATTAATGTGATGTAACTTCAAAAAAATATATAATAAAAAATCAACTCTCAGTTTGTGAATGGGTTGTATCAGAAGTCATTAACTATTACTTTTTTTCCTACACAGGTCTATGGTACTGTTATAACTGAAGATACAACTCAATCTGAATTTAGTAATATTTATAAAAGGCAAGTAAACAGCGCCGGGTGCAAGGGGAGTCTACGCTCTACCAAAACGCACACACGAACATCGAACTTTCTAAATATACAGAACATTGCTTTTACATATTCATAAGAAACCCGAGTATGCCTATGCATATGTACAATTGGAAAAGGTATCAACTGAAACATAAACATGGCAAAGTTTTCCGAATTCCGGCAAGTGTTTAACAAACAATGCTTTAAGTCTATTACTATTAATGTCCATGACTGGGGGAGCATAGTTGGAGTTGGGAATCCTGGTTGAAGTGCTCCCATACCTTCCATGACTTTTTCATTGGTCACACATTTTTGCCTGGTGACCGGAATCTTCCATGTATAAGGGCTGCAGAACAAGCAACCCCAGACGGCGTGGCATCTCCTGAACCACCCTTCTTTGTTCCCTCTGAACTCTTTTACATTCCTGATGGCCTCATCGGTAAGTGTCTGATGTTATCACCAACCATGGGGCTTGTCGACCCCCATGGCCACACTCCCACATCTCCCCCTTCTTTATTAATATCTTCTTGACGCAAATTATTACCCCATATATCTCAGTACATATGCATTCTCATTCAAATGGTGATTATTAAGACTAGAAGTGCTGGACAGAAACAACGAAACCCCAAATTGGGATGTTTTTCAGAACACTGTTTTTCAGAGTGCAACATGCAGCAATGGTTTCACTGCCACCTGCCTGCACTTCAGAACGTGACACAGCCAGGAGAAACTCGCATACACAAAAAAATCTTTCAAAAAAATGTCATTAGGAGAGGGTTTGGGACAAAATTTGGAGGAGCAGAGAGAACTCCTACAGCCCGCAGCGACGTGCGGAGAGAAAAATACATCCATCCGCGAGGGGAAGCACGAGTCGTGCAGCCGCAAGGCGGCAGGTTCCGATGTCAGCCTACGGGGGGAGTTCGCTTGGCTTGAGGAGGAGGAGGAGGCGGAGGCGGAGAACTGGTACCACGGTTCCTGCAGGGGGCAGCGACGCAGCCGAGCCCCGCCTGCCGCGCACCCGCCATCGCCTTCCCCGGCAACCCCCGCGGGGTCCGCCCGCCCCTCGGGGGCGCCGCCGCCGCTGTGCCCCAGGGCTGCTCTGTGCCGCATGGCAGGTACGGGCCGTGCCGTGCCGGAGCCAGCGGGGGGTGTCGCTGCCCCGCAGCCCGCAGCCCCCCGGCCAGCGGCGGGGAGCGCCGGGAGCCCTGAGGCGTTGCGCCGCCGCCATGGCGGCTCGTCTGGTGCGGCTCCTGCGGCTCCGTAAGGAGAGGACGGAGGGGAAGGGAGGGGGACTGCAGGGGGGGGGGGGGGGGGGGAAGAGGCGGGGACTGAGCGGTTCCCGCCTGGCGTTTTCGCGCGCTTTTTGCCCCGCCTCGCGAGCAGCTCGTGTCGCCCCCCGCAGCCATGCCCTGCTCCCAGCCGGTCCCCAGCAAGAGGCACGCGAGCTCGGTGCCCGGGGAGCCCTCCGCCAGGCTCCGCTTCACCAGGCTCTCCGAGAACGCCTTCGCTCCCTCCAGGGGCTCCGCGCGAGCCGCGGGCTACGACTTGTACAGGTGAGGGCCCTCCCCTGGGGAGCGGCGAGCAGCCGCCCTGCGCCTCGGCTCCCTTGTGCCCGGCCCCCTCCCCGCATTTCCAGAGCTCCGGCCGTGCCGCAGCCTCCAGGTCATCGGGCAGGAGCGCTGTCAGGGTTGGCACGGCAGCACGAGCTCCTGCTGGCACCAGCACTGGGCGCTTTCCTGTGAAATAAAAAAAAAAAAAAAAAAAAAAAAAGTCAGCACTCGTGGGTTTGGTCTGCCAGAGCTCGTTGCTTTGCCACTCTCCTCTTGGCCGCTGGGTGCTGTGGCCAAGGACGTTGTGGCAGTTTGATAACGGCGCCCAGCAGGAGCCCTGGTCACGGCTCTGCAGGGCTAGGTTTGTTAAACTGGTAAGTGTTGTTCAGAGGCATGTGTTATGTCTAGGAATGTCTGCACGTGGTTGTTTGCATTGCTCAGTTATAAGATACAATCACTAGCTATATCAGCGCTCTGCTCTGCCTTCTTCCAATTTCCTTTTGTAGTATCGCTTAAATATCCATCCTGTCTTTTTCTTTCCCCTTAACCATCAGACTTCCTCTCAGAGGCTTTACGCGTCTCTGTGCTCTACCATGCTCAATGCTTTATATTGTATTCCGCTTTTCTAGGTTTGTTTTTGTCTTGTCCAGTGGTGTACTGTACACCTGGAAAAAGACAGCATTACAGAAAACTTTTTGATGCTTCCACATGTTTAAAAATAAGTTCTTCCTGTGATATATGGAATAATAATTCATGTCAAGAAGATGGTTGATATTAATAAAGAAGGGGAAGATGTGGGAGTGTGGCCATGGGGGTCATGAAAAGGTGTTTGAAAAGGACTGCTGTGGGGCAAAGGGTATAAGAGGGGAACCGGTCCTCGAGATGAAAAAAGGTAACATGATATAATAGAGTTATGTCATCAATCAAGAAGCAGGAAAAAGGAACGAATAGGGACAGGCTAGCAGGATGGAGACCAGGATGGGAACAGGGACACTGATCACCTCATGAAGATAGGTTCAGCCAAGCTCAGCAAACCACTCAAAGAAGCTCATACAGAAAGCCACTGGAAATAGGCACTGGAGGTGGAAAGAAGCTACAGCTGAGAGAAGTGGAGCCGCACACACAACTGCCCCTCACTGGTAAGCAGTTGTGCATCCTTAGAAACAAGGAGTGTCCTGGTAACCTTACAGCTTATTCTCTTTATTAACAATCAGACAGTTTATGATCCTGAAATATGGAACCAAATTGTGACTTGTTGAAAACGGACTCTACAATCTTATTCATTGTAGAGTCCGTTTTCAAAGTAGGTATATTTATTCAGCACTGGGCAGCATGGAGGGTAGTCCCACCAAAGTTGGGCACACCTGATGCGGCAACTTGCCTTGGTTTTATGCCATAAAGAGTTACATATGCATGAAGTTTCACAATATACCTATACATATTCAAAACCCATCCCCACTTCATATTAAAATTAGTTCCAAGGAGTTATTTCCACAACTTCCCATCTGCGCTTGTGCAGTGTATTCTGGTGGTGGTCATCAGGGGTCATGGGGATGAAGATTGATGACTCTTCCTCGTCACTGCTTGTTGACCTCTTGTCTTTGTGCAGACTCAGTTGCTCCTTGGCTCTTGTGCATTCGCAGAACCAGTTTCTGCCACTTTGTTAAGATAGGCTCACACTCTTATTAGTAGACTGACCTTGGTAAGGCGCCCAAGGCTTCTTGCTTTAGTTAATTTGCACAATGCACCATAGTTAGCAAAGACATGAAGTAGCATCCTAATTTAATGCTGTCAGTGCTCTATCGCTACTTGATAAGATTCTCCTAACTCCCTCTCTCTACTGAGGTCAAGGTGTGGGACTCTACAACTAAAAATGACAAGGTTGCAGTGGGATTGCTCAGCACCTGGTGAGCAATCTCTGAGGCCTTAAAGAGCCATATGGGGCCACAGTCAGACACGTGTGGTTTGCCAGGGAGTGAGGAAGCTGCGGGCTCGTACAGACAGCTACGCCACTGCCCCCCCACCGCTGCTGCCATCACAGGCCCCCTGTTATGCCCCTTGTTGACCTGGACGTGCCTTTTGACCCAGGCCCTATTGGCCTTGAAAAGGAGGCGGAATGTTTGTTTCCCTTCAATCCCTGAAGAACAGGATACATAAAGTCCGAAGGATGAGTTGCTTGACAACTTAAAGCGAGACATTGTTCCCATGACTAGCCCTGGAATTCTCCGGTGTTTGTAATCAAGAAAAGGAATGGAAAATGGAGACTTAAGTGAGCTGAGAAAAATTAACGAAGCCATGGAAGACACGGGAGCACTTCAACCAGGATTCCCAACTCCAACTACGCTCCCCCAGTCATGGACATTAGTAGTATTAGACTTAAAGGATTGTTTGTTAAAGACTTGCTTTTTAAAACTTTGCCATGTTTATGTTTCAATTGATACCTTTTAGCAGATTTTTAGGTTATAGTTAGCTCACCTGATGTAGGAAGCTTAATCAGAAGAGAAACTCCTTAAAGTTTCTGCTTTGGCACACAAAATTGCACATCCTTGTTGACCTGGTTAATTTCAAGTTAATGTCTATGTTTTGTTTCTCCCTTACTAGTTAAAAACAGTTAGGAAACAATCTCACAATTATGCTGTTCAAATGATGCTACTGAAAGTTAGCACTGTGAAAATGGGAGCATCTTGTATTTTATACAAATATTGTCAATCTGTAACTTTCTTGTATAAATTCCACGGTAGGTCATGTTCTCCTACATCCCAACAGGAGGAATTCTGGGTAATTTTGTACCTTAAAATACAGAGGTGTCTTTTTTCCATATTCTATATAAACTAGTGTTTATTTCTGTAATGCAGTGCCTACGACTGTGTGATACCACCTATGGAAAAGGCTGTAGTGAAAACAGACATTCAAATTGCTCTTCCTTCTGGTTGCTATGGACGAGTAGGTAAGTAAGCAGGCCATGAAAAAACTGCAGTCACTGCAGAACAGGTTTGACATGATTTTTACATTAATATTCTTGTTTTCATATATTTTATGTGTGCAGAATAAATCTCACATCTATGTGTTTGTTTGAGCCTAATAGTAGACATTTGTGAAAAACATTTAGTAGATATAACAATAGTAGACATTTTTGAAGTTTGCTAGTAAAAATGTTCATAACCTGTATACAATGTCATAGGCTATGCAATAGTTAATTATTTCTCTGCAGTTTCAGAATTCAAATGACAAAGACCAATAAATAATGGATAAATGGAAAATGCACCCTTGACTATTTAAAAACTAACTCTGAGATAGGAGAGTATGGTAGTATTTTACTACTTTTAGTGACAAAATAATTGAGAGAATGTGTACAAGGTATTAGGTTACGTTTTATTCATTCTTTTTCTGAATTACATATAAATCCTTAAGTAAAAACAAACAGAAAAACAGCTACCTCAGTGGAAGAACGTGCTCAGAGTTTGCTGTTTCCTTTCATCTAAAAAGAGAGTGCACGTGCATTTATTTTAATCCAAACAAAAAATTCTGGAGAGAGTAATTTTTAGCACCTCATTAAAGTTCGCCAAGATGTATATTAAAAAAACAATTGCACATCATTTAATGTGTATAATAGTCTTAGTAAATTGCTTGTCAGATATTGTTTTCCATCATAACTAAAATGGATTGACCTAATAATCTTCTGAGATTATTCCAGAATAGTGGAAACAGCTAAAAAATAAACCAACACTAGATAGTCATTGTCTGCTACAGCATGGAGAAACCTGCTCTGCAGTTGATGGTCTAAACAAGGATATACTTGCATCATTTAAAGATTTCAATCTTAATGTAGCTTGTAGCAACTGCTTTTTAAATATATACAATAACACGTACAGTAGTTCCCGTAAAATCACATTTATTTTAGAAAGACCATGGAAACAGTTCTTGCTGACACAACTTTAAGCAAACACACTAACCTATAAATGTTTTGTAAGAGTTTAAAAACAAAATTAATACACTTAAAATTATTGTTTTCTAGCACCACGTTCTGGTTTAGCTGCAAAGCACTTCATAGATGTTGGTGGTAAGATTTTTATTTTTACTATAACTTCGTAAATCTTGATTGTTATAAGTGCCTTAATTTAACATTGTAATATGTGTAAATAAATAATCCTGGCTTCTTTAGTCGTCTGTCAAAAGGAGATAATTGGGTAATACCCCAATGACCAGTAAATCACACTTACTTTAAAACTTTATGGTTTATTACTAATTTTCCTATACTAACCACAGAGCATTCATATAAGCAGTGCATGGCATAGCTGTTATTTTGGGGTTTAGACATTAAAGTGATTTT